CGCCAGCCCTATGCCGACCGGCTTCAGCCATGGAATGGCATACCTCGGTCTCGTCGCCTGTCTGCACTTTGGTACCTTGGCGAGTGTGCAGGGCAGGGGTGGCACAATGTGGCGTTGATGAGATCTCGGAGGGAAAACTGCCGCACCACTGTGTCGACTGCTGTTCAGTCGTAGGGAGGCCAGCAGGGGCAAATAAGCAAGGGGGAGGTGTTTTCTGCGAGACATGGCAGCAACCCTCGAATGGGCGGCGTTTGCACTGGCGTATTGGGCTTCGGACGCAGAATGCTATGCTACTGGGTGTTGTTGCCGTCGGAGAAGAACGATGGAGGGACGGCGAGGATGTGGGCATCCAGTCGTTTGCTGGAGTGGGTTGTTCGAAGGAAGCCCTGCCAAGGGCCAAGCATTAGAGACGACCCAAGCACACCCAGGGACGGCCGCACACAATAAGGGACAAACAGACAGAAGCTGACTCAGGCACACCTCCCTCTTTCCACCGGAATCCCCGGCGCATGCTGTAATCTGTAATTGCGGCCTCGTGGCCTTCCGCGTTTGTATTGCGTCTCCGCTGCCTTGGGCCCGCCTCGTCAGGACTCGACCGGGCGCCGGCAGATTCCATCGATTCCAGCGGTCCGCTGCTCAAGCAAGGGCACGTAGAAGTTGAACCCACCGATTGGTCGGTTATTTTTCAGAATTTTTCTCGGACTTCTTCATCAAGCCATGGACGCCCGCCCCCGCCTTGTCTCCCATTCACTGAGGCGCATACCGCACTTTTCGCTACACCGGCCTTGAAGTATCGTCGCCCGAAGTCGTTTATGGGCACATTTGGTTCTACCGCTTCGCTAACAACCACGGGCCAAGATAACAGACACCGAGACCGGAGCAGAGAGGTTCCAGACCCCGTAGTCGGACTCGGCGACCTGTGTTCGGAGTCATAGAGGCGAGATTTCGCCTGTGGCCCACTATGCCCACTGCTGCATGATCCGGCAGATCTATGCAATGGAGCATGGAGCGGTAGACCGAGGCCAGATGCCCAGATCTAATGAGATCTCACAAGCTGCGGCTATGCACAGTCCCAGGCTATGGCCAGAACAATAAGGTTGACATCACAAACGGACAAAGTGGAGCGTGCGTCTGCGTCGTGGGTACGGCCGTGTACGTGTGGGAGTCACGAGCAAGCTCTGCGACACCGGTCAGTCAGATCTCGGACTGAACTCTTCAAATTCAGGCTCACTGAGGGAGGAGGAGCCCAGGTAACCCAGTCCTGGAACCAGTGATGAATGCCGCCCCTTGTTTCTGAGTGTCCGTTCCTGTTGTCTCGCGCCCATGCATGCCTGTCAACCTGGCGGAGACTGCTCCGTCAACTTTGCACATGCAGTAATTGGCCGCAACGATTCGGTGTCTCTGCTAGCTCCTGCACACTCCTGCAATCTCCTGGCATCCTCCAGGACAGCTACCTCTCCAGGACGCACTCCTCTTGGAAGGTCCTCACTCCGAATGTGCACGAACAGCTGGGCTATTCCTGTACACTGGCACTCCCATGATCCAATCTGTATACCGACCTTGGGCAGCGCAGTTCCTGTGCCGGCTGCAGCTACTCTGAACACGACCGATACCGGATCGGATGCAAGATGCGTTGCCGTAATCCGCAGGCGCTCCTGGCCGTTTTCAACGCCACACCTGCGCCAATCTCATGAATTGTCTCCTGCGCCACTGATGTCTTGGCCTACTCCTTTGCACCTGGGACAGATTAGGACCAGGTTTGGACCCAACTGAACCGACAGACGGGCGGCTCCGAGATGGGAGCTGTGAGTTCGTCTGCAGGCGTCGTGCGTTCGATGTCACCTTGGGGAGCACGTAAGAGAGCCCGAGGTACAGGTGACAAGACGAGGAGGGGCGGGAACGAATCAGCGGCCCGCAAGGCCCACTTGTGCCCTCTGTGCCCTCTGTGTTCTTCCGCAGGAACAGAACGTCCACAGGTTCCCAACTTGGCCCGCAGATTCGCAAGACTTGCATGCCGCGAGGCCAGCCGCAGGCACACTTTCCGCGACCGGTATGACGGCCTGACGGAGCGGTACGCTGGAGCGGTGTACAACGGCACGGGCGGCAAGCGCATTACGAGAACCGAGATTGAACACCCGTCTCCGCACCCTGGGAACCCTATCGGCCTATGACATTTTGACCAGATCTCGCAGTGTCTTGCACCCTGGTATGCATACCTGGCTCCTAGATGCGCTGTGGATGACGGAGACGCCTGACGCGTCGCCCCCGCAATACTCCTTCTGTACGCGTCGCCCAGGTCGCCCGACCTGACCAAGTACCACTCGACCGACCCTTTGCTGGATCCGGCGCCGCTTACGAAATTGATTGCGTTTGTACCAGTCCGCAATTTCGGCTCAGCCGCACTTTACTTCTACACATCGGCCGTAAACCACGCTAAAGCTTTTTAGTAGCGCTAGTGGGTGCAGCGTTAGGCTCATGCATGCAGAAGCAGATTTGTTTGTGGCGACAATGACGATCAACCTGGCGCACGCCCGCACGCCAGCTTGCGCCGGCGCGAAGAACGACTGCAATGGCGGCGTTGGCGTTTCTGACGCCGCCCGGACGCAGCCTCCTCGCTTCCTCCAGATCTTCGAGAGTGGTGTTTGAGTGCTCCGCATCGTTGGCGTCGCTGTTGATCCACATGTGTGATGCGCGCTATGTGGCGACGGGTAGCGCGAGTGGGCTGGCGTCGGGGCTTGCACTGTCGGGGCGTCGGTTTCGTCGGACTCTAGAATTTCGTTCGGACTCGCCAAGTCCCAGTCGATCGATCAGGCTAGCCCGAAACCACACTCCGTTGTGGCTTGCTGCCAACCTCACGGATCGCGGAGCACCAGGCAGTGTGGATCAGTGGGCGCACGCCCGGCAAGCCCACTCGTCATCTCCGCCATGAGCCGCCATCCGGCGCAGCGGACGCCGAGGCGTTCAGCTCTACGCCCGTACGCCTCTCTGTCTGCCGGCTCCGCAACGCCTCCGCTAATGAACGAATGCGCACTTAATGAACGAATTAGACAGATCGCATCGCATTACCCCGCATTCGCAATCGAAGGTCGAAAGCTTGTTGACATGTGGTGCTGCATTTCATGGCGTAAGCGACGATCACGAGGCGCATTTATGCACGCGTCTGCCTTTGGGATGGTGCGCTAACGCGAGCTTAACGCATATTAAGCTTCTATGCACCACGTTGCAGACACTCGATGCACCACGCGCAATGCACACTGACGGTGCAAGCGAGGCGATTGAGCAAGGGTTCACAACACTTCAAGGGTAATACAGAGTTGCTGCTATGTAATGATAAACCTAATGACGTTCCTGGACCACTATTACTGCACATGGTCTGTCTCCCTTTTCTGCTGGCACAGCAACAGGCAACACGATACAGCGGGCCGAGGAGACATGACCGCCGAGGTATAGCAATCGTAAATTAACGGGTGCTGGGACCGCCGAAGCAGCGGAAGCTGGAACCGAGCCGCTGGAACCGCACGAGCCGCACACACTAATACGCGCAATGCCGTCATCACACGTCCGGGCGCGGTATACTGCGCATTGCTCTACCCTTGCTCGCATGCTAGAATGATCAACCTGAACAAGAGCGCAAGCTCGGAACCTAACCTTGGGGTGCATTTTTCATGGTTAATCGCAATAAACGATCGCCGGTGTGGAAGTGCCTTGACAGCCATATCCGCGTGCCCGTTTCCGCACCTCTCTTCTCTTTGGGACCTTGCCTGCCATCAGTCGTTCATTTCCGGTGTTCGTTCCGGGCATCGTTCCGGGTCGTCCCTGCACCTCCCACTTGCCGGCGTTCCTGCAGTTCCTGTTCATTAACACGGCATCCGCATCCAAGAGATGGGGAATGACTGACGTGTGATGATGCCAGACTCCACGCTTCCGCGATGCCGAACAAGATACTCGCCGAGCTTCCACACCCTCGGTAGCAGGCTCGGCCATCCGCAGCACGTATTGAGGAACCTCTGTTTTTCGCAGACACCGTGGTAATTCTCGACGCACGGCGTCCCACTCTCCGCTCCACTGACCCACTGCTGACAGTCACCGCATCCCGTCATCACCCACTGTGACAACCATCCACGAGCGTCGTCAACACTCTACCGGGCCGGTCACGGAGCAGCGGGCGTTGGAATACTCCTAAAGTCTCGGAGAAGTTATCGGTGAAGGCGCAGCGCGCAGTGCGCAGACAACACCGACGGCGTACGACGTGGTAGCCTCGCTTGCAGACCGGCGCTTGGGCCCATTGACCATTCATGGGCGAAGCATTCACAGATCTTTTCGGACTTGTCGTTTAACTGCCAAATCATCCATAGAGCTCGGGCACTGCGCACGCTAGTGAATCATTCGGCCTGCGTATAGAGTACGACGTTTGTGCGCCCTGGGTGAAAGGAGAAGCTTGCGACGGGCATCTATTCCAGCTGATCCCTGTCGATGATCCTTTACGCGTGCTCGTCAACCCCGAAATGCTTAAATCAACCGTGGAAGTTTATCCTGCATTCACTGCACTTTCCAGTAGCGCTAAAAGATCACCCTCGGCCTTGAGAGCACGACTAGCAGGGGCTACCAAGGGAGCAAGGAACGCACAGGGGAGACGAGGAATTGGAAGCGACAGTGTATCCTCGGGGGATTGAGCTTGGCGGAATCGTGGATATCCGCTTACCAGGATTTCTGACGTCGAGACGATCACTTCGGCCAGGACATCCTCGCAGCCTCTCAATTGCTGGTCGATGTACGCACTACCCGTCCCATTCACGGTGCTTGCGCCCGCAAGCCCGCAGATCACTCATCCGAAGCCATGGAGCATACCGCCGGCTTACGGCGCCGCTTTCTCCTCGCGCGCGCTCGGTCGCGGTTAGTCCTGGGCTAGACTGTCGCGGGTCACGTCCCTCGGTCTCGGGGGCAGGCGCGACGCGAGCACGCGACGCGGGCAGCGGGCATCCTAGACCCGGGTCCACTCGATGCGTGCACCAGCATTCAAGGTGCGCCTCCAGGACACACCGGGCCTGAAGTTGGACCCAAAAGTCGTCGTTGAGTTGAAGCGTGAGCATAAGCATGACGAGCTGCGACGATCAGCAGCGCCACACTTTAACCATACTCCCACTGCGTACCACCTCTCCCTCGGGCCTCGGATCGGCGCAGAACTGTTCCTCGCACAAGCGGATACGTACCCGCCCCCCTTGAACCTGGTCCTCCGGTCCTCGGAGTCCAGTTGCTTCGCCCGAAGAAAAGACATGAAAAAGTACGGGCCGCTAAGGCCAAACACAAGCCTCGATATACGTTACTCCGATGCCCAGACGCCTCACGCCCCCAAAGTTGGTTCTGGATACGCCAACTGACGCCCGGTGCGCCAGACTTGATTCCAGTCATCTGAGCACTAACCACACCACGCCGCTTGGTTGCGCCACGTTTCGCCATCGCGCTTGTTGACTTGTTTCGCCATCTGCGCCGATCTTGGACTACTAACTAACCGCACATCACTGACCACGGTCTACTTCGCCGCATGCATGACCGAGTACGAATGTCAGCGTGCGTGACAAGTGCCGGGGTAGACGCCGTTTGCGGCAGGTTCCGTGCGAAAGGAGGCCTATAAAAAGCGCTGGATGACAGGGAACCACGTGACTCTGGTGACTTTGGCGCGGGGACCCACACGGTCGCACATGGGCAAGTGGGTGCGACAGCGAGCGTTCCCCGTCGCACGAAGCCGAATACAAGTGTCGTCTGTGATTCCAAGCTGTTCTTCTCCACCGGACTCTCCCCCATCCACAGGAAGAAGAACATGGTACGTCCCCTCCTCCGTCTCACCGCGCGCTCCAACGCCTTCGCCTCTCCGAGCCGGACGCGCATCGCGACGTCCTCGGCGTCTGCTTCGCGAGCTCTGTTCTCATCAGCCGCGAGCCATCGCCTTCCCTCTGCCCTCCGGAGCGATGCGCACCCCCGCACAGCTACTACCGTCCCCGCCGCGCCCCGCATGACATGGTCGAGGGCCTCATCTCACACCGCACAGGCCGCTATTCCCCAGACTCCCGACGTTAAGGTTACCGCCGCTGCCCCCGGCCAGCTCTCTGGCGTTGACGCCGCGATCGTTGCCGTTGTCAGCAGCGAGGGCTCGCCCGAGCTCGTCGGCAACGTCGATAGCGTCAACACCAAGACTGTCCAGCAGCTCAAGAAGCTCGGCTTCAAGGGCAAGGCTCAGTCGACCGTCATCGTCCCTGGCGGTGAGAACGACCCCGCCCCCGTTCTCCTCTTCGTTGGCCTCGGCGAGCAGCCCGAGAACGGCTTTAAGCCCGAGACTCTCCGTCGCGCTGCCGGTGTCGCTGTCCGTGCTGCCGGTGCTGCTGAGCTCAAGAACGTTGCCGTCATCTTCCCTGCCGAGACCCCCGAGGCTGTCGTTGCCGTTGCTGAGGGTGCCTCGCTCGGCACCTACACTTGGAACCAGTACAAGACTGAGAAGTCTGAGGCTGGTGTCCAAAGCATCCAGGTCGTGACCAAGGACGAGGACGCTGTCCGCCGGGCCGAGATTGCTGCCCGCCACACCAAGCGCGCCCGTGACCTTGTCAACACTCCCCCCAACTTCCTCTACCCTGCCACTTTCGCCGAGCAGGCGCAGAAGGCTGCCAAGGGTCTTGACAATGTCACCGTCGAGGTCTGGGACGAGAAGAAGCTCAAGGACGAGCGCATGGGCGGTATTCTCGGCGTCTGCCAGGGAAGCCAGCACACTCCCCGCCTTGTTAAGATCTCGTACGCTCCCTCCGGCGCCAGCAAGAAGCTCTCCATCGTCGGCAAGGGTATCACCTTCGACTCTGGTGGTATCTCGCTCAAGCCCTCGAAGGGCATGCACGAGATGAAGGGCGACATGGGCGGTGCCGCTGCCACCCTCCACGCCGTCCTCTGCGCCGCTGAGCTTAAGCTCCCCGTCAACGTCACCGGCTTCCTCTGTCTCGCCGAGAACATGCCCTCCGGCTCCGCGCTCAAGAACGGCGACGTCATCACCCAGCGCACCGGCACCACCGTCCAGATCCTGAACACTGACGCTGAGGGCCGTCTTGTCCTTGCTGACGGTCTCGCCGTCGCCCAGTCTAAGGAGACCGGCTACGGCACCGAGGAGGCTGACCCCGACCTCCTCCTCGACATTGCCACCCTCACCGGCGCCCAGATGGCCGCCCTCGGCACCCGCACCGCGGGTCTCATGGGTGACGACAAGGCCGTCGAGGCCGTTCGCGCCGCTTCGGGCCGCTCCGGCGAGCAGTTCTGGGCCATGCCGTTCCCCGACGAGATGCTCGAGGACCTCAAGTCCACCACTGCCGACCTCGACAACATCGGCTCCGTCCCTTGGGGTGGTATGCTGAAGGCTGGAATTTTCGTGAGTAAGAGTATGACTCGCGAAGCGAGGCGTGCGAGTGCTGTCAAATGACTCACACCCTGCTGGACGCGACGCGCGCCGAAGCGGCTAGCTTCATATCGAACGTAGCTGACGATCCCAGCTCCAGCAGTTCGCCGGCAAGAAGGGCAACTGGGGCCACCTCGACATTGCTGGCCCCTCGGGCAACTTTGGCAAGCCCCACGGCTACACCTCGACCGAGGGCACCGGCTTCGGTGTGCGCACGCTTGTTGAGGTCGCCAAGGGTCTTGCTCAGTAAGCGCGCCGTACGTCGTCGGTGTATGAGCGTGAGAAGCGTAGATAGTAGAGTGCTAGTGTTAGAAGTCAAAATGCATGCGGAACGCGTGTACAGGGTACGCAGAAGGCGGCGGCGCGCAATGGTGTAGCCGTCGACCAGAGGGAGAATTGGGACTTGGAAAGATGATCGCCAGTTTGACTGAGACAGGCTCCCAGGTCTGGCGGTATCCTCCTGTCGTGTACGTGGTGCATGACAGAACAGTCCAGCCGTGCACACTGAGCACCCTAGCTCTACTGGTAGCATTGAAAGCCTGCTCTCCTCAGTCTACCCAATGTTTCAGAAGGGCGCAGTCCGTGGCAGATCTGAAGATATCCGTCATTTCCAACCAGCCTTCTAGCCCAATCGCCTGGAAGACCTCCTTCCACCGCTTCGCGCTGCAGCACACCCCATGCAGCCGACGCAGGGGCCAAAAACGTACGCTGGACGACTTAGGAATCGAACCAAAGACCTCGTCAACTAACCACTGCTAATGACGCGCTCTACCAACTGAGCTAGACGCCCGACGACACATGACCTCCGCGGCGCGGCGGCGGATCGGTGGCCGCGGGAGCGCCAGCGCCGACACCGAAGGGCCGAAAGGAGAGGGCTAATTACAAGAGCTGGTGAAGAAGAGAAGGAGAGCTACGGCGTGAAGGCGAAGGGTTGGAGTGAAGCTCTCAATCCACCCCAGTCGGGAAGATGGAAAAGGGTTCTCTAAACCCGTGCTTCCAACATGGCAGGACGAGGCAGCGCCCCGCATTGGTTGCGCAAAGCTGCCCAACGGACCCCGCAGCCTAATAGGACCCGGTCAGCGACCCTACGTTCATCACCTACGTCAGAAAGCGGGCTCAGTGAAGACAATTTCAGTGAAGGCGATCTCTGAAAGGGGTGGGGTGCGTGGCACCCCTTTCTATATCGACGTTCCCACTCCTGTACCAAACTTCTAACCTAACAATACCGTCGTAAGTCCTCTCCGTTAGCCCACAAGCCCCTCGTTCACTTGGAGGGCTCCAAAAAGCTGTGCGTGGACGACTTAGGAATCGAACCAAAGACCTCGTCAACATTAGCCGTGCTAATGACGCGCTCTACCAACTGAGCTAGACGCCCGAACTCTTACGTGTGTGGCTCCGCCGGCCGGCGGATCGGCGGCGCGGCCGTCGCTGGCCCTGACGAGCACGCACAAGCAGAGCATGGCAGACATGAGGGGAGGAAGGAGAAAGGAATCGCCCTTCCCTGTGGACGAAGTACTGGCGGGTGACAGCGGTCATAGTCTGAGGTGAGGGAGAGAGCAGTGAGACGGAGAAGTGAGAACAGGCGGATATTGTCTGCCGGATCTGTTCCATGGGTCTACTGGAAGACTTGAGAGCTCTGGGCACCTGTCTTGAAGATCAGCTCGCCTCCAGTCTCGTGTTGCCGCCTATGCCGCCTCATGGAGCTGCAGCGGAACCACAGTGAGTAAGGGGGCAGAAAATGTGGCACTCCTCAGATATTGTGAAACTCGTACTTCGCCGCTTTCAACCTTCAGTTGTGGCCTCCGTCCGCGCTTCTCCAAACGAACAACTCCTCATATATGTCCCCGCAGAGTCCAAAAACGTATGCTGGACGACTTAGGAATCGAACCAAAGACCTCGTCAATGCTAGCGACATGCTAATGACGCGCTCTACCAACTGAGCTAGACGCCCGATCACGTTGAGCTAAGCGCCGACCCGTGGATAGGCGGGGCCGTCGCTGCAGGGCGCCGACGCTGAAGCAAGTGCAACTGCCTAGCCTCCTTCGCGACAGAAGTATGGTTTGGAATCTGAAAACTGTACACTCTAGCCTGAAAGTCTAACGCCCACACAACCGCTGAGACAGCAACGGCGACAAGAGTACAATGTGCATGCTTTATGTGTCTATCAACGCTCCGTCTACTAACGCTTGAGAGTCCTCTGCTTCTCGGCGCTGACAACGAGCCTCTTCCTAACCTCGAGACCCTTCCTGCGCCTAACCTGCTCCATGTACGCGAGAGCGGGGTTTTCGCGGTCCGCAATCTCGCCCAGATCCTCGAGCTCCTCCTGCGTGGTAGGCACCCAGAAGGGGTCAATGCCGAGAATCTCGCGGAAGCCAGCAAAGATGAGCTGCGGCTGAGCCGCTCCCGAGGTCTTCTTGCGGATCTCGTCGACAAAGCCGAAACTCTCAACGACAGGCATCTCGGCGTGGATCGTGAAGAAGTCGGTGCCAGACTTCATCTCCTCGCTCGTGATCTTGCCGCGGCGACGGTTCAGCACGGCATAGACCTTGCCCAGCACGTCGGAGGAGGCCTGCACATCACACGCGTACATGGCCAGCTTGAGACGGGGAGACCAGTCGAGCAGGCCCTGGCGGAACGCGTCGCGGGCGGCAGAGATGAGACTGCCGATGACGGCGTGCGAGGACGTGGAAGTCGACTTGGAAGGGTCATACCGCACGTGCTCGACGATGTAGGCCATACCCACGACGGGCTCGGCGCACAGCGGGCCCTGCAAGTTTGCGAGCTGGAAGCCAGCCTCGAGGGAGTGGTCAAAGTCGCGCGCCATCCGCGCCTCGTCCTTGCCCTCCGCCTCGGCGTCGCCAACCATCTCGACCCCTCCCGCGCCGCCGGCAGCCTGGGCTGACGCAAGCGCCTCAGCCGCAGACTGGCCGCGCTCACGGGCCGCAGCGAAGAGCGCCTCGCGCTTACGCAGGCGAGCGTTGGATGATCCAACAGGGTCAAGGAGGACGTTGGCGCCGACGCGGCGGGGTCCAAACGCCCAGATCCTATCCGCCGCACCGGCCCAGTCCGGACCAGCCTTGTCGAAGAGGGCGGAAAGCTGGGTCCAGAACTCGTCGACGGGCATCGAGCGCGTTTCCTCGTTGCGTTCCTCGACGGTCGCGTCCTCATCTTCGTCTTCGGAGTCACTGTCGTCCTCCTCGGCTGTGGACTTGGGCGTGTCGGTGCCGTCGGCGCTGGGTTTGGGTTTCTTGCCGGCGTCCGGCTTCGCCTTTGTGAACATGCTCGCGATCGTGGACTGGTGCGCGAGCAGGAACTCGGTGATGTTCTCGGGCAGAGGAACGGCGCGGACCTGGATCTCGACGAGGCCGTCGTAGATTGCGCTCGTGATCGTACCGCGCGCGCCGCCCTCCTTCGGCGGAGCCATGTCCGGCGCCTTAATCGCCGTCTCGCGGAAGGGTACGATCGGCTCCGAAACGGTAAGGTCGCACTTGGCGAAGCGCTCCTTCAGGTCGCGCACGCAGCGCTCGAGGTGCAGTTCGCCCGCCGTCAAAATGACGTGCTCACCCGTCTCCTGCACGAGGTACTCGGCGCAGGGGTCGGAGGCGTTCAGCACCTTCAGACCGGCCACGAGCTTGGGCATCTCGGAGGGGTTGACGGGCTCGACAGCAACGCGGAGGATGGGCGCACCGCCCATGTTCACACTGGCAAGGTTGACGGGCTCGGCCGTGCGCGCGTTCAGCGTGCCGGCACGGTGCACCACACCCTCGAGTCCGCCGACAGCGCAGACATGGCCGGCGGGCACGAAGTCGACGGAAACAAGGTCACGGCCCATCATCATGTACAGGTCGCCGACGCGGGCGGTGCGCACCCAGCGTGCGTTGCGCTTGTGGTTCGGGCCAAGGGAGGCGTCGTACTTCGGCAGAGTTACAGTGACCTCGTCTCCGCGGCGTAGCGTGGACGCGAACACACGCGCAAAGCCGAGGAGGACCTCACCGTCCTGGTCCTGCTTCGCCTCCTCCTGCGCCGCAATGTGGTCCGGCGCCGACTCCTCCAGCGAGAGTTCCTGCAGCGGGCGTCCAAGCTCCTCGGCGGTCTTGTCGGCTCCCGCGGCGGCGGCAGCGGCACGACGTTCTCGCTCGATACGGCCGCGCTCACGCATCTCCTCAGCAGTCATCTCGCGCGGCCGGTGCTCGGGCAGTTCGGAGCGGCGCACCGCAAACATCTTGGAGACATACGTCACCATGGGCGCGGCGTCGGACTGGTCGCACTTGTACAGCGCCTCCTCGGTGTTGTTCTCGGGCTGGAGAGGCGTGGACGAGGCAGCAGCCTCTTCGGGGTGCAGCATGAAGGGGCATCGGACAGCCTGGGCAGCATCCGGGGCGGGGATGACGTCGACGACGGCCTGGAATGTCGCCGTGCTGAGGGGTAGCCACTGCTGCATGATTGTGGTCAGGAGTGGGCGGGTGTCCTTGCTCTTGAGCTCACGGGGGGCGACGCGAACGCCGAGCGCCTTCACAATCTTCTCGGTAGCTTCGGGCGTGTATTGGTGTTGCTCGAGAACGGTGTCGTAGACACGCCAGATGTTTTCGAGCACGAACTGGACGAAGAGCGGCTTGAGCGGCCGTCCGTTGAGACCCTTGCGGGAAACGACGCGCTTCGTCTTCGGGTCGAGGTACCACTCTCCCCAGAGTGCGCGACGAAGGTTGGCCTCCTTGACTCCGAGCTTGTCGGCATACAGGCGAGCGAACTTGCCGAGGCGGAACGCCCAACCGTCGATGGCACTCGCGAAGAGGACATTCCCCCGCTCGGGAGAGAAGTAGATATCCTCGTCCTCGCGCTCTTCGAACTCCTCCTCGGGGGCGTCGTCAGTCAAATCCCCGTTGGCAGCAGCCTCAGCACGCTCCGCGAGACGCTTCTCACGCGCCTCGCGCCATCGCAGGTCGTCCTCCATACGCTCCGAGGCGAAGAACGAGCCCATAACGGCGTTCACCTGCTCGATCAGACGCGCGATGTGGTGGTACGCTTCCAGGGGAGTAAGCTGAAGCTCGGTGATGAGGCGGTCCATCTTGTTGATCACGAGAAGTGGCCGGAGACGGTCGATCCACGCTCGTCGCAGCACGGCAATGGTCTGCGTGCACACGCCCTCCCAAACGTCGACGAGCACGAGCGCACCGTCACACAGTCGCGATGCCGTGGAGACCTCGGATGCAAAGTCGACATGTCCTGGCGTGTCGATCAGGTTGCACACGTGCTTCGCGGCGACCGCTGCTTGTCAGCTGTGACACTCGAACGAAGCAGCTAATGGAACTGGCTCCGCCGTGCAGCATGACCGCCTTCATCGCTGCGGCACTACTCACGTTTTCCGTCTGGTCCTGGTCGCATCATGTCGAATCGCAAGCTGACCGCCGAGCTCTCCATCGTGATACCGCGCTCCTGCTCATCTTCTCGGCTGTCGAGGAAACGGAGCTTGCCGGCGAGTCGGGTGGAGATGATGTTGTTGGACGACAGGAGCGAGTCAGCAAAGGAGGTCTTGCCGTGGTCAACGTGCGCAACAATCGTCACGTTGCGCGTGTTAGCCAGCGGCGCCGCATACGTCGGTGCTGGTGCTGGCATTATTTTGAGAGTTGGTGATGAAAGAGGTAGAGATAAGTTGACCAAAGGAAAAGTTACCGAATCTCTCAGTCAGCAAGTGACGCATTTGAAGATTGTCGGTGGCAATCTTGTGTCGATCTTCGGATCCGAGCCGGCCTCCACCGGCCTCCACTCGAGTGGCTACAAGCTGTCTCCGGAGCCTCTGCACTGGTCTTGGCGATGGAACTCTACTCGAGTTGTGGAGGGCGGCCGTGCGGCATTCAACGGAACCGTTAGCATAGTAACCCTTGCTCAATGGATCGCATGGCTAAGCTCGGGCCCGCACTTGGTGCTCAGCCATCCTGAGCGGCCACCACTACGAGACGCTCGGCGTCATTTTCCTGCTGACTCGCTCTGCCACCTGATCAAGTAGTCCACTATAGCCTGCCTGAACACTGCAAGACACGATACATTCATAGTTATCTCCGTTGGATTCCCTGCATCACTGTTCTTTTTGCATTTCAGACACTGTTCCAGACCGAGTTGTATACACTCCATAGCCGGTCAGTCGCTTTGCTGCCTCGATTCGTTTCGTAGTGGCTTAGCCCTTGAAGGTGACGTGCACGTGGTCCCTATCCGTCAGCGTCAAAGGTTTGAGTTGCTCACCAGTGATTCTGGGTAATGCTGCCCCTGTTCTCCATGACGCGCCACTTGACCCAAGGGCGGGCAGTTCCCTCGACCTCAGTGTTCCAGATCCGCTGGCCCCAGATGATGTACTTTATGTTAAGAGGCTTCGCGTGATTCATGTACCACGTTGCAATCTCGACGCCGCCATTAGTCGGAGACTGTATGTCAGTCTGTAACACCTTCTGTCTCCTTTCTATCCTCTTCGCTGCCGTTAACTCACCCCGTCCTTGTCGGAGCACATGAGATCGATAGCGAGGCCGCAAGGGTGCTCGTTCCCGTCAGAGCACCCGCCCTCGGCGCGGTAGCAGCCGATCTGGCGAATGCGGCCCGGGAAAGCCTTAACTCCGGCCGCGGCACCGTTGACGGCGACTCGCTTGCAGGACCCGACAGGGGGGAGGCTGGGGGCCTTGTATCCGCCGTAGTGCCCGTTGGGCTCGCGGCAGCACACAAAGTTGGTGGGCCCGACGCAGCCCAAACCAGGGGACCCGCCAGCACAGTCGCTAGTCCACCTGCAGTTGCCGCCAGAGAAACGGGAGTTCTTGCACGAAGCCTGCGTGCAGCACACTTCGCCAGATTGGCACGTTGCTTGTACCCCCACGCCGCCGCCGGCCTTGCAGGTCGAGGCGCGCAGACAGACACCTGGCGTTAGTGCAAAGTGAGGAAGGAGAACGTACCGGCACGGCTGCCCGAGCCGAGGCAGGGCTCGTTCAAGGTCGCGACGACTGCGAGGGGAAGAAGAAGAATGAGATGTATGAGATAGAGCATGATGGAGTGCTTGGGAGTTCGGGATTGATCCGGAGCCAAGGAGGCGCCTTTTATACCTTGCAGGTCGTGCCGTTCACTATGTCCTGCCTCGAGCTCCGTCGCTACATCTACGCTCTTCTCGGGCCAAGACGAGAAGTCTGGGCAACCGAAGCAGGAAGCGATCTGTTCAGCGTCAGCTGAGGGGGCATGGCTCGACACCAACTGTTCACTGCTAGCGCTTGAGTTCGATACTAGTAAACCCACGCACCACCTACCTACACTAGGGCAATTTGCATGTCAGCTAGAACTTGGCGCTTTTCAGTACGTTCCTCTGAGCAAGTCTAGTATCTCTACCGATCAGAGAAGCGACGAATGTACCGCAGTCCTGGAACTCCCCCTCTGGGACTAGTCGAGACGCCGAGAGCCCACTTGCCGGCGTTCAGGTGACTGTATCGTCGACGTTATCGCGCGTTCCATCGGGCCTCAATGAGAAGGCGAGTGTGCTTCTGCCCGGCACTGGCGTCTTCGAGACAATTCATCGAAGCCGTCTCGACTGCGCTGTCGGGAAGATAAACTCTCGCATCCGAGAGTTTCAAGGACTGCAGATCAGGTCCTCGGTTGTCACTGGCGTTGGCGATCAGATGAGCAGTCCGACCACGATTAGGCTTTCGCGACTGTTGACTCGGCGCAGACCAACTGTTCCCATGCACACTGGTGTGGTTGTGTGATCATCAAACGTCGTAGTCGGTCAGTCTTCACACCTGCCTGTCAAAACGCCGTAGCCTCGCGCAGCGGACCTCAGATCGGCACCACTTGGTCTAGACCCCGCCTTCAGGTCGACGCAGCTGCAGTGGACTGACGACCCCGGTGGATTAACTCTCGTGAACCAACTGCGGATCAGAAAACAATGCTCAGTCCAGTCAACACAGACTCTGAACTCTAAGCGGAGAAACGATGTCGACGTCGATGGAGTACGAGTGTGTGAATACATACCCCATACAGAGCAGATGTCGCCAGCAAAGAAGGTTTCGAAAGCTGCAAGCTCCGGAAACGATGCTGCACATGTGTGACGAGGCGATGACGCTCCACCAAGCATAACCATGAGCTAACTTTGTCGTCGGTTTTACGTTTGCTTCTTGATTAAGGGCGGTCCTCCGTATTCACAGCTGTGCTGTGATCGATCAGTGATGCTGACGACTCAAATCCGAGAACATTGGATCACAGTGGAAGGCGAGGAAGCGCGGCGAAGCACAAGTCAGGCATGTGGGGAAGTGAGTGTTGAGACGAGAAATATGTAGAGGCTGTAAGTTTGTGCCGTGTGGGCGTGGGACTGGGGGAGCCTGGCTGGCTCACCACAGGTCAGGTGACGCGAGGCGGAGCTGACGCACTGCAGAAGGTACACATAGCTGAGCCTCCCTGTAATGTGCAGCAGAGTCTAAAGCAGCAAGAAAGGAAACTGGACTAGGTATAGCGCATTCCGACCCGAGGGCGGGGGTGTTGCGCTCGTCTGCTGTCGGTTGCGGTTGGTACGCCGAGCGTTGAACAAGTATAGTGTGCAAAGCCCAGCCCAGACCGCGTCGTTGTGTCTCCACGACGTAAAAGCTACTCCAGCCAGACCGAGCGCGCCATCCTGGAATCCCATGGGGGGGGGGGGCACCTACCACCTACTTCACCAATGTCGTGGCTCACGCCGCAATGTCAAGTGACCCCGCCACGGGGGGGTTCGTACCCAACATCGTCCTCCGGCTCCCTCGCTCTACCCTCGTGACCTCTCCCGCATCTCCGAGGTAGGCTGTGCATGATCGGCGTCTTCCGTCCCACTCTTGTGCTGAGACACGCGCACGCGGGTATCACAGATAACCACGCCAGCTCCCAGCCAGATCACATTCCAACACCCAAATCCCTCCCAGCCAATCTTTATCCCGGCCCATTCCCCGATCCCACCGGCGATCCATCCTCTAACGGACATGCCCTTTCTAGATCCCACAACACCTCAGCCGGCGGCCCAGGATGCATGTGCACAGGCGAGATAAGAGGTGTGAGGAATGCGGGCCCGCTCCGCATGGTCGGGACGCACTTGATACGCGAGCGAGGTACAATCTCGATATATCCCCTCCGGATATCGTCCTGACCGATCCCTCCATCCGGCAGCTCAGTTCCGGTCCGCAGTCATGTCTCATTCTGCTTCAGGCGTGTCGTGCTTACGGCTACGAGGGTGGATCTGCGCTGCTCGGGTGCGCGTCGGGTGCGCGTCGGGTGCGCGTCTGCAGTGTTCTGAGTAGCAGCGGGCGTGGTGCAGCCAGTGCAGCCAGTGCATTACCGGCGGCAGAGCATGCCCGATGTGCGGGCTTGCCATGTCTCACAGCGCCCACGGGCTGTGACAGGCCAGATACACGGGCCCGTCACCCATAGCGAGCCACGAGAGCGCAACGAGTTAGATGGCGGCGCTGACCGCATTCGCAGACCGATGACGCCCGCTCACCAGGGACATCTGACGTAGTGCGTGTTTGTCACCAGCAGTCATCAGGCTCTAGCGTGGTATGCATACCGCTCCCCGACCATGTCGCCGATCAGCGGGCAGCTGCATTCTTGTGCATTCTTGTGCACTCTTGTGCGGTCTTCTGCGGAGTCGTGCAGCGGCGAGGTCCACCACGCTACTCGCGGCTCCGGCGGTGGTGACGAACCACTGCTGACACGAACGCTGTAGCGCGGCTCACGGTATAGATTTCCGAGCATAGGCGGCCAGGCGGCGGTGTCCTCCGCCCAGCCAAGCACGCTTGCTTTACCCATCTCTCCGGCACGCACGCCGCCGGACCCACTGTAAGCCACAAGCTGACCAAGGTTGGCCCCCGTGCGCCCCACACTGGCCCACACCACACTGGCACGGGGCACATGTCCACCAGTCTGCGTAAGCCGACGAATGACCGACAGGGCCGAAACACACCGAAACCCACTCTCTTCGAAGGGAGCGTCGCTTATTCCTCGTTAATTGCTCGTTTATACCTCGCTACTTCAAACTTCGCTCTTCTTTGCTGCGAGCTCGCTACCATGCCCACAGTGCTCGCTACCACGTATGCATGTCCGGGGCGGAGTTGATACTCGGTGTCTCCCCCACTCTCGGCTACCTGGCGATATGCAAGGTGTCTTCGGCCTTGCTCGGACTGGTTTTTGCTCGTTGCTGATCACTGCCTGTCAGTGGGCTCGGCGCTACCGCGCCTTCACTTGTGAGTGATGCTACGCCCTCGGCGCTGGCGCGCCTCAGGTTTGGACGTTTTCTCGAGTACGACTGCATAAGAAAAAAGTAGAAACTGCTGCGCCTTAAACACAATTTTTGGATTGATTTTAACTATGCCAATTATATGGACATATGTTGCGATGAGGATGATGATGAGGGAGATTGCGGGATGAGAGGTACCGTCGACCGGTTCTCAGCTCTTATACTGATAGCGATGCGGCGGCGGCGGGGGGGTCTAGGAGTTGTTGCGAGGTGCTTACTTGCCCTCGAACATCTTCTTGATGTGGGCAGTCGAGAACGACTTGGGGCGCTCGAGGGGCATGCCGAGGGCACGGTCCCAGATGAGCTGGGAGGCGACACCGAAGGCACGCGAGACACCGAAGAGGACGGTGTAGAAGTCCTGCTGGTTGAGGCCGTAGTAGGTGAGGAGGACACCAGAGTGGGCGTCGACGTTGGGCCAGGGGTCTGAGGAACGGTCAGCACGATAGAACTTCGGAAAAGACTCGGATAGATTGATTACAGCACAAGTCGTGCGGGACACTTTGAGCGGAGCGGCAAAAGCGGGGCAACTCGACTATCACCCGGTTTTTTCGGGCCATGAGATACCGACACCCAGGATCAGCGCGCTCTCCCTGAGCACAAAACCCTGGATCGGACCAATTGACCGATAAAGACCGTTTTTTTTTCTACTGGTGAACCACCAGAGTCACCCCGCTTCGGACTGCTGCTGCTGGTTTGCGTAGCCCGTCCACTCGCGTCACGTCACGTATCGCGCGCATGAACCAATCTTGTCCGAGGACTGGTAAACTCACTCTTGGCCTTGCCGGCCTCAAGAAGAATGTTAGGGACGATCTTGTAGATCTGGGCGACGAGCTTGAAGAGCGGGTCGTTGGGGAGGTGGCGGAGAGCGAACTCGCGCTGGGCAGTGTAACGCGGGTCGGTCTTGCGGAGGACGGCGTGGCCGTAACCGGGGACGACCTGGCCGCTCTTGAGGGTCGACCAGACGTACTCGGCGACCTTCTCGTCCGAGGGGTTCTCACCGACAACGGACTGCATCTTCTGGATCCAGCGGAGGACCTCCTGGTTGGCGAGACCGTGGAGGGGACCGGCGAGACCGTTAAGGGCAGCACCGTACGAGAGGAAGGGGTCAGAGAGGGCAGAGCCGACGAGGTGACCGGTGTGGGCAGAGACGTTGCCACCCTCGTGGTCAGAGTGGATGGTGATGTAGAGGCGCATCAGGTCGACGAACTCCTTGTTGTCACCGAAGCCAAGGTAGGTGGAGAGGTTGGCAGAGTAGTCCTTGGAGGCGTCAACAGCGGGCATCTTGCCGTCACCGTAGACGTTGCGGAAGATGCGACCGGCGATCTGAGGAAGCTTGGCAATGAGGTCCATGGCGTCCTCGTAAGTGGGCTGCCAGTAGTCCTTCTTGTTGATGCCCTGGGCGTACGACTTGGCGAAGGCAGAGTCGTGGTTGAGGGCGTTGACGGCGATGGAGAACTGGGTCATGGGATGGAGGTCGCGGGGGCAGCGGTCAATGAGCTCCTTGACGAAGTCGGGGATCTCGCCACGGGCGTTCCACTCGGCGGAAAGGGACTTGACCTGCTCCTCGGTGGACCTCGCCGGTGACGAGGAGCCAGAAGAGACCCTCAGGGAGGGGCTCCTGGCCGCCGGGGGCCTTGGGGAGGGCCTCCTGGGTCTCGGGGATGGTGAGGCCACGGAAACGGATACCCTCGTCGGCGTCGAGGACGGAGCCCTCCCAGACGAGGCCCTTGAGGCCACGCATGCCACCGTACATCTGGTCAACAGTGTTGGGGCCGAACGACTTGTCGCCGTACTTGGCGCGGACCTCCTTGACCTCCTCAATCTCCTTGGGGATCAGCTCGGCGAGGCGCTCCTTGAGCGACTGGGCCGAGGCGACCGACGAGGCCGAGAAGTTGCGGGCGAGGCGCGACTGTTAAGCGTCAGCGGAATGCAATGTGTGACATGCGGGCAACGATGGTAGAAGTGTGTGGAAACGTGTGTGGCATGCCTAAACCGCGATAACGTTGTGGGGATGCGATGATGCACATGGCGTGCGACGTGCGACGACGGTTGTGCAGTGTCGTCACCGAAGCAGTGTGCCAGTGTGTGGATATGCGACAGACGATGCGCCATGCCATAGCCGTAGAGCGATAGGATGGTTCTTTGACTTTCTCTCGCCCCAACCGCAAAGTGGTGCGGGCTGGCGCTTTTGGAGAAAAAAAGGGGGGGTCGCGGAAAAGTTCAAGCGCGGGAGGCGTTGTCGAAGTTGAGAGTGATGTTGACAAGAGTAGAGGGTAGGGAGGGGTGGTAGTGGACAGAGGTACTGACCTGGGTGCGGATAGCGTTGCGGGTAGAGGCGAGCATGGTGATTAGGGGGGGGAGGTGGTGAGAGAAAGAAGAGGGGGAAGTCGGGTGGTGTTGTGTGATATAAAGGTTATGGGCCAGTAGTCTTTGGCTGGTGGCTACGGTGGTTCGCAAAGTGACGACGACTGTTCAGGGTTAAATTCCGGCTCCGTCGGTCCCCATCCTCTTCCCCCTCGGCCGTGGCACTGGCTGGCCGCCGCTTGCTTGCTTGGTCTACAGCCTTCCTATCACCTGCCGCATGACCTCACCATCTCTGCTGTATCTGTGCCTGCCTTTGCCTTAGATGAACTGGAGCCCTTGTCCCTCTTGCCCCCCTCCCCCTTGCAGCAGCTGACCTGACCCTGCCCTTCTCCCGGTGATACCGTGACTGATACTCCTACACTTGCGGCCCATCGGTCAGCAGCCGAGCTTCCCGGACCGTCGCGACGGCCATTTGATTCCCAGTATCCATCACCCAAGCAATCTCGATGCAAGCGAGGCACCTGTCACCACCAGTGCCTACCCCCACTCGCCCCGCTTCGGCTGCCTTTTCCCCCTCCCACTGGCTGCATCTGTTCCTTGTCGAGGACGTGGCCAAGACATCCCGACCTTCCTGACCTCCCCACGGAGCAGCGAAGCAGCGAGGCAGAGCGCACAACACGGCCCGGTCAGAACCCAGCCCAGGTAGCCAGGTAGCCAGGTAGCCAGGTAGCCAGGTAGCCAGGCAGGGCGCCGCAACGCCCGTCCCCTTCGCTAACCCTCGTGCGTACGCGTGCACCCCGGCGCAGAAACCCAAGAATCACGCTGCAGCTCCCAATCACGCCCTAACACTTGATTGATCCTGCCCTGCGGCCGCTCGGCCCCTGCGTGCCCCTATGGGCCCTGCAGAGCTCTCTACACCCTCTATACCCCCATACCATACAGCCTGCCCCCACCGGTTATGTGCCTCAGCTGGGCCAGTTGAAGCCATGGAAAAATGCATCGCCCGTCATCCCCCGACGGTTCGGTCAAATTCTTCGGAAAAATTATTGCCACGTCATTTTTTCCGTCGCTCAACTTTGCCGGGTACCGATCTAGCGACGGGTCGACGGGTCGACGGCACGACAGCACGAAGGCCACGACGACGTAGTGTTACTGCGTAGCGTCAGTAGGCAAGCGGCATGGAGACATGCCGCGGCGCCGCCTTCGCCGCTGGGCCCGCTGGGCGGGGTTTGCGCGCCGCCGACGCAAACGCCTGTCTGTCATTTGGAGACCCCTCACTGTCTCGTTTACGGGCATACCTACTTGATTTCTGCGACGCCGCCGCTGCACCCCGCGCCCCCCATACCTGGTATGCATACCGCTCCCCGACCATGTCGCCGATCAGCGGGCAGCTGCATTCTTGTGCATTCTTGTGCACTCTTGTGCGGTCTTCTGCGGAGTCGTGCAGCGGCGAGGTCCACCACGCTACTCGCGGCTCCGGCGGTGGTGACGAACCACTGCTGACACGAACGCTGTAGCGCGGCTCACGGTATAGATTTCCGAGCATAGGCGGCCAGGCGGCGGTGTCCTCCGCCCAGCCAAGCACGCTTGCTTTACCCATCTCTCCGGCACGCACGCCGCCGGACCCACTGTAAGCCACAAGCTGACCAAGGTTGGCCCCCGTGCGCCCACCCCCATGCCCCCGTGCCTCCCCGGCCCTCTCTGGTGTCCCCGCACACATCGCCGCAATCGCACTTGTCCGACGGCCCGTCAGCACGTCAGCACGTCAGCACGCAGCCAGCGGCAGCGTCACCCTCAAGCGTATGCCCCTGTGCCCCTGGCTCTAACAACCGTGACTGCTCACGCTGATCGCTGCCGCTCGAATGGTTCGTGCCATGAGTCACATCGCTATTATCTGATCGCTGTCCGGTTGCCAGGTGTCTCTACCAAATGATCTACTGTCACAAAAAATGCTACGTCTACAGCTCGTCGTTGAACGACAGGTTGCTGATCACGTCGTCCACCCTCAGAATCATCCGCACAACCTGCGTCGCGAGCAGGAGCTGCTGACGCTTCGAGATGAGCGGGTCGTACACGTACTGCTTCTTCATGTCTGTGATCGGCGTCAGCACATTCTGCCCTCTGCCAAGCCTTCTTCCATTCCACCGGCACGCGTGTATGCTTCTGCAGCTGTCGTCGGGCCAGTCCGGCCCGGCGCACTGGCGCACTGCCCTCCGCACACACATTCGTGATCGAGCAATACTCACCGTTCTCTCCCTTGCCCATGCAGTCAACTCCGAGGCGGGGGTTGTTCTCGGTTACTTGCCTCGACTTGACATCGGCAAGCGTGTCAATCGGCGAGAGACCAGAGTTCTCCGCCAGGGCAAGAGGCACCGCGTCCAAGGCCTGAGCGAACGCCCGCATGGCGTACTGCTCGATAGTGGGGGTCTGGGAGCGAGCGTCAGCAAGTGTGCTCGCTCAGGTTTGGTTTCCGGACATTTGGACAGCGGGGTCACCAGAGTTTTCCCGTGGGGGTAAGACACGGTAAGACACCGGGGCCCAACTGGCCCAAAACTCACCTCGTCGGCCTTTTTCGCGACGGCGATCGAAGCACAGATCTCGGCGGCACCACCACCGTACACCACACGGTTATCCCTGATCAGGTTGCGCACAACGCAGATGGCATCATGCAGCGCACGCTTAGCCTCGTCGATGATCTGTAGTAGTGTCAGCACGGTCTCTTCCTCTCTATGCATGTACGTCGGTGTGGGTCGGAAGTGTAGGCGGCTGCGTGGCTTGCAGCCAGGACCGCGTCTTCACGGCACTATGTTTTGCCGATGGTGGTCACCGATCGGCCCGCCCTGTGCCACGATGTGATTACGCGCACACTTGCGGGGTAACGACCGTTCACCTCCGACCCGACAGGAACAGAATTGGGCCCCCTGGTCACAGACAGACCACATGACCAAGGGGATCCGAGGGGAACCCAGGGGGTTTGGATGCACGTACCATCTTGTTGCTACCACGAACGAACACAGTCACAGCGCGCGAGTTGGCACACTCCTCAATCACCAACATCTTGTCCCTCGTCGTACCGAACGACATCTCCTGAACGAGACCGGCGTGTCCAAGCTTCTCAGCCGACAGGTCCTCGAATCGGGGCACAATGCGACCATTCGTGGCAATCGCAATGAGCTCGATCTCGGGACCGCCAACCCAACGTACGGCGGGGAGGTCGTTCTGCATGAGCAGGTGATTGGCCTCGTCGTCAAAGCCCCACTGACAGATGACGAGGTTCGCTCCAGTGTCCTTAACCCGCTTGATCATCTCCTCGAACTTCTCCTTCTCGTACGCGCGCAGCTTCTTGAACTCCTCGACGTTCTCAATGTCAAGCTTGTGCTTCGTCTTCGGGCGAGGGGGCTCGAACGGACACGTGAGGATCGCAATCTTGGCGTCCTTGACGGTACGGGGCATCTGGGGGTGGGAGAAGTCCTTGTCGATGACGACACCGTGGACGAGCTCAGTGTCCTCGAGGGAACCTCCGACCTTTCCGTCGACCTTGATGAGCTCAAAGTCGACGTCCTTACGCTGGAGGTCGGCGACCGAGAGGACAGCGTCGACGGCAATCTTGGCGAACTTGTCGCCGGCGAGGGAGACGATCTTGGAGCCAAGCGAGGTCTTGGCAGTCTTCAGGAGGTTGGAGGTGTCGTCCTTGCTGAAGGGAACAGTGTCGGCGACGCGGTCAAGCTCTTTGATAGCGATCTCACACGCCTTCTCGTAACCATCGGCGATGCGGATGGGGTGGATACCGCGGTCGAGGAGGGAGAGGGCCGAGGAGAGGAGAGCACCGGCGAGGACTGATGTCAGCTTTGGACCGATGATGGCAACTGTAAGGCATGGGCACGGCTCAAGACAATTGTGCGACAGATCCGGTCAGGCATTTCTCGGCATCGCAGGCATCGCAGTCGCAGAGATGCAGACGCCAGAGCTGTAGCTTGATGCGACCAGCCTGCTCTGCCAGAGCTGTACCAGCGTCTCCAGTTAGGCAAGCAGAGCAGATCTTCAACCGGAGCAACGCGATAGTGCCAATGATCACAAAGTCAGGCTTCGAGGCGTAAATCTTCGTTGCGAGATTAGAGAGCGCGATGAGCTGTACTTGATGTGTCCGAGGTAGATCGCAGACCCCAACATAGGCATGTTTCCTTCCCGAAGCACGTCCAGATAGCTGTTCAAAGCCATTTTGATCCAGTTTCCGGAAAGCAAGCACTCAGAGCGGGGGTTGAGACCCACACGTCCCCTTTCTGTACGCCGATTCCGCGAGACCTGTTGTTCTGTTCTGCCGGCCCGCCTCCAACCGAACTCACCAACAACACCCGTGGTACCGTCACCAATCTCGTCGTCCTGGCTCTTCGAGACCTGATCTGTCAGCTTCGACCCGTGACGAACTGCTAGCTTACCTCAACGAGGAGCTTGGCGATCTGGTGGTCAACCTCCATGTTGGAGAGGATCGTGGCACCATCGTTCGTGACATTGATGTCTCCGTCGGGGGAGATCAGAATTTTGTCGAGACCTCTCGGGCCAAGCGACGTCTTGATGATGTTGGTGACCGCGCGGGCGGCGAGAATGTGGCTCTGTGCGTGTCAGCTTACGACAATCATCTCTGAAGCAGGTAACATACACGGATAGCCTCGAGGCCGTGGGTGCGGACCTTCTTGCCCTGCTCGCTTCCAGTCAGTGTGTTTCTCTCCGTCAGTCATACCGGACAATGATGAAGGGACGTCCGTTCTGTAGTGTGTGTCAACTGAAATTCCCATTGCCGTTCATGCCGCTCGGTCCACCGTATTCGACACGCCGACAGCTCCAAAAGGCAAGCTCCAGAGTCGCACTTGCGCGCCGGTCAAGCAAGGGGTAACGTACCTCGTCCTGGGCGTACACCGCCTGGCCAGCTCCGATCTGGTCGAGCGACATCGTGGTTGTTTTTGGGAGTAGAGTTGTCGAGCAAGATGTTCAAGGAAGCTGACCGAATGTGCGACTGGAAACCAACGCGTCAGAGAGAATCGCACACGTGACATTTGCCACGCGGCATGCACCTGCGACACCTGGAAGCAAGCCTGCTAGGCGTGCCTCCACTATTTGCGCAGTGCCTGGCAGAGGGACGCCTACTGCAGGGAGGGGACGCTGGCCTATCGTGTCAACAACATTTCGTCACTGCACGCAGAAAGTTGAGCATTGAACGCGCGCAAGCGACAGCAACCTTCCGCCGAGTCAGACTTCAGCAGCATGGCGGCCACAACAACATCGACAAGCAAGACAGATGGAGAACCGCGGCCGATACGCGTCACGACCGGTGGTCATGTGGTTAAGTACGCCGAGCGTGCAATTGCGCTGCTCGAGGTGAGACCTCCGGTTCAACTGTTCGAGCTTTAGCTGACACCTCAGGCCGGCTCGCCCGCAATCCTCACAACGCAGCTGTCGACTGAGCCGAAAGCAAACTCAACACTGCATCCGGCCACTCTGGCTATTCCGCGCCTGATCTCTGTTGTCGAGAAGGTGAAGCGCGAGTGGCTGAAAACACACAACGAGGTCTGGCAGTACAACGTCTCGGGGCACATGAAGAGCCAGGAGAGACCGAGTCTCGAACGCGTACTGAGCGGGAAAACTAAGTGAGCTTATCATAAGGCTTTTCGTATGAGGGAGGCGGATCACCCCCTTTCGCGGGTGAAAGAAGCTGTTCATTTTGGACGCGGTAGCTGACTCTCAGGCCCAAAATGACCCACAACCCGTACCTCGAGATCACATTGAGTGGGAGTGAGCTCGACCTTGAGGGCGCGACTGTCCAGCACGAGCGGAGAAAGAAGGAGAAGCGCAAGTCGGACGTAGCGCGGGACGACGTTCAGGCGAAGCGCGCTCGACTCGGTTAACGCATTCGGCTCCCTCTACACTCTTCAGCACGCCTCAACAAGACACTCCCATCAGCATCGATTCAACCACTTATTCATAGAAAGCTATAGATCTACTGTTGTAAAAGTATAAATCCATGAAACTGCGCAAGAAGTATTGGTACAACATCATGTGTATCGTGAAGGGGGGCCGTCTTCAGTGGTTCGGCTGGGAGCGGGCCTGGCTCAGTGAGCGGTGCCGTGCTCATCAAGACAGGATGGGGTAGGATTGTCCAGAATTATATTCAAGAAAGGTATAGAACGTTGAGGGTGAACGTCGTGATGGAGTGCACGGGACGAGTGGAACGAGCCACATATCGTAGACACTCAGCGAATGTATGAGTGTGGATGTGGGGGTGAGGAGTGTGGTTGAACAGTCCTTCCATAATGCCTTAAGAGTGGGAAGTGGGGGAGAGAAGGCTGAGCGCGATTACAGAAGCGCAGCAGCCGTCGTGCCAAGAAGCGCGGTGATGGCCATGGCGACCGACACACTCATCTTGGAGCCGGCGTTCTTCTCAGCCTCCTTGACCTTGTCCGAGGCGTCGTTGTTGACCTTGTCCTTGGAGACAATGCCCATCTGCTTGTCCGTGCAAAGGCCGAGGTTCTTAGCATCCTTGGTGGTAACCCAAACGTAGGGGAGGCCACCGTAGCCCTGCGTCGAGTACGAGACTGAAAGCGAGCCACCGCTACCGACCGTGAACTCAGTGCAGGTGAGGAGGTCAATGACGGGAGTGACAGAGTCCCAGCCAGTGTTGTGGATGGGGAAGTAGGTCCCGTTCTCCGGGGAACCACGGTTGGTGATCGAGAAGAGAACGGGGCCGCGACGAATAGCGACGTCGTAGTCCGTCGAGTCGACGATCTGGGACTTGGCGTTCAGGAACGACTCGCCGTTGTACTCGAGGTTGTTCTCAATGATGGCGGAACGGATCTTGTTGAGACGGGTGATCTGCTGGTAGGTCGTGGTGTTCTCGTAGTTCGAGGGCCAGAGAGCCTCACGGTTGGTGGGATCCATGTTGCCAGCAAAGTCCTGCTCAGAGCCGTAGTAGACGACGGGGATACCCTCGAGAAGGAACTGGGCAACCTGGGCGTTGTAGCCGAGACGGGGGTCGACAGTCTGGTTGCGCCAACGAGGGACGTCGTGGCTCTCCAGGAAGTTACCGAGGACGGTCGTGTCAACGAAACCCTCCTGGACGGCCTTGAGGCGCGAAGTGAACTCGGTCATGTTGGCGTACGGAGCACCGAAGCCCTTCTGGATACCGTAGTAGAGAGGGAAGCCGAGGATGGAGTCGAGGTATTTGTTCTTCTGGTACTTGACGGCCATCTCCATGTCGTCACCGAAGACCTCACCGATACAGAAGACGCCGGCAGCACCACAGAAGCTGGTCCAGAACTCGCCCGGAACGTGCTTCGCCGCATCGATACGGAGACCGTCGATGTTGTACTCCTTGACGAGGTTGGCAATCCAATCATTGAGCTTCGACTGCACGTTCGGATTCTCGGTGTTAACGTCGAGGAGAACGAGCTTCTCGTCACCGAGGGAGCAGTTCTCGACCTGGGTCAGATTGCTGTAGTCCTTGATGATACAGAAGTCGTGGAAATCGTCGCGGCTAGTCCAGAGAGAGCCGTCCTCGGCAAGCTTCTCAGGGCTGTCGATGATGTTCTCAAGAGCAGGGACGTTCTGGACGACAATGTCGACCATGAGCCACATGTTGCGCTTGTGCAGCTCGTCGGAGAGCTTCTTCAGGTCGTCCGAAGAACCGAAGCGGGGGTTCAGCTTGGTGGGGTCATTGACCCAGTAGCCGTGGTAGGCAAAGTTGTAGGGAGTGTGGTAGTCGATGTTTTCTGACGTCAGACACTGCTCTCCCGGCATTATTAGCATGCACACTCACGGCTGACGGGGGAGATCCAGATGGCATCGAGGCCCATTCCCTGGATGTAGTCGAGCTTGTCAATGATGGAGAGCCAAGTTCCTCCACACCAGGTCTGGTCCCAGACATTGCACTCGGAAGGAAGGGGGTTGGTGAGAGCAGGAGCAGAGTCCGAAGGAGGCGCGAAGCGATCGGTGATGAGCCTTAGTTGATGTCAGCGTTTGTTGTTGTGGTTTATGATGAAGCTGCGGCGATGCTGCGGATCACTGATACAGTTCTCTGGAGTCGCGTGCCCCAGCGCCGAGCCCGTGCCTCGGCGGCGGTGGCATCCTTCCTTTGCGTCACAGTACTCACTGGTAGATGGAACGCGTTCGCCACTCCTCAGCGGACTTGGCGCTGACACCGTGAATGGCCGTCGAGGCCAGCAGAGCAGCAGCGGCAGGAGCAAAATACATGGTGGGCGAAACTGGCAGACGGAGCGGCCGGAAAGTGCGATGGGCAAATTCAGGTACGTCGGCTCACAGCGCTGGCGCTGTCGGGGTAAGGTGGAAGGTAAAGAGCGTGGGTGGGTCGAGAAGAAGAGCAGAAGCGACGACGACCAAGGTAGCGATGGAGGTCGAAAGAGAATGAGTGTAGGAGAGTAGAAGAGAAGGTAATGAGTTAGCTGAGGGTAAGGTAACGTGAGTCTGGGCCGGCGAACACGAAGAGGAGGACGAGGGCGGGTTGTTTGTAGCGGAACGAGCGAGCGAGTCCGCCGAAGGCAGGCATGCAGCCAGAGTCTCCAGGCAGAGCACGCGCATGCTGAACCCCTTCACCGCCGCGGCCCATTTGCATCCTGGAGACACCAGGCAGACAGCAGCTGTTAGGCCAAGGAGGCCCCGAGCCTGCCTGCAGGCAGCCAAGAGGACGCTCAGCTCACGCACAGTTCGAGAGGGACCTGTCGAGGTAAGCCAGCCCTACTTGAATTAGGCAGAAGCCGTCCTAGCGCGCAAGGATTCGGACCGCTTTCCCTGAACTGCCGACACTTTCGTTTGGTTAGCGCTGCAGCACCAGAGGGCAAAAGCTTCGCCTCAACGCGCTTCATGGGTACCTTGTCCGTGTACCCTAACAATCCCTGGCTCCAACCCTTCGACGCCTCACGCGCCTCGCGCCTGGGGCTCGCAACACACAGACTCTCCGACCAAGATGCTCACCAATCCGACACTTGAGTCTCGCTCGGAGCATTGTGGCTGCATTGCTCAGCCCTCATGCATGGTCCGCATCTCGGCGACAGGTCCTCTTGGCTGCACAGCAATCAACGTCGACGTCTATTTGGAGGTCGCTAACCCACCCCCCGATGGAACACCGGGAAACGGATACCACCGGTATTTCCGTGCCTCGTGAGCAACCCTTCTGCAAGAAACTTTCGCTGGACAGGAGACGGTGGAGAGCAGAGCTCGAAAGCCGGCATCGGAACAGGCACTGTTTTTAAGTTTTCGACCTCCTGACTGACAGTCCTTGCGATGGGCTTTGGCATGTGGTGCATAAAGGCCTTAGTCGCTCATTCGCTAGCCTGTGTAATTGGGCACCTTACATTGCAAGTCGCGTGCGGGGGGCGTACAAGCCAGTGGTCTGCAGGTCTGTAAGGGGTCAGTTCTTTCTTGCACAGCCGACGATTCAATGGCAGAAGGTGACAGAAGGGTGCTCTGATGGGCTGAATTGTACGTGGTTGCGCTGTCGAGGTGCCCCGACGCCGACTCTTGAGGGGGAGGCGTTATAAACAAGCATACTGTAGCAGGAGAGCGAATCACAGAGTCTGTTACCCACCGTCTAGACGAGCGGCCGCCGCGTTGGTTCTATTCTGGTTCTCTGCATGAATGTCCATGGAGCTGAACATCTTTTGACTATAACTGCTTCCGAGGGCCGATCCCACTTCTGTACGGGGCACCTACAGACCGAACTGCGTACTGAGCACACGCAGATCAGCAATGAGTGCTGCGATGCCGTCCGCCGTAGCCGTCTGCACGGCTTCGACGCCCTCTGCGGTCATGTTTCGGCGCAGATCCCATAACTTGTCATTGATTTCGGCCTTGAGGACGACCAGCTTGCGTATAATGGCTCTCACGGAAGGAGGAACGTCCTCGCTTCTGGCGGAAGAGGGCGCTGGAGACCAGTTAGAGTTGGTGTCCCACGAATGACGGAGATTCAGCGGCTGCGGGGCTGCCCGCTGCAAGGCGCGGGGAGCCGGGGAACGCAACGCTGATGTTGTCGAAGCTGGTGAGCTCAGGCCGGGGTGCTGCGATGCAGTTGCCTGTGTCTGAGGCAAGGAGTGCTGACCTGCGAGCGAGGAAGACGCGGACAGCGGTGTCGGCGGTGGCAACATAGGAGCGTTGAATCGCTCATTTTGCGCCAGCATCTCAGTGATCACTCTCTGGAGTCGACGCATGATCTATGAATGAGTTGTTGCCGAAGGAGCTCTCCAGACTCACGCGAACGGATCTGATGATCGCGATACTCTGGAGAGCATTCAAACCGAAGCTCAGAGCCGCTAGTTGTCAGTTGCCGGGCCTCAGCAGTCACCCACCCAAGGCGATAGCAACGCTGAGGGCAGAGATCTTGAATTGGCACTTCATGTGCTTGCGCTGAACGAGGAACGAGAGAGCGATAGGTGATGCTGGTGGCCACGATGTGGTCGACGGAGTGTACTCGTGGAGAGAGTAAATGCAGGGGTGTGAAGGACGCTCATGGAGATAATAGAGATGTGCATGCATCACTGGCGAGGTCGAGGAAGACATCCTGTTTACCTTGGAGGCGGGGGATGATCCATGATGATCTGGATCGGTCTGGACCGTTGCGCCCCCCTCCGGCCCCGCCTGCCTCGTGACCGCTGATCCCGCAGTTACATGACCGCAGTCGTCAGTGGATCTGCTACTGCTGCGAGTTGAGCTGGTTTGCTTCTACATCTCTCTCACCATCGGAAGCGTCCGTTATCCTCACGCCAGTCAGTCGCGCACATCCAGTGACTGACCGCCGAAACGTCGGCTGCACTTGTCTTCCTCAACCCTGGTCCTCACTGCATTTCCGCCACAGAGCTTGTCATGAGCCCTTGCAATGCGAGCTTCTCCCTTCTGCCGACGATAGGTGAGGTCTGCTGTCGATATGGGATCCACTCCTTGCTCTCGCGAGCGGATCATAGCCTGGCATTGCCACACCACAACTGGCGTGAAGGCCGTGATTGAGCCCGAAGTTTATCCGTGTGCAGCAGCGCAAATCCAGTCTGTCGGCGTTCGCCACTCGGACGGGCAAGGCGGGGCAGTCCTGACCTCTCCGGCCGTCGACTTTGCGTCGAGGGAAGGGCTCAGGACGCATGGCCGATCCCTGTCACTTCTCGGCCGCTTCGCCGGACGCCTGCCAGATCGCCGGACAAACCCTCGGTGTCCACCACGAGTCGTCCGCTCGGCCGCGCCGGAAACGTCATCAGTTCGAACCCCCAAGACCGTACCAAGACCACGCACAGACCCCTCGCATCGCCTCCAGAGCATCCAGGTCCGAAGCCACTGTGACGAACGCCACCAGGTAGGAAGGCGTCAGGAAGAAGTCTCTCGTCAGCCGTTCCTCCCCATTGTGAGTCCGCATGAATGATTGATTACATGTTCGTGTAAAGGATACAACAGCTCCTTCCTCCCCCACACGCAGGCGGAGCATCTGGTGAGTCGCGATCGAGGAGCTTGTGAATTATACAGCTTTTGGTCTATTCGGCGTAGAATGTCGTTCGGCACTTGCCATCGGCGCGTGGTCGTGATCGTGATTGTGATTGTGCGCGAGTGATTTTGGAGGTTGAGCCAGGGTCCTGCGATCTAGAAAGCAGTGCTTGCAGCCGATTTCTCAATGAGCGCCCTGGGCACCAGTCCACTTTCGACCCTAGCGATTCTGTCGCGCGCGAATCGCTGCAAGCCCTGCAGCTCGCTCAATTGCTGCTGTGCCTGCGCCGACGCCGAAGGCGCGCCGGGTACGCTCGCAGCGCCCGTAACGCCGGCAATGCCGGACTGTGATCGAGACGCGAGGGACTCGATACGCGCGCCCAGGTCGGCGTCCAGTTGTCGCAGCTCGCGCGCCGCCTCGTCCAGGGCGAGCAGGCTTCGCTGCTGAGTTTCCGACATGGAGGCGTACACTTGCGAAAGCCCTGCCTGTCGGTACAGGAGGACCAGGCTGAAGACGAAGAGGAAAGCTGCCCCGTCAGTTGGTGTTCGTACATGTCTGGGCGGGGCTTGGCTGTCCCGCTGCCATACTCACCAGTAGCCACGAGCAGGCAGGAGACGAAGACCTCGGACGATTGTGAGAGAGGCGACTCGTAGAGCGCAACGGTTTCGACGGGCGCCATGGTGCTGATCGTGACCGAGTGGGCAGTAACGACAGTGAAAGGGAGAGCGACAGCGAGCGCCTGTGCGTCTCGTTGCTCTTAAGTAGCCAGCAGACTCGGAGCCAAGACCGAGAGCGAAAGCACGGGTCGCACAGGAAGCAGGAGTAGTCGCACAGGTCGTCAAGTTCTCAGGCTTTCTTGATCCGTAATGGTCCCTTGGAATCTCAGGACTAGGGGACCCAACGTACAGCGCCGAAACTCAGAGCTGACGACAGATTGGTGTCGCACCGTGCAACCTCATGCTTCACGCGCTCACTAGCTTACGCCATGCTATTGCTTGGGTCCTGGTATACCTGGTATCCTGTTATCCTGGACCTGATTTACGTCCTGAGCTATGATGAATGCAGCAGGCAATCCAAGGCGATCGCAGGCGAGGGCTTCCGGTGGCTGCCGGGCGGAGCGTAGTGGCCCACTGGTAGCACCGCCCACATGCCCCGAGTGGCTGAAGATGGCCGCATGGCCGATCGCGGCGCCGTTCTTGCGCCGCTGTCACACCGTGCACACCGACAAGTGAAGCGTGCACATGTGCACCATAGAGTTTGGGCGGGATGCCGTTGACTCGCTCACAACTGTGCACACGAGGTCGTACTCCGATTATACTTCAGGCCGACATGACATGTGGGTATGATCTTGCTTCGAGCACTTCCCGTTGCATAGGTCTGATAGTGGTCAAATCTCGGAAGGAAGGAGGAAGTACGCACGCCCAGCCCAAGCAACGTAAGCTCATCTATTCAATCATTGAATGGATAAAGTTCATTCTTCAGGTGCGGCCATGCTGCCTTCGCAACACAGCTCAATTACTCTCGCCTCAGCCTTCGCGCGTCTCGTCTGCTTCTGCTAGGATGCGCCCCCAGTCGTCGTGTCTTGTTGACATCCATTCATGCCCGGAGCAAGCTTGACAAGCATGTGTGCGCGTGCGCGCTTGTGCAACGCCAATGCCGATGGCGCTATTCAGAGTCTGAAGGCAGGATCTTATGAAAGCCGATGAACCCGGGTGATCGGGCCAGTGTCGCCGCCTCATTCCTCATCGCCTGCATGTTTGGGACAGTGATCACCAAGGGGTTGAGGCAACGTAAGAGGTTAATCATCGGGAGGCGAGGCACAGAGGCACGAATCTGGCACTGATGGCCGCTGGCTTCATGCTCTGTGCCAGTTGTCCGTCTGCGTCTGCGTCCAACTCATCGGAGACGCTCATGCATAACGAACATGGCTCAGGAAAGGCAGACTTGTCATTGCAGAACCCAGCTTTGCACTGGAACCACTGCCGGGACAGACGTTCGAAGAACAGCATGAACCAGGAACCGGAGCAGACGTCGTGCTACCGTGCGGGTGACAGATCTTAACTTGAGGGTGCACTCGTCCGCAGTCGCCATCTGCACACTGTATTTCACCTCTGCCGGACACTGGCGCCGCGTCTGGGACTGAGTGCCGACGAGCGGAGCAGGAATAGCATGCATGAAAGGGCAGTGCCCAGTGTGAGAAGGACCGGTCTCGAGATGGCCGACCAATAGAGGTCCCAGGTATGCCAAGACCTGGCTGTGCCTGTTGACAAGATTGTGCTTCTCTCTCCTCACCCTCTCTCGGATTCTTTTCTCCCATGTCCGCCCTCTCCATTCATTCATGAAGCGGTGGGATACAGGCATGCAACTTGGCGGCCGATGGTAGAGGAGTGAAATGACCAGAGTATCGGAGGCAGAGAAATAAGCTCAGCGTCGGCACTCCAAGGATAGTAACTCTGCCGACATCTGACGGCGTCGGTTTCGTAATGTCCCATCTCTCAGTGCACACCTTCGTCCTCATCCCTCGGCTCTCGGCCCGTTGAGTATCATCTGCCTCGATGAAGAACTGGAAGGTCGAGAAGTACGACGCCGGGTTGCGTGAGAAGCAGGGAGAGATAGACATATTAACCACAGACTGCGACTGTAGGAGACGGGACACGAGGGGCAGAGGTGTCGTCGCCTGCTTCAGATGCCTCTCTCCTCATTGCGACTGCAACGACAGGAGACGAGTGTTTCAGAACAGCAGGCTCAATCTGCGCCGTTCACATGTCGACTCTGACCCCTCCTGTTCGTCGTTCTAAGGCAAAAGCGTCAAGCACGATAGGCTACGTGATGAAACTCCTGTTCTGGGCGAGCGCTGTGGGCCAGAGGCTAGTTAACGCAGGACAACTCCGAAACCCGTGACACAACCCGAATCTCGACGCACTTGCAGCACGGAATGGAAGTAAGATGACAACATGAGACAGGGCGCGAGCTATGGAAGTGTCTAGTTATACAGGCGCAGTGGGGAGGATGTGGTGGGCGATCGCGCGCGATCGAAGACAGGGAGGGGAAGAGCGGTAAGGGGACCGGCCCGCGGCCCGGAAGCCGTGTGGCCTCGATCTGGTGTATCGGGGGTGTCTATCGGGAGAGTACTGTCGGTCGGGGCGTAAGAGTCGTCAAGTAACAAGGGAATCTTGATCTAGTTCCAATCCAGCTCGCGCCTCATACGACGTTGAGGCTAGCCACACTCCCCTCCCTCGTGCCCCAGGCGCTCGTACTCTTCCCTCCCCTCAGGATATCGAGCTCTCTCAGAATATCCCCCAGCTGGTCATGCACACTGGCGCGATGCTGGCCCAGCTGGCTGCTGATCTCCTCGGGAGAGACGGAGCCGCAGCGCAGGCGAGAACAGAGCGAGTACACATCTCTATCGACTTCATCGTCGAGCTCGATGATCCGGCGCGAGGCAATGTTCACGGCCGCCTTGGTGCGGCTGGCGGCTTGCAGCGCCTCCAGTCGCAGCGCGAGCTGAGTGGCGTGCAGAGCCTGCGTCTGCTCCATCTGGTGCACGGATGCGCCAGAGGGACGGCGACCGTCGGCGAGCTCAGTGTAGCGTTTCTGACCGTCAGCGTCACAGTCAAGCGTATGCCGCTGCTGGTGATCGGGGCATGCCACAGCTTAGCCGTTTACCAGCCAGCACATGTTGACTTACCCTCACGCGCTGATCGCGGAAACACTCCCGAATCAACGTCGACACGCTGATGAGTGCGAGGAGTACTGCACTGTCAGCTACTATGCAGGTTGCCGCCCAACGCACCCCCATACGCACAAAGGAAGGCCGCGAGCGCAATCACGACGCCGTTCGGCTCGACGCTGATTTCCCCGTTGCCGTCGCCAGGCAACGCGGTCGGAGGGGGCAGATGGGCCTCGGACTGCTGTTCCGGGGGATGGCCCGTCGTCGAGATCGCCACCATTGCTGCTTCTGGTAGGAGTGTAGATGGGGAGGGGGAGGGAGCAGGGCAGGAAAGACGAGAACGAGAGGACGAGTGGGGAACAAGAGACCGGGGATCAGAGATTTATGCCACAGACCCAAGAGAGCAAGGGTGGCTGTGGCCACGGGGGATCCGAGTGGGTGTGAAGTGTTAGGCGCTGGGATGTACCCCGAGCAACACGGCCCCGAGTACCACGGGGTACAGTGAGCGATTTTGGGTATATGCAAATACTGAGAGGTCGATGTGAGATTGTTGGACCCATGGCGCTACGCGAAGCGAGCGCTCTCGGAGGGCACGTTGCGCTGTTGTCCCCGTCACTAGCTCTAACTCTTCTGCTGAGATCGAGCACGTTTCGATCCCATTGTACCCCTGCCGGCCCATCTGCGTTCGCTTCGGTTGCATATGGGACGCACAATGGCGATGCGGAGGTTCACAGGCTAGGTTTGGTTCACATTAGCGCCGTAGCGCTTCCCTCCGCCGGCGTTGGTGTCACGAGGCTGAGTGACGGGCTGGTAAATCCCTCGCTGAGCTGATTTCTAAATTCGCTCATCGCTACCAGGCGGCCAATCGCGCAATTCCTCCAGCAAAACCATACCAGCGGTACCTCCTTCGCCATGCATGCGCCAGGCTGTGGTTAGTGCCGCTGCATGCGGGGATGAGGTCATAGGTAATGTCCCATTGCACTAGCACTCCGAGATCGAGCGGACTTGCAATCCCCCGCTGCGGTTCCCAGTGCGGGGTTGCGGAGTCACTTTGCAAACAGCAGAAGAGCAAATCCTCGGCAGTCAGTAACTCGGCAGTCACTGCTGACGCGAGCAGCGGTTCTCCAGTTGAGCCTGCCCCCTCTCAGTCCAGGTACAGTGGGCCAGTTGCGTCAGAAACAACTCAGTTCTGCGTTAGCTCGCAGGCCAGCGATTTGGCAATCCCGTTTGCCTCAAGCTCAGAATCATTCCTTCGATCTGCTCACGAAATTGAGACAGGCAGGCTTGGGAAACGCTTGGGCCACTTTATTTATAGAGCGTCAAGACTGCCGAGTTACTTCCTGCGCCACTCCGCTGGACTCGGGACGAAGGGCAGCGCACGATCGTGGACACGGGGACCACGAGGGCAGCGTTATGTGTTGATTCCGAGCAGAGCTTGCACAGGATCGACTGTCCCGCTGGGTGCTTGCGGTTGTCGAATGAACTGATTCACGGCTCAACGGGATGAATCTGAGCTGTTAGAGCTTGGGACGAGGTATTTTTCGCATTCGCTCTGTCCTCTGCCCTACGCATCACCATGACACCACCCCTGCCCTTGTCGAGCTTGCACTTGGGGCATCGGGTCCGCCGACAGTGCACACAATGATTGTAGCACGTAATGGCTCTGGATGCTCGGAATACGTGCTCATTGGGCGGCAAGGTGGCGCGGCTTTGGTGATGTGTGCGAGATTGCGAGGACTAGACGGCAGGGGCTAAAGTTGAATTGTGCAGAGGATGGTTGGGTGAGGATGATGGGTGGCGTGGGGTGTGTGCACGGCCGCAGGGCCGAGAGGGTAGATAACGTCGACGATGATGGGCGGCCAGTCTTCTTTTCCGCGATCTGATCCGTCGTTATCTTCTCGAACTTTGACCTGGCCAAAGTGAGACGGCGAGACCGAGGCGACCGAGCCTCGTCTCTGATAAGGACGCGACCGCTGCATTTGCTCGGTCGCGCGAGGAGGCGTGCGCCGCGATCCGCGATCGACGACGACCCGAGTGTCATTGGCGGAACCAAAGATAAGCCGGTGACCACCCGTCTGTGGTGTCGTGAGTATGACTTCAGCCAGAAACGGCAATGCCGCCGTTCCTATCCCACTCGTCGCTTTCTCCACCTCCTATCACTGCCCATCTCCACAACCACAACCATGCCGGCGCGCGACCCCGCAGCCGCGCCGCACATCCCTCCGCCGCTCTCCACCACCCCGCCCGGCCCAGGCTTGCCCACGCACTATGTCGGCGGTTCAGGTTCCGGGCGCGCCCGCTCCGGCAGTTCAGCCGGAGCAGCTGGCATGTACCGCGAGCTGAGCACGTCGCCGTCAACCTCGAACCGCCGCACAAGCGCAACACTCGGAATAGGGCTCCCGAATCCGGACCAGCGTGCGCGCCGCGTTAGTCAAGGAGGTGACTCGCGCGTAAGCCGCTTGTTCCGCCGCCTGTCGGCCACGTCGGATCACTCCGATGGAGCCCATGGGCACCACGCGCACCACATTATCGACCCCGTCTCTGGCGTTGTCGAAGATGCCATTTGCGAGAGCGAGTTTGAGCGCGAGGACGACGCGCTTGACGAGTGCGTTTCCACCAGTTTCATCCCCCCCGGCCCAGCTACAACGACTAGCTTCCCCGTCACATGAGCACGCAACGGCATGGCTGCAGGGGCGAGGACGGGAGGGATCTTCCCCCTTCCAAGCTTCCTCCCTGTTCGCAGACTCGCACGCACACCATTGTGCTACGGGCGTAGCTGGCGCAGACGGTTGCCGTTTATGTGCGCCGTTGCGCTCCGCTCAAAACAGGTGGAGAGATTCGCTGTCGTGCGTCTAGACTCTTGGTTTGTGTCAGGCGGCCGCGCGAGTCTTGCGGGCACAGCTCACTCCAAGACACATCTTCATCACACACTCCCACGCCCATTACGACTCTATAAAAAGTTGGGAGACAGCTGACCATGCGCAGGGCTGGAGCAAGCACGACCTCACGCGCCATTCGCGACTCGACCCACCGCCTGGCGTCTATGTCCGTTCAAACTAGCGGGTATATGAGTTCTGGCTTCCAACTCGACCACCGACCACACCATCCTAGTCCGCTCACCAGCTACATTGGCTCGACAGTCGACTTCCACGGCACGTCCCCGTCATCGTCGCGGCACTTCAAGGGCCCCGAGTCACCCAAGTCTGGGCCGTCCGGCCTCTCGGTGCTTATGGAGCGCGGCCGCGCCGGCCTTGGAACATCACAGCGATCGCAGGACAGTGAAGACTCTGGCGACACGACGCCGCACGCTCGACCCCGCGAACTCTCCCCAGAAGTCGACCCGCGCGAGGCGCAACTCGACTACCGTGCTTCCCACCTCGCCGAAGTACAGGAAGTCAACGAGGAGATCGAAGACGACATGGGTAACTCATCGGAGTTCAGACAATACCTCGAGGCCGAGGCCGCCAGGCCGCCGAACGAGCAGACATCCCTGCTCGCCGACAGGAAGCAGGGGTGGAGGTCACGCACCGGGGTTGATTTCCAGGTCGCCCGAAACCGCTTCTCCAAGATCACGCTCACAGAGGCCGTCCGCCTCTGTATCACTGAGCCCATCCACTGCCTCCCTGCCGTCATTCTCGGTGTCCTCCTCAATGTCCTTGACGGTGTTTCGTACGGCATGATCCTCTTCCCGACTTCGCCCTACTTCCCCGGCTTCTCCTCGCTCGGCATTTCGATGTACTTCATGTCGTGAGTTAAGAATGGCTTGACCGCTAGCTGACCCCCAGGTGCGTTGTGTCTCAGCTCGTGTTCTCGGCCGGCGGCAGCATTTTCGGCGGTGGGAACGGCACGATGATGATCGAGGCGATCCCGTTCTTCCATATCCTTGTGAACCTGATCGTGGCCGAGGTCGGGGATGACGCAAACTCGATCGTCGCGACGACCATGGCTGCGTTCGCATTCAGCTCGATCCTGACGGGCCTCGTCTTCTTCCTCTTGGGCGCGTGCCGTCTGGGCTCGCTCATCGGCTACTTCCCCCGGCACATCCTCGTTGGATGCATCGGGGGCGTCGGTGTGTTCCTGATCCTCACGGGATTCCAGGTCGCGATGCGCCTCCCCGAGGACGGCTTCGAGCTGAACCTCGAGTCGCTCAAGCTACTCTTTTCGTCGGTGCACACGTTCGCCCTGTGGGCCATCCCCGTCGCGCTCGCTATCTTGCTCCGTGTCATCACGCACCACGTTCACCACCAGCTTGTGTTCCCCTTGTACTTCTTCGTGCTTCCGGTCCTATTCTACATCATCGTCGCGATCGGGCCGTGGAGTCTCGACGACCTCCGCCACGCCAAGTGGATCTTTGAGGTCGACCCGGACCCCAAGCCCTGGTACGAGTTCTACACGTACTTCAGCATCAAGAACATCAACTGGGAGGCATTCTGGGGTGTCATGCCCACGCAGCTCGCGCTTGTCTTTTTCGGCATCCTCCACGTGCCCCTGAACATTCCCGCCCTCGGCGTGTCGCTGTGCGAGGACAATGTCGACCTTGACCGCGAGCTCGTCGCACACGGCTTCTCCAACCTTGCTGCTGGCTTGACAGGCACTGTTCCGAACTACCTCGCCTACGTGAACTCTGTCCTCTGTGAGCTTTTACGTTCAGACCTCCAAGCTAACCCCAGTCTATCGCGTTGGGGGCGGCTCGCGCTTGTCCGGCTTCATGCTCGCGCTCGCGACCAGCGGCATCATGTTTATGGGACCTGGTGCCATTGCCTACCTTCGTAAGCTAACCCACTCGTACTGAGCTTACGTTCAGCCGTGTCCGTCGTCGCCGCGCTCATCTTCGTGCTTGGCTTTGACCTGACGATTGAGGCAGTGTGGGACACACGCCATCGTGTCAACCGGATGGAGTACATCACGATCTGGGTCATCATCATCGGCATGACGGTGTTTGACTTTGTCATCGGCCTCTTCATCGGCATCATTCTCGCCTGTGTCTTCTTTGTCGTGCAAAGCTCTCGCCGTCGCCCGATCCGCACCGTCTTCAGCGGCGCGACTGCTAAGTCGACCGTCAGGCGCCCCGCCGCGCAGCGCGCGTTCATACAGATGGTCGGCTCGCAGACGTATGTCATGAAGCTGCAGGGCTTCCTGTTCTTCGGCACGATTGCGGTCGTCGAGGACGAGATCCGCAAGCTGCTCGACTTAGCGATGTGGGAAAACAACCCGATCCGCTTCCTGATCATCGACTTTGCGCTCGTTGGCGGGCTCGACTTTTCGTCTGCCGAGGCGTTTGTGCGCATCCAGCGTCTCCTGGCTGCCAAGGACGTGCTCTTAATCCTATGTGGCGCCGAGCCGCACGGGCTCGTGGGCACCGCCCTACGCGCAGTGGACCTCTGGGCTGATGAGGACGGAAGTCAGGTCGAGGTGTTCCGGACGCTGAACGACGCGCTCGAGTGGACGGAGAATGCGTACTTGACGGTGTTCTACGACAACAAGGCGCGCCAGAGACCCTCCCTCCAAGCGACCGAGGCTCGTGGCATCGATCTGCCCAAGATGGCAAAGGTGCCGTTCAGTCTGGCGGAGAGCTTCCAGAACTCGCCGCGGCGCACCCTCCTCGCCCGCGCAGGAGACGAGAACCTGCACTCCGGCTTCGTGACGTACGGCTCGACACTGGCGCCTCCAGCGCAATCACCCAAGTCCCCTCCCGCCGCCGAAGAGCACCACGAGGCCCCGCGACCCTTCGGCCAGCCTCTCCAGATCCTCCTTCAGACCCTTGGCCCTTACACAGACGCCGGGACCGAGTTCTTCCAGGGTGTCGCGCCGTACTTTGCCCAAGTCGTCGTCGAGACGGGGCACGTGCTCTGGCGCCAGGGATCAGCGAGTGACGGCCTCTATCTCATCGAATCTGGCTCGCTGCGCGCCACATACGCGTTTGACGAGCACGCCGAGGCGATCCACGAGACCATGGTAGCAGGCACTGTGGCGGGCGACCTGAGCGCGCTGAGCGACACGCCGCGCAACGCAACAGTGGTCGCGGAGCGGGACTGCGTGCTCTGGAAGCTGACGCCGGAGGCACTCGAGAAGATGCAGAAGGAGCGGCCCGAGGACGCGAGCCGCCTCACCAAGGTTGTGCTCAAGGGTGCGGTCGAGGAGGTCGACGTCCTCAGCGCGCACCTCATTGCTGTCCTGTCGTAACGAATGCCCGTGGAGAGTGGGCTCCGGGTTTCAAAATGTCAATTTTAACGTTGTCGATGCATAATGTCATAGGTTCTGCGGACTGGGGCACTGGCGAGCACTGGACTGACGGCGCGCGCGTTAGGGGATGAAGACGGACAAAAGTCAGAGCGCGCGGGGGCTTCGGAGCTCACCACAGAGATTCTGTGTGTCCTGCCCATCTCATCGCTGCACTAAGCACTTGGTGCAATGCATGCTCTAATCAAAGACAACAGCGCTCCCCAACTCCCACTCCCTCCCCACCCCTCCCTCACCCATAGTCAGCACCCTAACCCCGCCCAAGTCCGCGACACCAGGCTCCATCGCCTTCCAGCGGACTTTCCCCTCCCAGTGGGCCTCGTACTTTGTTCCTCCCGTCGTACTGCCGGGGGCTTCGGCAGCATAGCTCGTGCCCGCCTGCTCCCTGACCAACTTCCAGTCGCCAATCTTGAGCGTGACGAGACTCGAGCCGAGGGCGAGCACGCGTCCGTCCCCTATGACGCCGGGGCGCGAGATGGTCGGCGGTGGCGGGAATGCGGGGGCTGTGGGCGAGGCCTGGATGGACTGTGGCCTCGGTAGGGGGGAGGCGGGTTTCGGCGGCGGAGCTGGAGCCGCAGCTGCACCTGCTGGGGACGAGATGGCGTGCCGCAGCTGACTGCTGACGGGAGTCATGGGCCGCGAACCGGGGACGGCGGGGACGGGCGTGCCGACACTGCCAATTGGCGTACTGGCGCGAGACGCGCGGCGCTGACCCTGTCCCTGCCCCGTCGCGACGGGGGTGAGAACCTGCACGCCAAACTCTGTCTCTGGCGGGGGCGCTTCGCCTGCTGTCCTCACGCCGAGGCGGAGGGTGAGCTCCAGATCATCCTCGGCTTCTACCCGCCGCGATCCCGCTACGGTCAGGTCCCACTCCCATCCCTCGCGCGAGGGCTTGTTCAGCGAGCGATTCAGAGAGAGGCGGGGGTTGTTCGAAAGCGAGAGCAGAGAGGTGGGGCGGGAGGGCGTGGGTTGCGGAAGCGTTGTGCGCCGGTTCAGCATCGAGGTCACGAAGGAGCCGGGCTCGTGGTGCGGGCCGGAGAGCCAGGAGAGCCTCAGCCGGCCGAGGGGGAGAACCGTGCCCGCAGCGTACGTTGGCGGGAAGGACGAGAGGGGTAGCTGTTCCTCCTTCTTCTCTGCTGTTGGCGTGTCGCCGCCGTCGGCCTCGGGCGAGAGCACGAAGAGACGCTGCACCGTGTCGCCAGGGAGAATGTCGTCCCCGCCGGCGCTCCTCGCGTCCACCTCTGTGTCGGGGTCTGGAGAACTGATGCTGCGCGCCGTCATGCCCGTAACAGCGTCCAAGTCCGCTGACTGCAAACGCATTGCAACAGGCGACGTGTTCTGCATCAAGACCTCGAGGTAGACGTCCCCTCGCTTGTCGGCGTCGAGAGCAGTGTTTGGCGCTGACGGCGTGATGACGCGTGTCTTGATCGCGAGCGGGAGAGCAGCCTGTTGTCAGCTTAAGTTTGGACTCCCTTCAGCTACCCCTTCCCCCTCATCTCTCTCACCCGGATTAAGGCAGATCGATAGCAGGGAGACAACCGCACTCACAGTGAACTTGAGGAACCGCTGGAACGTCCGTCTTCCCCCCTCCGTCTCCCACGCCACGCTGCAGATAAGAATATGCAGCCCCAACTCAGCAAGCTCGTGCTCTCCCTTCAATTCAACCCCTTCTCCGGGCGCGAGTTGCGGCAGCTCGTTCCAAGCCCTCGTCTCGGCCTGGCTCGGGTCCATGCCCTCCGGCCGCTCGCCGCCGTGCACGACCTCGCCGAGACGCACGCGCCCGCTCGGGCTCTGTATCTCCATCATCATCTTGACGCCGTAGACGGGCGCATTGCTCGTATTGTGCAGGCGCACGCTGGCCTTGAGTTTCTCCCCGAGCGAAGCTTGCCCGTAGGGCGGCTGATAGTTTGACGTGGGCGAGAGTTGGAACCCGGCTTGCAGTTGCGGATACGGCTGAGGAGATGGGGGCACACGCTCCCCCGTCGGCTTTGGAAGAGGCGGGAGAAGCGTCACCGGCGTCAGCGACACGCTGCGGTCAGTACGGTCAGGAAGGAGAGCTCACAGATCCAGAGATAGCGGTGGGGGATCGGCGCGCGGCGGTTCCATCGTGCTTGCTGGGGAGAGAGATGGTGTCAGCGTCGATGTCATCCCTCCACCTTATCCGGGGCCGGCCCTCCACCAACAACCAACGGGCACGCGCCGCATCTCCGTGTCTTCCTCGTCTCATCAACACCAGCTCTTGATCGTGGTAGTATCACACATCGGTGCATTTCTAAAGGCACAACTTGGCTCTACATGCTATACAAACGAACGTACGAACGTTGGGTACAATGATTATACTTCTGATGCTTGGAGTGTGGGCGGTGAGGTCGTGGTGCGGACAGCTCGCCGCCACCATCTCCCCTTACTGACGACCCTGCTCGCGCCTCTCACGGTTTGCCTTGGCCAGCTCACGGCTAGCCTTGGCGAGCAGGTCGCACGCAACTGTAACACGCTCAGCGGGCGCGTCGCGGTCGCGCTCCTCCCACTCGGCCGGGGCGATAACCAGGCCGCCGTCAGGGCGAACGAGCGAGAGCTGCCCGCGCGTAGCAGCAGTCGCGAGCGCCTCGCGGAGCGCGGCCGCCTCGATCGTCTTTGCATCGAGGTTCTGAGGTCAGCTAAGAGCACAGAGATACCCACAGCTGCAGCAGAGCTGATTGGAGAGGCATAACTGATCTCTGTTACTTACTAATGCGAGCGAGAGGATGCGCTCCTCAGCAGCCTGGAGGCGCGCGCGAGTTCCGGCGAGCGCCATCGCGTCAATCTCGAGCTGCTTCATCTTCTCCTCGCGCTTGCGGCGGAACACCTGCTGCGCCTTGCGGTTCTGCTCAGCGCGACTCTCCTTGCTGCAAATGTAAGCTTACGATCAACGAGCTGGTAGCTTTCACTCGACTCACCTAAGTTTAGCGCGCTTCATCTTGGATCCGTACTCCTCTTCCTTCTGCGCCTCCTCACCCTGCTGCTGCTGAGCCTGCTGAGATGCCTGCTGCGCAGCCTCGGCCTTGGCGCGCTCCTCCTCCTCCAGAATCTCCTTCCAGCCGGCACGCTCGTGAGGGGCCTTGCGACGCTTGCCGCCCATCTCGCCACGGTCTAACGCGACGGTGTCTGTGGAACCGGGGAACTCGTCCATGGGCGGCAGAGGGGCAAGGTACGGCGCATCAGGGGCTGGTGCCGCCAGCGCAGCGAGCGAGGATGGGATCGGCACCGAGGTATCGGGCGGCGAAGCGGGCGTGGGAGCGCTGGGAGGAAGAGGAGCATAGCGCTCGTCATAACGCTCATCGGCCGGGTTGTAGTGCTCGCGCAGGTCTGTGGTCAGCTATGGCTCCTACAGCTCCACAGCTGCATGGATGTCGAGGAAGAAGGGACCGTCGATGTGATCGACATCCCCCTGTAACAATAGTGAGCACTCACAGCTCATGAGAATCGCGCCGTCGCCCTCCTCCCCCGCCTGGGGGGCCGGAGGCTGGACGCCCTGGATGTCGAGGATGGTGGCGAGCGAGTTGTGCGGCGAGTTCATCTTGCGTTGTTGCGTCTCGCGTCGCGTTCAGAGGATGGAGAGAGAGTGTGGAGGGAAGTGATTACGTATGAGGTTCTCGCGAGGACACAAACAACGCCGCCGTTGAGCTGACACCACCCCGCCAGATTTGCTTCCGCTCTCTCCTCTATGTTCCCGCGATCAGCGCGGCGATGCTTGTGGCAACACCCGTTCTGGAAGCCCGTGGAGCTGACGGCATCGAGGGCACACGCAGCAGGGGCCGTCGTCTCTGCACAGAGGCATGAGTTACATATCATATCAGTCGGTACAAACAATCCCAAAACTTCTTCTATGCTGCTACGGCTTATGCAATCAGAGGTTGCGGAACATCTGCCACTCGTCGTCAGACCCCTCCTCCTCGTCCGCTTGAACTTTGAGGACAACACTGCGTCCGTAAGACTCACGCCCACGCTTCAGTGTCATATCGAGCTTGACTCTGGGCGCTGGGAGATCCACATAGTCGAGGCGCTCGTTGCGCGTCTCCGAGCGCGTGGATCTGGCGCGGGCTGAAGGCGACGGTTCGGGGGATGAAGAGGACACATCGCCACGCGCTCTCGTAGCCCTAGCCGCAGGCTTGGGAGGCGCGCCACTGCGCTTAGCCATGACAGGCTTCTTGGATGGAAGAGCGCCGCCGCTGCGCTTGGCGCGAGGGGCTGGAGGTGATGCAACCTTGGGAGGCAAGGCGCCGCTTCGTCGGGCGCGAGGCGCGGGCGACGAGTCAGTCTTGGAAGGCAGCGCTCCGCCACTGCGCCGAGCCCTCACGGGAGAAGACCTGGCCGGCAGAGCACCGCTAGTGCGATTGGCTCTCGGCGCGGGAGGGGGCGTCGGCGTGGCCGCCTTTGCGGGCGGAGCTCCACCGCTGCGCCGCGCGGTCACCTTCGACTTCGGGGGTAAGGCGCCGCTTCGCTTGGCGGTGTGACGCTTCGCCGGCTCCGCACGAGTGCGCTTGCTTGCTGGCGCCGGGCTCGCATGGTCGCTCGAGACCGAGATACGGCGCTTGCGGGTCGACGATGGCTCAGGCTCCGGGAGAACAGCTGGCCCGGAGCTGCGTGTCTGCCGCTTGCTGGGAGGTGGAGTAGCCGCAGCCTCCTCGGCGACCGAGTGCCGCGTACGACGAGCTGCAGGGGCGGGACTTGCTGTCTCCACCGCCTTGCGCTTGCGGGAAGGAGGAGGAGTAGGCTCAACAGTGACCTGAGACTGTCGTGTGCGACGTGTTGCAGGCGCTGGGGATGGTTCAACAACCCCAACGGAGTGGCGCGTCCGGCGTGCCGGCGGAGGAGTGGGCGAGGCTGCAGCCTTGCCATGCGTCCGCAGAACTGGTAAGGGTGACGGTGAGCGAATGGGAGAAGCAGACGACAGTTCCGCAGCCGCTCTGGACGTTCTCCGCGTGCTCTTGGCGGCAGGTGCGGGAGGAGGGGACGCTGATGCCGACGACGCAGCAGCCTGCGAGGCACGGGTTCGCCGGGTCGGCGCGGGTGGAGACGATGAAGGCGGGCGGGATCCTTCGAGATCGAAGGCGACATTGGAGCGGCGCGAGCGGCGTGGAGCAGGAGAGACAAGCGTTTCGTCCATGGCAGTGCTCTTCCGGTCACGAGCGCGGGTAGGCGTCTCTTTCGCTGTCTCTTTCAGAGACTGCTTGCGACTGCGAGGCACCGACCTGGTCGCAGGAGACGCCAATGAACGTGCCGGCGAAGGAATGACCACTTCGACGATCGACCGGCGAGGCTTTACGCGCTTGACTGGGACAGGAACAGGTTCCGGGGAAGGCGAGAGCGCAGCGGGTCCGAGCAGGTCGAGCACGTGCTCCGTTTCCTCAACCTCCATCGGAGTGGAGCTCGACTCCGCCGGCTTAGACTTGGACGGGCGACCTCGCTTCTTCGGCTGCGCTCCATTCGCAGTGCTAGCCGCAGCAACTGCACCCCCAGGAGCCTGCTCCGCTTCCGGTGCCGTCTCAGACTTTCGCGGACGCCCTCGCGGACGTCCAGTGCCGAGCTTCTTCGCCTTTGCTGGTGGAACGTAGTCCTCCTCTTTGTCGGATGGCACCTCGATGTCGTCTTCCTCTTCCTCGGGCTCGATCTCTTCCTCACCTTCAGATTCAGCCTGTCCATTCTCTGCTGCTTTCGCGGCTTCCTCGGTGCGCATAGCCTCGCGCTCAGCATTGGTCTTGCGCCCCTTCTTCTTAGTGGGCGGGACAGGCTCCACCTGCTGGTACCAAATCGAGTCGGGGACGATACGGTCCATGGGCGGCAGGCCAAGCACCTCGCGGCGCCACGTCTCCAGCTCGAAGAGAGCGGCACTGTCGAGCGTACGGAGGTCGAGACGAAGCTCGCGAACGAAGCGCGCAGAGCCGCCAGGAGGGGGAGGGTGAGAGGGCGTGAACGGGGACGGAGAGCGGGAGGCGTCCACGATAGCAACCAGAGCGGCGTCCTTGTCAGCGAGCACCTGGTTTAGCTCCTCGTCGCCGTCGGCAGGCTGGGCGGCGGATGTAGTGTTGGCAGAAGCATCAGGAGCAAGAGGCGGCACGTCTTCGGGCACCGGCGCTTGGGCCGCCGGCACGGTCTCGGCCGCTGGGCCCTCCGGCTCCAACGCGGCGGCTCCCTTGTCTCCCTGGCCGTCAACGGTCGCCGTTGTGGGTAGCGGCTCCGCTGATCCAGCGGTCTCGTTCAAAGTCTCCGCGGTCGTGGCCTCCTGTGCGGGCTGCTCCGTACTTTGCGCAGTCGGCTCGGTGGTGACAGCTGCCGACACAGTCGTTTTCTCCGCGGGCGCTGGCACCACTGGTGGCGGTAATCCGAACTGGAAGTGGACGGCCATCGGTAAAGCAGCCGCAGGCGGCGGTAGCGGAATCGGCATGCCGGCGCTCAACCTCTTCCTTCCCTGGTCACCTTCCTTCTCCTTCTCCTTCCCCTTTTCCTCTTCCTTCTCCTTCTCCGCAGTTGCGACGCCAGAAAGCGACTGGGAGGCTTCAGCGGCGCGCATCTCGGCATTCTTCTCCGGACTGTGGGGCGCAGAGTGGAAGGGCGTTTCGTTGTCTTTCGCTGGGGACGAGCCGTCTGAGAATAGCTGCTCGGGGAGCGATAACGCGGGCGACTCCTCGCGCCCTTCATTTTGCGTGCGGCGCGCGAGATCCTCTCCATCCGCAACAGACGGCTGCGTTTCGCGATCAATCTCCGGCTGCCCGTTCGGGTCGATGTCGACGTCCATTCCCTCCCTTCCCTCGGCGTCGCCGGGCACGTTCGTTCCGCTTGGCCCCGCCTCTGGCTGGTCGTCAACGATGATGGGGTCGCCGCGCTCCATGCTCCACTTCATGAGCGTGTAGTCGTCCACGTCAGCCCCCTCCTTACCGGGGCTAGGTGGGAGGTCGCTGGAAGACACGATGCGAATGTCGACGCGGTGGTAGCTCTTGGGTGTGCGAAACCGGTCGAGGATGTCGCTGAGCTTGTTCAGATGCTCGTTCTCCGTGAGCCCGGCGAGGAACTCGGCCAGCGGTGCGAGCTGGACCGAGCTCTGCACCTCGGACCGGGCTATCACCACCGGGGCGGGGAGCATGGTGCCGCTGTGGATGGTCGGTGGTGGACGATGGGAGAATGGCCAATGTCAACATTCACGCGCGTCAGGTCACGTTACTTGCCATGCGAGATGATCGGACCGCTCCGGTGGTGGGAGGACGTCATAGGTTGCGTGCACTTGTGGTCCATGTCTCGGCCAAAATTCAGTTCATCTCTGGTGACCTTCGTCGCTCTTCTTCATACACTACACTCATCATGTCTGCATCAAAATCACGCCCAGCAGAGCTATTCACCCCCGACCGCGCGCTGCTCAACCCGCGCTTCGAGACGTATCGTCTTCAGTCGCTGGATCCGTCAGCAGCTCGCGGCCACCGCCTGCCCGCGGAAGGCGCGACGCAGTCCCGAGTAGGCTACGGCAAGCAGCAGCTGGGATTCAAGGAGGTGCGCTCGCGCATTTCGTGGGACCACCTCGACACGCGCGGCGGACGGGGAGTATACGTCGACACGGAGTGGAACGTCGTTGGCTTCGAACTTGACGTGAGTTGTAGGTCAGGTAGAGTCGGAAACTGACAACAGGCCGACCTGGACCCGACCTTTACGACACTGGCGAGTCTGCCTCAGCCAGTGTCCAGCGGCGAGGAGCACGCCGAATATCCTCGTGCACTGGCGCTGTCGGACACGCTCTGGGCGGTCTCCTCTGGCAGCGGCTCCATCTACGTCCTCGAAGTCTCCCCTCCGGGTTCGCCCTTCGCCGGCAAGTTTATCGCGCGGTACGATCTCGACTCTCCCTCTCTGCTGTACGCCGCACACGGCGACGGCTCTTCCTTCCGCCTCCTGCTTACTCGGGCCGTGGTCCAAGAGTCCAGTGGGAGCAAGTACGCCCCGCGCACAGCGACGTTCGATCTGTTCGATGTCTCCATCGATCCGTCACACACCAACGACATTGACGCGGGCGAGGAGCTCCAGCCCGAGTGGGAACTGACGGGCGGCGACCTCCCTCTCTGGGCAGCGTGGGCGGAGGGCGGCTGGGTCGTTCTCTCCGAAGAAGCGTTCGGCCCGCGCCCCGAAGCGCGAGAGGAGACTGACGCCGAGCGAGCAGCGCGCGAGCACAAGGAGAAGAAGGCCAAGCTCGGTCTCGGCGCGCACCTCCCAACGGCAGAGCAGACGCCCGCCGACACACCCCCGCCCGAGGCCGAGGCGATGGATGTGGACACAGAGCAGCCGAAGCAGTATCCCTTCCACTGGACGCAGGACCAGGGCTCTGTGACAATCACGATCCCCCTGCCGAGCGGCACGCCGCGGGACGCGATCAGCGTGGACTTTACGCCGTCCTCCGTCTCCGTCTCGGTCAAGGCGCCCGGCCTCTCTGTGCCGCTGTTCGCCTTCCTTTCAGCCGGCGCGCACACGTTCTGGTCCGAGGTCGCGCAGTCGACCTGGACCTACGAGGCGGACGAGGGCAGACTGACGCTCGAACTGGAGAAACAGCCCGGGGACGCGCGCTGGCCCAGTGTCTTTATCCCAGACGACAGCGACGACGACGACGTGCCCGAGACATTCTCGCCCGCAGCCCTCGCCGCCATTCGGGAGAGTTTTGGCAAAGTGCAGACACGCACTGATGACGCGATGCCCGAGACGAACCCGACCATTCCCGCGCTGCTCCGCGAACAGCTCGACTTTGACGAAGACGACGACTTTGCGGAACGCACCGAGGGCGCATTCTCGGACCTGTCGGCGGGCAGCGTGGGCCGCAACGTGCTCTTCGGCTCCATCGTGGCGGGCCAAGCAGTGTGGTCCCGCCAACCAGCCGCCGTGCTCTCGCTGCCGCTTCTGACGACGGAACCGGACCTGCCCGCGGGGCAGGGCGTCATAGTCCGTAACGCGGTGGATGGGCTGCTCATCGCCCCGACGCCCGACGGGTGGAAACACGAGGGAACGAATCCCGCCCTCGCCTTTGTGATGTCCTCCAAACGTGACCTGAGACTTGTGCGCCACGCCACGCGCGCAGAGGAGGGACACGCGGCCAGCCTCGTGCTCGCCTTTGACGCCGGCAGCGGCACAGGCCAGGGCAACGCGTACCTGTACTGGCCCCCGAAGAAGGGCGAGGACACGGCACGACAGGGCGTGCTGGGCGTCAGCGGTGGTGATCGCGGGGCGCTGCTTGGTGTCGGCGAAGTCGTCGTGGGGGAGAGAAGGATCGCAGTCGCGCTGTGTGAGAAGAGCCTTGTGGTGCTGGATCTGGATCTGTAGGAGCGTAGTAGCCGCTTGCAACAATGGCACACGAGGGGGAGGGTATGAGCTGCGACTTTGCGCGAGTTCTTTGGCTTCGAGAGTTCTGGGGATCCGTTGACAGACGGGGACCAGAAGATCAGAAGTATGCATCTAGTGACATCTTGGCAAGGAGCACTCCTGCACATGAGGCCTGAGGCGCAGGGAGTGAGAGAAAGAGGGTGCTCGAGAAAGGATGTGGCACACGACCGGCCACCCTCGAACACAACGACGGGCGTCCGAAGCCGCGTATCCGACACTGGTACGCCGCTCCGACGGTCCGAAGCTGTGCTACGTGTGCGGAGCAGCGTGGATCGTGAGGGATCGTGAGGGATAATGAGGGATTATGAGGGGCCAACCAGGGGTCCGAATGCTCCACGGGGTTGCGGCGGGGACTAACCACGGAGCAACGAGTGCTTAGCGCCCTCGTCAGTCGTTTCGGTGTATGACGCACGCCGTACACCGTCCAGTGCGCCGTCTAGTGCGATCGGAGTAGTCGCAGCTCGAAGCCCCCGTTGCCCCCGTCATGCCGTCACCACAGGTGGAACGGAGGCAACGGACGTCCGTGTGTTGATGCAGGGTTCGGTGCGAGCACAGAAGGGGGTCGAAGGGGGAGGGGAGTAGATTAGCGGTGCCACCTGCACTACAGTAAGGGGCACTACACTATCGATGGCGTGGTTGGTTGCTGGGGAGTTGTTCATAGCGAGATAACACCGGATACACACTAGCGGCGCACCCCATGTGGGCATGTGGGACGGGGGATGCGGCAACGGCGGCGCAAGAGGGTAGCATGGAGTGTGCATGTGACAAGACGGTACCCTGCACCCTTGCCAGCGCTACACCCTTGCTCCGAACTGCGGAGGGTATGGAGGATGTATACCGGCAAGGCAAGGGAGGGAGTACCGGTGAGTGCCGCTGTGTCAAGTGTGATGGAATGCCGGGGGCCATGAGGCTAAGCAGGGGATTGTCAGTGATAGCCGGAGAGTGGTGCCCGAGCAGCATCGGACAGTTATTGCCGGCTACGATTAAAAAAAAAGTCTGGCCCCCCCCTTTCAAAACGTAATAAGCGGTGGGTCGTTGCCGATTAAGACATCGGCTCATGGCCATTTATCGGTCACTCGCGACACTTGCATCTGCTGATCCACGGGGATCGTGCCCTGCCCTTCCTTTCTCTAGCCGCCGCCGCCGCCGCCGCCGCCGTACCTTACTCTCCTTCCTTGCGTCTTCCTCGCTCACCATCCTCCCAAGCCAATCACCCATCCTTATATCTCACAACGCCATCGTCTTCTCCCATCATTCCTCTCCTACTCAGATCCATCCAAAGGGCTCCATCCCGCCTCCTCCCCCGCCCAACCTTCTCCTCTCCTTTCTCCCGTCTCCTCTCACACACCATGGCCCCCCAGAAAGAGCAGGTCGCCATCCTCGGCTCTGGCAACTGGTGCGCACACCTCCCTCCCTCATAATATACTTACTGACCCCCACAGGGGCTCGGCCATCGCCAAGATTGCTGGCATCAACGTTCTCAAGCATGAAAACGAGTTCCACTCCCGCGTCCCCATGTGGGTCTTTGAGGAGCAGGTCAGTTCCCCCCCCTCCAATCGCACTTGCCGCCGGCTACAGTGGAGCCGTGCCGCTAGAGTCACTGCGCTGACAGACTCTTTGCAGATCGACGGCCGCAACCTGACCGACATCATCAACGAGAAGCACGTCAACGTCAAGTACCTCCCGGACATTACGCTCGGCTACAACGTCGTCGCCGTCCCCGACATTGTCGAGACGGTCAAGGACGCCACCGCCATCATCTTCGTCATGCCCCACCAGTGTGAGTCTCCTATAACCCCATGAGATCGGACGTCAGCTGATCAGCCGTTCAGTCCTCGACAAGGTCCTCGACGACATCTCGGGCCACGTCTCGCCGAACGCCAAGGCCATCTCGCTCATCAAGGGCGTCGACGTCAAGGGCGCCGACATCCACATCTTTGCCGATGTCATTGAGAAGCGCCTCGGCATCCCCTGCTCTGCCCTCAGTGGCGCCAACATTGCCTCCGAGGTCGCACTCGGGCGCTTCTCCGAGACCACGATCGGATACCGCAACGAGGCCGACGGCATCATGTGGCAGAAGGTGTTCCGTGAGTAGTCACAGGCCTTAGTTGTCTAGGGCTCAAATGTACGGCGTGGCTGACGAACAACAGAGACCCCCAAGTTCCGCGTCCAGCTGATCGACGACGTCACGGGCGTCTCGCTCTGCGGCGCCCTCAAGAACGTTGTGGCTGTCGCTGCCGGTCTCAGCGACGGTCTCGGCTACGGCGACAACACCAAGTGTAAGCTAACATTACCTGTCAGCGAGCTAACTGCAGCCGCCATCATGCGTATCGGTCTCGTCGAGACGACGCACTTCTGCATGGAGTTCTTCGACGACGTCAAGCCCGAGACTTTCCTGAAGGAGTCTGCCGGTGTCGCCGACCTGATCACGTCGTGTGAGTAGCCTCCAGCTAGCTCAACCCGACAGCAAGCTAACATGCAGGTCTCGGAGGACGCAACCGCAAGTGTGCCGAGGCGTTTGTCAAGACGGGCAAGCCATTCGACGTGCTCGAGCGCGAAATGCTGGGCGGGCAGAGTGAGTCGACCTGCATGTCCAAGTCGTAGCTAACAGACAGAACTCCAGGGCATCCACACGGCAAAGGACGTCCACATGTTCCTCAAGGCGCGCAACAAGCTCGGCGCGTACCCGCTCTTCGACAAGGTCTACCACATCTCCTGGGACGGCATGGACCCGACCACGCTGACCGACGGACTGTGAGCGTCCCCGTCTTTGTTATCTCTCCCCCTCTTATTTCGGTCCAGCCAAACAAAACATACCCCCCAGCATCCACCGCATCCCCATTTTTGCCCATAGTAGACAGACCCAGCACGCAAAGCAGCCTTTGTTCATAATCCCGCCATCCCGCAATCTTAGAAGTCTCCCATGCCATCGGTTTTCTCATGTATACGTTGAGTCTTGCGTGCCGTCGTCTTGCGTCGTTCGGCGGTGCTGTGATGGGAGGGGTAGGTGGAAGCGGGATTGGATACAGGCACGTGGGGCAATAAGTTGTTGGGGCATAGTTAATCCGCCCGTGTATCGAACGACACAACGACAGAGGAAGCGAGCAGCGCGGGAATGGTGAAAGGGGGAAGACACGGGGACACGAGGGGGGAGGAGGAAGCATGCATTGTCTCGGCGTTGTCTGGGCCCTTGGGGTGGTGAGACCCTTCATCGATCTGATGCCTGATGTCCTGACACCAAGCCAGTGGTGATTTCTGGGGGCGATGGTTGTTTGGTTCTTCTGCCCCAAACTTCCAAACTTCCTTATCTCGCGTGATTGTGAGATGAGACGCGAAATCTCAGGCACCACTGCTGCTGCGTAGATTACACTCATACATTGCCTCCCTAGCTCCCTATATCATACAACGCAACCGGGCTCACCACTGATACGGGGAACACGAGTCTACCGACGCGACTTGTTCAGATCCGCAAAGAACGACTCGATGTCTTCCCTGCTCACTGCGGAGCCGCTTTCTGCGCGGGATTGGAGCATGACTTTCAGCTTGTCCCTGCGTTGTCAGCCCGCTTGCCTCACAGCTTCCTCTTCCTTCATCGCAGACCTCGCACACCTTTTCGCCGTCCTCTCCACATTGCAGTAGCAGGGCACCGGCACAGCTGGCACATGGGAGGAATGGGAGACAGCGAGATGATTGACAAAGTGGAAGAGGCAGCCTCCGCAGACCTCCGCTCTCCGCACTCCGCACTCCGCACACCTCCGCTCTCCGCACGACCTCGGCACTCCGCGCACTAGCGTGCGCGTCGTGGACTCACTTCATGTTCTGGAACCCGTGCAGCGCCTCTATCGCCTGCACCCTTGGCAGACTGCCGACCACACGCTCCGTCACCTGGTCCAGCGTCTCGGCCGGGTCGGTGTCGGCTGGGGGCTCGTAGATCTCCTCGTCGACGAGGGGGAAGGGGAGCGTCGCGGCCAGCGTTGCCTGAGGGTGTCAGCTTTGACGGACGAGGTGGCTAAAGCTGCGCGGGAAGAGATGACTCACGTCGAGCTCCTTGGCCAGCCTGGCGCGCATGCCGTGGGCTAGGAAGAGGTCGCCTGAGCCCTTGCGCGGTGCTTTTTGCTTGATCTCTGGCTTAGATAGCTCCGGCTTCGCCTCCCTCGTCTCAGTGTTCTGTGCCTTGTCGGCCTTGTCGGTCGACGGCTGCGCCGCCGACCTGGCAGCATCGTCTAACCGCGCCCTCTTCCCCTCCTGCTCCTCCCCCGCGTGGTCCCTTTTCGCGCCCGTCGTGACCACCTCTGAGCGCCCGAGGACCACAAAGCTGCCCTCCTCCGTCGGCTCGACTACCATCCAGCCCTCGCTGCCTGCCCGCTCGAGCAGAAGGGGACAGCCAGAGACACACTCAGCGCACACGAGCCCGTCATACGACTCGGAGGGGATGAGGCAGAGCGCCTCCTCGTCCTCGTCGTCTTCGACCGGCGCTGTCCGGCGCGGTTGCAGGTTGAGGCACGACTCGTGCAGCCAGTCCTGACGTCAGCTTACAGGCGCCCTACAGCTCAGAATCTATCCCGTTGACCAACTCACCTCACACCCGATACAGTTGATCATGGCCTCGACCTCCGTCTCGGGGTCATAGTCCCGCCCGCAACGGCAGAATGTGCCGGAAAAGTTCTTGCTGTACCGGTTCCCTTCGTTTGGTGGCTGGGGCTGCTTCTCCGGGGGGTTCAGCGTGCATTTGTGTTTCTTGCCCTCGGGGCACATCGAGGTCGTGGGGCAGTCGCACGTGAACCCGCGCCGCGTCCACAGCTCGACGAGGCGGTGGTCTGATGTCAGCTACAGTTCCAGCTGTACTTCAGCTTCTATACGTACCCGCATGGCATGAGATGGAACACCCATAACATACGCCTTTCTCGTTGCAGTCTGTTGTCAGCTACTGAAGCAGAACGGCAGCTTACCCAGACACGACCACACGTTCTGCCTCAGTGGTCCTTTGGCCCAAGTGCACTCGTCAAAGGAGTAGGGAAGGACTTCGCGCGCCTCCTCGGCGAGGCGGTCCTGCTCCTCGATCAGCGACGGAAGCGTAACCTCGTCTTCAAGCGCACGGCCGCGCAGCACATCGGGCGAAAGCACAGGGAAGCCGGACATGATATTTGGGTGCTGTTGTTGTTGTTGCTGGTCGCGCGGTCGCGTCAAGTGGAGGTCGTGGGTCGCGTCAGTAGCTCCTCACGTGCCTATAAGAGTTAGGCGCCGAAAAGTTTGGCGCGCCTGATGTGAACATTCGCTTTGCCACCCAACGCCATTCATTCGAGCCTCGAGCACAAGACCGATCAAGCAAACACTCCATCGCTTGGATAAAAGGCATGCCGCACTCTCCTCGTAGGTCTCGCTCCCCCGAGCATCGCCGTTCCTCACACCGCTATCAAAGCCCGTCGCCGCCCCGCTCCCGCGACCGTGACCGTGAACGAGACCGAAGAGATTACCGCGACGACCGCCATCGAGACCGCGAACGCGACAGGGACCCCCGCGACCGTGATCGCGATAGGAGGCAAGATGACCGCTACGTGAGAGACAGGGGCGACCGCGACCGAGACCGCGACCGCTACCGTGACCGTGGTGAGCGCGACCGTTACGAGCGTCGTTACGATGACAGAGACTACCGAAGCCACCGTGACCGCGATCGCGACTACGACCGCCGAGACGACAGGGACAGGGACAGGCGCAGAGACGACGACAGGAGAAGAGACGATGACAGGCGAGACCGCGGTGACCGTGATCGGGACCGCGAGAGGGAGCGTGAGCGCGCTAACGGACACTCTGCCGCGCGCTCGCCCGAGCGCCTCCGCACGCCGGCGTCCAACTCTCCCGCTCCCGCCAGCGAGGAGGAGAAGCTTCGTCTGAAGCGCGAGCGTCTCGAGGCCTGGAAGAAGCAGCGCGCTGCTAAGAGCGCCAATGCGTCAGGCAACGTCTCCGCCGCCAGCACCCCGGAGCCCGAGAAATCGCCAGCCAAGCGTGAGTTGCTCAAGTCGCTGATGTGCAACTCGCTAACATCAGCCGCCCCTGGCAAGTCTGGTCTGTCGTTTAGCGCGCAGTCGCTCGGTCGCATCGGGCTCGTCAACAAGCCGACGCCGCTGAAGCGCTCGCTCATGATGGACGACGAGGAAGTCGAAGACCGCAAGTTGCAAAAGTTAGACATGCCCAAGGTTGCCGATGAAGTACAAAGTGGGTCCGCCGCCGGCGTAGATGCCGTGCCAGAGGATATGGCGGCCGTTGACGGCGATGAAAACGAGGACGACGTTGTCAAGGTCGAAGCCGGTGCCGACGCCGACTCGAAAATGGACGTCGACGAGGAAGAGGAAGACCCGCTCGACGCCTTCATGCGCCAGAACGCCCAGGAAGTCAAGTCTGTCAACGTGTCCGACGCCAAGAAGCAGGGCTACGCCGAGGAGCTGGACAGCGATGATGACGTCGAGGTACGCAACAAGGCAGAGGAGGAGCTTGCCAAGGCCGAGGCTCTGCTGCAGCTCGCAGCATCCAAGACCCGCAAGAAGGACCTGCCCACCCCAGACCATGACGCTATTGACTACGAACCCTTCAGGCGGAACTTTTACACGGCCCCCGCCGAGGTCCTTGACATGGACGAGGAGGAGGCTGAGCTCGTCCGCCTCGAGATGGACGGTATCAAGGTCCGTGGTCTGGATGCCCCCAAGCCTGTGCGCAGCTGGGGTGCGTTTGGTCTGCCTCTCGGCTGCCTCGAGGTTATCCGTGCAAAGGAATGGGGTGCGCCCACTGCGATTCAGGCACAGTCGATTCCGTCGATCATGTCCGGTCGCGATGTCATCGGTATCGCCAAGACTGGCTCCGGCAAGACCATCGCCTTCCTGCTTCCTCTGCTGCGTCACGTTAAGGACCAGCGACCGGTGAGCGGAATGGACGGCCCCATCGCTCTCATCCTCGCGCCCACCCGTGAGCTTGCCATGCAGATCTACAAGGAGTCCAAGCCGTTCGCTAAAGTCATGAACCTGCGCGTGACCTGCTGCGTCGGCGGCCAGTCCATCAGTGACGACATTGCTGCCATGAAGAAGGGAGCCGAGATCGTGGTATGTACGCCGGGTCGCATGATCGACTTGTTGACTGCCAACAATGGTCGCGTGACCAATCTGCGTCGTATTACGTTCATGGTTATGGACGAGGCCGACCGCATGTTCGACATGGGCTTCGAGCCGCAGGTCATGAAGATTGTCAACAACACGCGCCCCGACGCCCAGAAGGTGCTGTTCTCCGCCACGTTCCCAAAGACCATGGAGTCGCTCGCGCGCAAGATTCTTGTCAAGCCGCTCGAGATTACCGTCGGTGGCCGTTCCGTCGTCGCACCCGAGATCGACCAACGCGTTGAGGTCCGCGACGCCGACACAAAATTCAACCGTCTGCTCGAGATTCTCGGCGAGATCGGGCAGGACCACCCCGATGAGCCCGACTACCGTGTGCTCATCTTCGTCGACAGGCAGGAGTCGGCCGACGAGCTCTTCCGCGAGCTTCTGCAGCGTGGATACCTGTGTACTTCGCTGCATGGCGGCAAGGACCAGGTCGATCGTGAGGACGCTATCCGCAACTTCAAGAGTGGCGACATCCCGATCGTCATCGCGACATCGGTCGCTGCCCGTGGTCTCGACGTCAAGCAACTTAAACTGGTCATCAATTATGACGCCCCCAACCACATGGAGGACTACGTCCACCGTGCTGGTCGAACGGGTCGTGCCGGCAACACGGGTACCTGCATCACCTTCATCACGCCTGACCAGGAGAAGTTCTCGGTCGACATTGCGCGTGCGCTCGAAGCCTCGGGCGCGTTCGTTCCCGACAAGCTGAAGGAGATGTCGGAGGGTTTCCTCGCCAAGATCAAGTCAGGCAAGGCTCGCGCTGCCCGTTCCGGCTTCCGCGGCAAGGGTCTCGAGCGCCTCGACCACAAGCGCCAAGAGAAGGACCGCGCCGAGAAGCAGACGTATGGCGACACGTCGGAGGCTGTCTCGCTGTCTTCGCGCGAGGGTGCTGTCATTCCGTACAAGCCGGCTACGAAGGAGACGAAGAGCACGACGAATGACTCGCACCTCATGGCCGGTGACACCGATTACACCTTCACGGAGATTGCCGTCGAGATTGTCCACGGTCCGGCTCCCGACAAGCTCCCGTCCGACCTTGCGCACCGTGGTTCTCGCAACGATGCCAAGTCGCTTCCTGCGCAGACTCTTGCGATGCTCGAGAAGGCGCGCAAGGAGGGCCGCCACATCGACGCCGCGAACCTGTCCAAGATTGCGCAGAAGCTGTCCAAGCAGATCGAGCACAGCAAGGCTGCTGCCCTCGGTGCTGCTCTGCCGCCGTCCGACCCGTCGCGCCGCAAGGACCCGGACGCGACTGAGTGGCACGCCATGTTCCCGATCAACGACTACCCGCAGAAGGCGCGCTGGAAGGCGACAAACAAGGAGCAGATGATGCTCCTGCAGGAGCATTCGGGTGCGTCCATCACCATGCGCGGTGTGTACTACCCGCCCGGACACGAGCCCGAGGCAGGCCAGGAGCCCAAGCTGCACCTGCTCATTGAGTCCAATGACGAGATGCGCGTGCGCTCCGCCGTCGAGGAGCTGCGCCGCTCGCTCGTCGAAGCGTCCGTCCAGGCGCTCAACAGCGCCGACCGCGCGCACGCGTCTGGAGGAAGGTACGCCATCTAATTTGCATAGAGTAGTAGCAAAAGAAGTCATTCAATGTATGCACTGTATCATCAGACGTGGGGGAGCCCTGCAGCGAGGTTGACGGCTGTGAAGCATCGTGGGTCGAATCGATAGACGGTGCGATGACGTGAATGACGGCTCGGATCCGAAAGTCAGACTTGGGCCGTAACTTTCGATCACCCCTTGGCAACACATCCTGTTGTTGCACTTCACCTCACCACACAATAACATGTCGCCGCCAGCATGGGTGTCCAAGTCGCTTTGCGATATTCTCGGTCTTGGTAAGTGCGCTTACTACAGCTTTGGCAACCGGTTGTCCGTAGCTGACCTCAGACTCTGAGACCGTTAATCAAGTCATCATCCCCGACCTCGAGGGATACAACACAGAAGTCCGGCTGCGCGGCCACCTTAGCGTGAGTAACTATGGGCTGTTCTTGTTGACCAAGATAGCTGACAGTCAGGACTTTCTCGGCTCGACACCGCAAGCGCGCGCCTTCGCCGACCGCTATGTCGCTTACCGCTTCCCTTCCATCCAACCCCCTCCACCGGCACCAGTCTCCGATCCGCGCGTTGACAAGGCAAAGGCAAAGGCAATGCGCCAGAACCTGAAGCCAGGCAAGCCTGGTACTGGTAGCTCCGCGTCAACGCCGTTCGGCAGCCACACCGATCTGAACAGCATGAGCCGCGGCGGAAGTGCGTCAGGCAGCGGGAGGGGCCAGATGCGCAGCGCCGGGGCGATCACGATCATCGAGAAGAAGGGCAAGGACAAGGGGAAGGGGAAGGCCGTCGAGAAGGCGGGAGACAAGATCTGGGATCTGCCCAAGAGCAAGGAGGTGCTTCGACTCGAGGGGATCGTCGACGCTCTGAGGCAGGTCCAGGACGGAGGGAAGGGGCCGCATGTCGATACACCGCCGTGCTTTTGCCAGGGTGAGTACCAGCTACAAGATCGGTCTGGGCGCTTAGCTGACTTGCAGCCCGTGTTCACGAGCTGTCAAAGTATACGCCGCAGTGCGGAGCATGCGGTCTGATCCTCTGCGACATGCAGCCGCCGCACGCTACCTGCCCATCATGCGCCCGACCGACATACTCCCCGCCGCAGCTAGCTCGCTTGATCAAGCGTGTCGAGGGCGACATCGAAGTGCAGTACGCCCATGAGCAAGACGAGCGCGACGCAAAGGAGCGAGAGCGGAAAGAAGCCCTGCTCGCCGCTTCGGGCGGTGGCGCCTTCCCTTCCTTGCCAGGCAATGCGCCCCGCCAACCCTCGCAGCCGCAGGCGCACCGCGTGCTCACGATCAACAGCATTGGGAAGAAGGGCAAGTTCAGCCGGTCCACGGCGACGATCACGACCAAGACGAAAGTCACCCCGCAGGCATCGGCGAGCAACACGCCCGCCGAGCCTGAGCCAGACACGCTGCCGCGCCCCCGCTCGCCGCCGCTGGACGAGAAGCGGATTGCGAAGGAGTGGGCCAAGAGCGCAGAGTGGAGGAAGGAGAATGACCGGCCGTGGGCCGATCCCAAACTCGAGCGTAAGGGCGAGATTTGGACGTATATCGAGCCGACTGTTGTCGAGCTGCTCGGCGAGGAGGGCACGGGCAGGCGCAGGAAGGCCAAGAAGGCCAAGAATGTGGGTATCGACGGGCGTGTCGTCGTCGGTGCCGCTCGGTAGAACTCGACACTGGTGCTCTGCATTCCAGAGCCTTCAGACATGTACAGACGTCCCCATGTGCCAACTAGACATCTGTGCTTTCAAGTGACATTTTTGCCCGCATGCGGGCAGGTAGAACCGCCTCGGACGTCATCAGACAGTGTGCTGTGTCAGACGAGCCAAGAGCTCTGTAGTACCAGTTGAGTGACCGAGGCGATTGCCCGGAAGGTTATGTGAATGCATAGCGGGAGGTGCTGGGAAATGAACAATGCATGCGACCGAAACGAGGCCCTCTCTTGTGTGGGGCCATGTGCATGTGATTTCGGGGGAGTGCTGTTCTGCGGGGCATCTGGGTCTTCGGAAAGGTTGACGTAGCCCGGTCGAGAGAGCGAGAGAGCGAGAGAGCGATCCACGGCAAGACCACGATGTTGACGCGTGAGAGTGATGATGAGTGATTGTGATCTGACGTTTGCCATCAGGCTGTGCTTCTTTCTGTTTTATCTTTCTTTCGTCTGACCGTTCATCACCTTGTTCTCTCTCTCACTCACTCCCGTCTCCGTCACTCCGTCTGGAGTTCTTTATCTGTCAACCTAGAAAGAGAGACCCGCCACGGCACGAAGGGGGTGCATAAGCGAGGGGTTGCAATAGGTGAGCAATAGAAAGGCTGGGCTTGGGCAATTGACTCTGTGTGGACGGTGGATGAAAATGCATCCGGGCCGGTGCACGCACGCTCAGCCCGTAGCCTGTGCCCTGTCCGCCTGTCCGCTTACGCAGGGCTGCGCTATCAGTCTCAACTCACACCCCACAGCAGCCATCATCCATCACTCACTCGGATCATCCATCTCTCTCTCGCCTTCCCTTCCTCCCTTCCTCCCTTCCTCCCTCTTTCCATATCCCTCCTCGCCACCGCATAGAGCATACCCTCCCCCGACACAGACACAAACAGCGACACAGACACCGCCCCGACCATCCACATCACATCACTTCTAACCCTGCATAACGGGTCGTGCTCCGACCAATCCTCAACAATCACCCTACCGACAACCGACCTCCTCCCGACCAGCCTGCACCGCTTGGACCACGACCACACTACAACACAACAAACAACATATCTCACAACTTCCCTCCATTCATTGACTCCACTCGCCGGTCCGCGGACACGCCAGGTGTCTGCTTAACTTACAATGGGTAACGCGCCCTCCCACCAAGGCGGCGGCTCGCCCCCGACGAATGACGCGCCACCCTCCTCCGTTCCGCCAAAGGACAATCGCCCACCCCCTCCTCCCCCCACTCCCCAAACGCCGCTGTTGATGCCATACGGCGGACACCTGTCTCCCCAGAACCCGCACGCTCTAAGCCACCCGCAAGCGCACGACTATTGTAAGGAGGTCGTGTGCGAGCTTATCTTGGATAATCAGTTAGCGCCGTTCTACCGCGGCCTCGACGACTTTGAGGAGGGCTGGGGCGAGGACGACGTCAAGCGGGAACTGAAGGAGGTGCGCGAGAAGGACTATGACGACGACGTCGACAACTCGTTCACCCGCCGATTAAAGGACGAGCGCGATCCCGCGATCAAGCTCAAGTGGGGCACACCCGAGGAGAAAGCCGAGCGAGCGCGACGGGAGGCAAGGGCCTACCTCGGCGCTGTCGAGTGCCCGATCTGTTTCCTCGTGAGTCTCGCCTTGTGTGCGTGGCGCGCAGCGCTAACATTCACCAGAACTACCCGCCCAACATTAACACGAGTCGCTGCTGCGACCAGCCCCTGTGTACCGAGTGTTTCGTCCAGATCAAGCGTTCCGACGCCACTGTGACTCACCTTGAAAGCGAGTCTGCGTGCTGCCCGTTCTGTGTCGAGTCCGACTTTGGTGTCATCTACGAGCGCCCCTCGCCTGTCGCCGGCAACACGCCGAGTAGCGTCGGCACACCGCTTGGCGCGCCTGGCGCTGGCTCTGCGGCCGTTGCCGCGCACGCACTCAGCACGTCGCCCGACCAGGGCGACAGCGGCTTCAGCCAGGCCCTGTCTCTGAGCTCCGAGCCGCTGACGCCGACGACGAGCCGCAACGGCCAGACGCGGAGGAAGAGCGTCAGCTCCAAGGCCAAGGAGGTCATCACGATAGACCAGATCCGGCCCGACTGGGAGGCCAAGCTCAATGCTGTCAAGGCGGCGGCTGCACGCCGTGCGGCCCGCCGAATTGTGATGCGCCAGGTCGGCGATCGCCTGATTCCCATCGGGTACACCTCGTCTCGTGCGACAGGCACTGCCGATTTCAGCATGTCGATTCCGCAAGGGGAAGGTCGACGCTCGAGGCGCACGCGTGAGCGCGAGCGCGAGCTGGAGGAGGTGAGTTTTTTCATCCGTTGCCTTAACTGACATCCAGATGATGATTATGGAGGCCATGCGACTGTCGCTCCTTGACCACGAGGAGCACCAGCGCAAGTCTGCGACAGAGACTCAGAACAAGAACCAGCCGCAGGGCGCACCTCAGACTCAGGGTCAGCCGCAGGCTGCCCCGGAGCAGACACGGCGGTTATCGACGAACCAGCCTCCGGCTGGCGGGCAGACGCCAAGCTCGCCCATGGGCGCAACGCCCTCGAGCTCTCGGCGCTCGTCTAACGCGGCGGGCACGATGGCGAGCTGGCGCGCGTCGTCAAACGACGCGCACAACAATGGGCACGGCGGCGGCCGTGCACAGGCTGCCGCCTCGAAGCTGCTGTCGAAGATCACTGTGAATCGCAGCCGTGCCAACTCGAAGAGCTCTGTGCACTTTGCCGCCTCTCCGACGACGATGGGCGGCGGCTCGAGCTCTTCGAGCTCTGGGCCCGGTCCCTCCAGTGCTCGTGCACGCAGCGCCTCGGCCTCCACGCCGAGCACGATCTCGTCTGAGCACCACCCGTCTCCGCTCGGATCGAACAGCCTGGGCCCCGCCAGCCGGCGGAGTCTGGACGTGAACGCGACGCGCACCCAGCCCCAGACACTAGTCAGCGATAGGGACAGCATCACCGAGTTTTCCGCCGGTCCCTCAGCGCCGACGCCCGAACGCTCGAACTCGGACCTGATCGACATGGGCAGCGTGGATTCGCATGAGATGACGACCACCCCACCCGATGTCGACGAGCCTTCCACGCCCCGCATGGCCCCGGCGCAGCCGAGCGCTCCCCAAACCCCCACAGCGAACGTGACCCAGGAACCCCTCGACATCTCGCCGAGCCGGCACAGCATGGCCGAGTCGTTCGAGTCGCGCTCGTCCATGGCCGCGTCGTACACTGACCCAGTGCCGCGGGCTGCGCGATCCAAGCCGCTGGCTGCGATGGCTGATGACGACTAGTTGCGAAGTGCGAGCGAAGCGAGCAGTGAGCCAGTCGCGAGTTGCCAGCGCGAACCGGCTCGCCCCGTTGTCATCCATCCCAACCCGTGTCCTTATCATGTCGACGATGACCCGAAACGCAGCGCGCAGCAACGCCACCGCGTCACCTCCACACACCTTATACCCTGTATTCCATGACATTCCCGCCCCCTTGGTCCCCTTCACCATCACCGTCGTGTACTCGCGGCGCCGTTTCTTGTCCCGACCCTATCAGCCCACCTGCCTGCTCTTTCCCCCATCTGCTTGTCTGTATACCTTTGTACCATGCCATGCAGTGATAACGTGATGCGTCCGAGCACAGGGGGCACGAGATATGACGCGGGCACCTCTGGTTAGGTGAATCCGTGCGGCAGTGATTGGTGGAGGGGTGTATGACGTCAGGGCATGCTGGGAATTGTCACCTGCTGCCTGCTGCAGCAACCACAATGCAGAAGGCCTCGGTCAGCGGGGCACAGCTGGAGACTAGGAGATATCGTCATGCTCACTCCGATGCTCCGCGATGCGCGAGCTGTCTGCCAGTAAGCATCCGTCTGGGCTCGGTGCATAAATCCCGTTCCAATAAGACATGATATCTCAATTCTGACTTCTCCACCTTCATCTTTCTTGACAACTTACCAACTAAAGCTAAAGTGAACAACATGCTCGCCCTCCGCCAGAACCTCCGTCTCGCTGTGCGTCCTGCGCGCACTTTGAGTGCTGCACGCGGGTACGTGACCCGCCGCGAGGTCGCGGAGGAGATCAAGGAGGACAAGGAGGGGTGGACTGAGAACACTGAGGTGAGTCAAGCCTGACGAGGATGGCGAGGATGGCGACTGAATCTGTCATCAAGCAAGGGAGAGGGAGGGAGGCAGTGGCAGGGAGAGAAGGGACGATGAGTGAAAGAGGGATAGGGATGATGGGGAAGAGAGAAGGTTGGGTGGAGCTTGGGCCTTTGTGGCTATCGCCCGAGCCTTCATCTCGTGAACCACTCGTGAACCTCTGGCTCAGCGGGGCTCAGCGTTGGTCACGGTAACGACTGTCGCCCGTGGTGCCCGTGGTGCCCGTGGTGTGTCCCGCAGCACTCGGCGTGAGAACACCACTTGAGTTTGTGTGCCGAACACCGTCCTAGAAGGGTGGATCGAAGAGACTCCGCAGTCCTGGGCTGCTCCCTTCCCCACTACCACTACCACCACCACCTCCTCCAGGATCCCTTTTCCCCTTCCTCCCCACCTAACCCTCTCCCAAAGCCCAACCTGGATCCCATCTCTCGCCGCCCAATGCTAACGCACAGGACACCGAGTCCGAGGCCAACGTCACCGCCGACAACTCGGACGCCCCCGCCAAGCCTAACGAGAGGCTGGTCGAGGAGACGATTGAGAAGATCGACGGCAAGCACCACGGCGGAAAGGGCGAGCTGAGGGTGAGTCTGCGAGGGCGCGCGAGCAGCCGCCAGGCTGCGAGCGTGGATGAGTCTCTGGATTTTGCCTTGGGCCGAGCGAGCGACATTATCAATTGCGAGCACTTTGTGCGAGCCCGAAGCCTGGGGCAGCTTCGGATAGAGATAGGGGACAGGACGACGGCGGCGATGCCACAAGCCACCACCCCGCCTCCTTTCCACTCCCCACAGACCGCATAGCTGAAGAAGGACGCAAAGCTGACGGAAAACAGAAGGGCAAGAAGTAAAGCTGTGCTTTCGAGAGAACGGAAACCAAATCAAAGCAAAGCATTTAAGTTCTAGTTTTATGAATTCGTGAAGCATTGCTGGGTGTCTACCTTTGACTTTCGAGGAGACTGATCACTGACAGACCACTGACAGTCGACGGGTCCACTGACACTTCCTTCAGCTTTGACTTCCAACGCCTTACCTGACCGGTGCCCGCGACGGATCCGCGACGGAGACGGAACGATGTTCGTCCGACATACTCAAGAAGGCTCAGGCTCAAGGCTCAAAATAGCAGCTCTGGAAGGGTGATTGGTCCAGACCTCGGTCATCACAATGTTGAGCGCAAGCGAACGTGCCTTGTCCACCACTCGTCCACTTCTGATGCATAATTTATTGGTCCTTATACAGTCTCCGCTATGACGCTTCTTCGGAGAACAAGGGGCACACGAGCTCGTGGACCGGCCGCTGCGCGGACTCGCGCACTCGCTACGCTCGCAGACTACAGCCTCGCGCGGCTCGGGTCGACGAGCGGCTTGCGCCCGGCTTTCTCCCACTTGGCAACGACCATCTTCTTGACTTCCGACTTGAGGATCTTCTGGCTCGCGTTCCACGCTGGGGGTGTTAGCACATATCCTCTCATTGAAATGCAAAGCTGAGCGTAGATTATTCTCGCCCGCAACCCTAGCAAGCCCAGGATGCCTAGCAAGCCCAGCTTCGCCTCGCTTCTCCGCCTTGGCTCGCCTCGCTTCGCTCGGCATCTACTCACGCAGCGGACCCTTGCTAACCAGCACGACGGCGGGACGCGCCGGATACCTGAGTCTCGGGAAGACGGTCTCTGCAATAGATTCCTCCGTGGCACTAGCCCCGGGGGCCAGACTGACGGCGACGCCGACGCGCTCGCCCAGCACGTCGTCGGGCACGGGCACCGCGCACGCCTCAGCGACGCGGTCGTCCTGCGCCAGCGCGCGCTCGACCTCGGCACTGGGGATGTTCTCGCCGCCCCGGATGATGATGTCCTTTGCCCGGTCGCTTATGGCCAGGTCGCCGTCGGCGTCGATGTAGGCGATGTCGCCCGTGTCCAGCCAGCCGTCTACGAGCGTCTCGGCCGTCGCCTCTGGGCCGTCAGCGCGGTCCTCGTTTGCGTATCTGCAACGGCAGGTCAGACGACTGTGGTCCTTGGCCTGCGGCCTCGGTCCGGTTTACTCACTCGGGTTGTTGACGTAACACTTCATAATGTTCGAGCCGTACGCGAGGAGCAGTCCCGGCGTACCGGGCGGCAGCTCCCTCTTCGTCTTGGGGTCGACGACCTTGATGGTGCAGATGGGCACGGCCTGGCCACAGCTCTTGGGCTTGTTGACATACTCGACGCCAGCAAAGGACGTGTGCGTCGAGTTGGTCTCGGTCATGCCCCACCCCGTGGCGGGGATACACTCGGGGAAGCGCCTCATAATGTCGGCCGGAAGACGGGTGGGCGGGCTCGCGCCGCCAAACGTGGTCGAGGCGAGCTGGAAGCTCTTCGGCAGCAACGGGGACTGGAGCACACTCGTCGCGATCGCGGGCACGCCCCCGATCTTGCCCACTTTCTCTTGCACCATGATCTTGATTGCGTCCGGCACGCTCCAGCGGCGCAGGAAGGCCAGCTTCGTGCCCTCGGCCACGGCGCAGACGAGCCAGTTCAGATTGCCCTGCACGTGGAACAGCGGGATGGACAGGAGCGCACATGCGTCCTCCTTTGGCGCCGTCGCCAGGGCGGTCGCCTCGGCGGGACTCGCGCCGAGACGCAGCGCCATGCGCGCAGGCACGTACTGCGTCGAAATGAGGATGTGCAATGCCTGGCGCTGCGTCACGAGCACGCCCTTGGGCATGCTCGTCGTGCCCGAGGTGAAGTAGATGATGGCGTCGGACTCGGGGCCAATGTTCAGTTGCTCCTCCTTTACGCGGCGGATGTTGGCGTGGTTCGGCTGCATGTCCTGGACGGCCTTGGCGACGCGCTGCGCGGCTTTGTTCAGGTGGCCGAGGGAGGTCCAGCACCACACGTCGGCGCGGACGCCGGCGGCGCGCAGCTGCGCCTCGGCCGGCCCGAGCTGGTCCGCCATCGCGTCGTCGACGACGATGAGGTCCGGCTGCGTCAGTTTCAGGCAGTGCAGGGTTGCGTCGACGTGCAGCCCGCTGTTCAACAACACGGGGACGGCACCCACAAGGTGCGCGCCAAGGAAGGCGATGACCCAGCTTGTGCAGTTTGTCCCGCCGATGGCGACGCGGGAACCGGCCCCGACCCCCGCTCCGCGGAGGAGGGCGGCAAAGTTGATTGCGCGCTCGTACGCCTCACCGTGCGTCAGCGTCTCGCGGGCGTCGAAGGGTTCCGGGTCCGCGATCGGCGAGGAGAGGAAGACCTTGGACGCAAACTTGGGCATGCGCTCCGTGATCATCGCGCGGAAGGTGGGGACTTGGTGCTTCCACACCTTTTGCTCGTGGCCCCAGAGCGTCTTGCGCTCCAGCTCGAAGATGCTCCCGGGGACGCAGAGCAGGTCCTCGCCTTAAACGTTAGCGAGCGCAGCGAGCGTCAGCAGAACGAGGGCACTCACACTCCTGCACAGTGTACTTCAGCTTGTTGTCCGCCATGCTGGTTGACGTTTGTAGTTAGGAAACGATGCGGAGAAACTTGTCAGCAACGTTGACGCTAGCGTTAAAGTCGTGCTAGAGGGACCGGCGTGCCGGGTGCCCACCAGCAAGCATGAGGACGGAGCCCGCCGCCCAACACATCTTAGTAGCCGGTGGAGGCCCACTCTCGGTCAAATCCGCCCGACAACCGGGACCTGATAAGATCTCAGCCGTCAACCGACATCGAAAGAAAGATGGCGCGGTGGACTGGGACGGGTAAGACTGCATGCGTTGTGCATGGCAGGAAGGAGGAAGCGGGGAGCTTCGCGTCTCTTCCCGCAAGAGTTAGAAAGTCAACACCTCTGAGTGCCGAGGTGGACTCGGCTTCCTGTTGGAGAATCCGAAAGTCGCTTGCCTTCACGTCCTCAGCAGATAAACGGCCCAAGCTGCGTGCATTGGGGGTTAGTGACTTTCAGAGATGTGAAAGGCCTTTGATGTCAATGCCGTACCTTTATCAACGAAGCACACAACACATGCGCCATTCGTGTGTACTTTGGGTCTCTCGTGGCTGTCACCCTCCCTAGCCTAGTCCATCTGATGGCCGCAGATCAGATGATCGCCCCGAAAGACGTCAGAACCGAAAGACCTTCTGCGCAGTCATACAATAAGGCCTGAAGAAGAGCACTAAAGTCGACCCAGAAGAACAGAACACATCTCGGACCTGACTTACAGACGCAACAATGGCGATACGCGAAGAGGCTGGGTCCGAGCATAATAATTAGCCTACTGGAGATAAGGTCCAAGCCCAACCCCAGAAATGCAATTGTGGACCCTGCCCTTGACCCCAAATACGTTCAGAGCAGCAAAAGGACAATAAGCATGTGTTGCTTGTGTTGCTCCGCGCCATTTCATTAGGCTCATCAAGCCTCCGATGGAAGAATGCAGGGTGTGATAGGCAGTAATCAGAATTCCCTGTGTCTTGGGGGGCCGAAGGTAGGCTGCGGACTCGGTCTGCGGGGTTGCGACGCACAGGAGGCTAGTGACACACAGCCCCGTATGTGAGTAGAGTCTCTAATGACAGGGGAGTATGCTTGCTCAGAGTCAGTGCCCCCCGCTGTACCTCGAAGGCGTGCTCACGATATCAAAACTCCGATGGAAGCGGAAAGCCATGTCCCGGCTGCCTTCTGTTTCCCCCTCACAAGAAGTGACAGCACTGCTGTGATCCCGGAACTCCGAGCGTCCGAAGTCCTCGAAGCCTCCGAAGGCCTGGAGCCCCCCGTAGACCGATTGTTCGGTTCGTGGTCAGACAAGCCGACGTGCCGAAGCAGAAGAGCGGATCAGAATTCCAATTCAATCATATTCATGGCCCGATCACAATCGCACTCTTCTCCGCTCTCCTCTCTTTCATTCGTTCGGGACGCGGCACGGACACTTGATAGCTGGGGCTGTCCATTGTCTTCCCACAATCAGGACTTTGGCTTCACAGCAGGCTACACTGTGGCGATGGGAACGGGAGGCGGCCAAGCCCATGGCGTCTGGCGCGAGCGTCACTGTCACTCCGGAATGGGGGCGGGAGCGTGGCTGGGTGCTCCGCGGGGCCGCAGGGCACAAGGGTGTGCAGAGGGTGCATGAGGGCATCGGTAGGAGTTGTTGACATGTTGACAAAGAAGACCAGAAAGGCACAGTGGAAGCTGACGAAGCTGACGTGTCTGCATCCAAGAAGCAGGAGCAAGAGCGGCCTTGCAAGCGAGCACAGGGCCCCATGAGCAGTCTATCGAACGCCGCTAGGAACGGCCGCATTTGCCTGTCCTTCTATTGACATTGACATTGAACGCATGGTCTGCGCAAGGTCGCTTCAGAGTCACCGAGGGACTTTCGGTGGAATTATAGTCCATCTGTGCTCTGCGCATGGCCATCGTGAGCCCTTTGTGCCGCATCCTGCCATCGCGGCCGTCTGTGCCACTTCCAACCTCGACCACGCTATTACCTCTTCGGGTTCCATTCTGTCTGTTAGCGACGAGGATCTGTCATTGAAGAGGCTGCGGCTCGCCAATCTCGTTCGGTTGAGTAATCGCCGTCCCCCATAGATGGCCTACGCGTCGGGTGCGGGTGCGGGGGGATAGCTCAGATCCCGGCGGGGCGTTCGAAGCATTACTGCGGGGCGAAAGCCGGACCGACGCCACGAACACCGCCACCGCCGAATAGAGGGTGCTGACGCTCTGAGCGCATCGAGCGGCTGATGGTCGATGCGGTGGCTGCCGTGGCGGGCGCAGTGATGCTGTCTTGCGCATCTGACTGACATGGCTGGCATCACTGTTGTCTGGGTACGCAGTGGGTCCGTCACGGTGTCTCTCATTCAGGCGGATAGTCGGTTCCGACGGGAATGCAGTGGCTTCAGAACACGACCACTTTCCGGGGCTTCGAGACTGGCCAGAAGCAACAGATGCAGTGCCGAGCGTGCCGAAGCGGCAAAGTCTGATCACTTTGTGCCAACCGAATCCCGAGAGAATTGTAACTGACTGACGTGAGTAGTGTGGCAGCCTGTCACCTATGAACGAATGTAACGGCATGAATTGGGCCGGGAACAATGAATGACAGAAGAGAACATGCAAGGAACAAGCGGAGGAACAAGCGGCACGCGCGCGGGCAAGCTAGAGCTATCTGATATCCCAACCGGCCTGGGGGAAGAGAGGGAACGGCCAGATCTGGACGCGCAGGTGGTCGAGCGCGGTAAACCTTACTGGCAGGCCAATCCGACACCTCACCTGCCATGTCGCCTGCTCGCTTGATGTGGTTGTGCGACAGGCGTTCCAAGCGCTGCGCACAGGCATCGCGCTCTGCATGTGATCTTCCTTGGCCTGCCGGACTGGCAGACCCACTGCGTTAAGGCCAGGTGGAGATCGCTGCCCCGAAGCTGTGGGACACCGGCGACGAACACACTGACCCCCGTTCCCCATGAATGTCCACTTCCAGTATGTCTGATGGAGACGCGCACTCCATCTCATGGTATGGTCGTGAATCCGGGTATGTGCCTGTCGACAGTTTGAGGGTGGTCTTGTGCAGCCAGTGACGCCAGATGGCAACCGAGTAAGGCCTGACTCCACTGTTCTGCTTCTAAACATATCGCTCGCAGCACATGCACCGCGGCGGCCACTTCTAGCCAGTGACGCGCTGTGCAATTGCGAAAAGTCGCCTGCAGTCGGTCGCTTTGCTGCTGCACCTGACCATCAAGTTTTGTCCGCTTCTCGGTCGCCGAGTGGGGCACGCCAGGAGCGCCAGGATTTCTGGCACGATTTCAGCAGGATTTTGGGAGGGGCAAGAGGTGGGGGACGACGGGGGTCCAGCTGGTGCGACCCTGGCGAGCCCCAGTGCTCCCCAGGACCCCGCATGGAGTACGCATGTCTGTCCGGGGTACAACGCTGATGGTAGTCATGACCACAGACGCGGCAGGGCTCGCCGCGCTGGCAGGGCCGGACAGGGCCGACACTGGGGGATGATTCGAGGTAGACGCGCGCTGCGGCGAGCCGAACTGCGGATAGGCTCTTTGGTCCTGTCGTGATTGGTACTATTGATGGCCCTGGTGCTCGAGCCCCGGATACGCCATTTTCGATTCGCCGCGTCGCGGTGTCGCGAGGGGAGGCCGAGGGCTAGTGAGATGGGAGAGGGTCGAGTGTCAGGAGTTTGCTGATGTGAGAGCCAGCAGAGTTCGCTCGGATCGCCGATTTCAACCCTGGGCTTACCTGAGACCCTTTGTGGCCCTTGGCCCCTCTCGATCGTCTGACATGATCATGGCATGTTTCCTTTGCTCTCTCTCTGCTCCTCTAGCGCGCTCCTTTGCTGCATTCGGCACTTTGCTCTTGTGATACTGCGACACTGTCCGCGTTTCTGGGTCGCCTTTCTCCGTCTCTGCCCTCACCCCTTCACCTCATCCACCGCCTCGCGGCCTCCGCTTGCCGCTCGTTGTCCTGTATCCTCTTCGCGTTTAAGGGTGACTGTTGCGCCAACAGATGCAGGGGTATGCGAAAGGCTGCGCGCTACTCATGCTAAATCAAGGCACGGGGCCAGGCAAGTAAGGGCCAACCGGCACAGACGTTCGTATTGCTGGTCCGCAGAGAAAGGGCCTCTCTCTGCTCGTAAAGCTCGTCTCGGTCTCTTTTTAGCTTTGACCGCCGTCATGTTCGCTGCCTCTGGCTGGCCCAGCATGCCGCCTCTCCCTCATCCTCTCCTGCTGCTGCTTCTCACCTCGTGAAGGATCCTGACCAGAGGCATCCGGGGCGGAGACCGTATCAGGGTCCACACAGAAAAGAGAGACAAGCAAGCGAAGGGTTTGTGCGATGTCATGGCATGGCCATGACCGCAAGCGCCGCAAGCCATGAGCCATGAGCCATCGAGAGGAACAGGATCCAGAGGAAAACTTGGTATCACGGACCGTACCCCCGTTCAGACCTTTCAGGCTGTTGGCCGCTCACACCTCGCAGTACTCAGTGATCGCAAAACTGATCGCTTACATATACGCTCCCCGTTCATCGCAACTCACCCCTCCCCACTCTTTCCTGCACTCTAGACGTCACAAACAAACACGCACCCTTCTCCGACCCACATTCCCTCACTCCACTCTCTCCTCTCGTCTCCTCTACACTTCGTCTCTGTGTCCTTTCGACTTCCTTCGACCTTCGACGAACACTCTCTCCACTTTTCCGACCATCGGACACTCGACCCGCCAGCGGCCATCGCTTGTCCCCCCACGTCCTCCTCCAACACTCACCTCTATTCTCACAGACATTTCTCGACCGATCTGTCAAGCCGGTCACTAGACGAACCACTGGTGTTCAAGCTCACTTTTCAGCGTCCTTGCCTCTCTCTGAACTGCTTCGAGCTCTCGAAAACTACTGCTCCCGAAACCCGAGCGGGCCCCTTACTTCTCTTTCAGCCCTCTGGCGCCCGAAACTCCAGAAGGCGTCTTTGGTTCCAAGCCGAACCCGGAACGTGAACCACATCCAGGGCTTGCGCGCATAGCCTCCTACGCCCGTACCGCAACCCACGCAGCGAGTACCGGCACAATGTTCATGCCACCCCTTTCGCCCGGCCTCTCGCCCGGCCGGCCAAGCACGTCGAGCATGTCTTCGAAGCACGACTCGTTCACTGTCGTCCGGACGGCAGACGACGAAGAGGACCCGGAAGACGCCTGCAGGCCAGAGTACGCCTTCCTGTCCGTCGACCCATGCAGCTTCATGTCGCGCCCGCCGGTGCCGCATAACAAGAGCAGCGCCAGTGTGAGCTCGCTGTCGTCATGCAACAGCGCGCCACCGACCGCCTCCGCCTCTGCGCTGCAGCAGGCGCAGGCCCAGAGCGTCCGCTCCTACTCCCCCAACTCTCAGCACCAGTCCCTCCCCTCCCCCTCGGCGCCGACGCACCCTCTCCCTCCTCCTCCCTCAGCGTCGGTGGGCCCGCACCCCTACGGCGCCCAGTCTACCGCCTCCTACAGCAACTATTCGGCTTACGGCCACGGCCTCCCTGGCCACCCTGTCTCACCGACATCCTCCGCCTCGGCCAGCTCGCCGACATCGCCGACGTCCGGGCCCCCAATCATTGTCTACTCGGCGTTCAAGCACGCCGACCAGCGTGCGCGCACTGTCCCTCCGCGCCGGCCGTTGCCGAGTGCGCCCATCCCCGCGTCGCCCGAGACGCCGCGACATGGCCTCCCGAGCCTGCCGCCACTACCGCCGACTCCCTCGACGCCAGAATACACCCACGGCCAGCAAGTGACGATGACGCACACGCCTGGCACGCGGTACTCTGGCCCTCACACGCCGCACACGCCTCACTCCCCGCACTCTTTGGCGCCGGGCGGCGTACGCGCCTCGCTTGCCGACTCACTCTCGTCCAAGGGCACGTGCGAGAGCGGGACGACGCTGATCGACTCGTCCCCGACGCTCCCGACAGTCCCGAGCATGACTAACGTGACGCGCGCGGGCAGTGTATGCGGGAAGAGCGTGAGCGCGAAGAGCGAGCGCGGGTTCGAGACGCGGCCCAGCACGCCGACGACCGCTAGCAGCGGCGCGAGCATCGCGACCGGCATCACTACCGGTGTTGGCGGTCTGCCTCGCGAGGCGCAGCCGTTCAAGGCCGACCGGCCGTGGCTGAAGCGCGTGTTCCACAAGGCGTCGGCGGCCGATGTCGCCAGCCTGGTGCTGCAGGGATGGCCCGAGAGCGATGCCCGGACAGCCCTCAGTCTTTGCCAGACAACGGACAAGGCGATCGAGTACCTCACCCTCCAGCGCACGAAGCACTACAGCATCGCGACGCTGATCCAGGACGGATACAGCCCCAAGGCTGTCCGCGAGGCCGTGGACAAGTATCCCAACGCAGACGTCGCAAACGCATACCTCATGCACCAGAAGCATTGCGACCTCGCCCGCTTCAAGCCCGTCAAGGACTGCATGTGGTGCGACGCCATCGTGCAGTGCAGGCGCAACCTCGGCATGACCGATAGTAGAGTTATCGGAGCGGGGATGGGCACGCCGATCGGCTATGGCTTCAGCTACTGAGAAACTGCTCTCTTGAACTGTTCCAGACACCATCCTGTAAGGCGAGGGGTGCACGCTAGTCCACACCTGTGGCAGAAAGAAGCATCCCGCCCTCATCCCGCTCCAACATGCCCCCCACAGGCCCCGCGCCATCATTTTTGCACATCATCACGACCATCACGACCCCCCTCAATTCAACATATCATAAACCACAACAACCTTAGAACCCCTGCACCACGCATAGCCAGGCATGGTGTTTTGTCAGTAGTCGCAGACGTAGACAAGACGTAGAAAGTCAGTAGCAGTAGTAGTAGTTTTTGGGCATCGCGAGACGAACCTCCCTGTTCATACACTTCATAACTTCAGCCCGAGGGCGGAATCCAAAAGAATGAACGATCGTTATTCTCAGCATGGCCTAGATCGTGGCTAGCGTGGCTAGATCCAGCGAGATTCCGCAGCGCAAGCCCGGCGCCACAGTCTATTCCTGGACGCTCAGTAGAGAGCTCGCAACCCGTTGTCATGATTAGTCGACGCTAGCAACCTCGCTCGCTTTCTCGTTGGTGCAGTTGGTTGGCTCCTTTTTTCTAGCAGCGAGCAGCCACTTCTGTTGGGTGTAAGCCGCATCGGTGAGTTTTCAGTAAGCGCTAGAGGTCGTGCTCGCCGTGCGGCCAATTACGGCTGTGAGCCGGTCTGCTTAGTGCTGCGGCTCATCGGCCAAGTCGGCGAGGACTTGGAGGTCAGAGCACATGCCTCCTTTCGCGCGGCAGTGACTACCCCGTCTCCCTCGTGGTGGGTGAAGACGTTGACGCGGATGCCCAAACGATTCCAAACGCGCTCAGGGAGAAGGAAGGCTATGACCTCACCAATCGAGGACAGCGAGGTTGAAGGGGTCGGGCAGTGAAAAGACACCGCGCACCGACTTTAGTGGGACTGAAAAGAGAGGGAAGAGCGGAAGCGTGATAAGCATCCAGGGCCGGGTAGATTGAACTTTGTTCCTTTTTCAACGGCATTGTCGACCACTTGCTGCTCCGGTGCCGGAGCCGGTGCCGAACGACAGCCGCTACGTGCTGAGACCGATCGGCCTACTGCTGGCCTGCCGGAATGACGCTAATGCGATCACTGATGAGTACGCACGGTGTCAACGGGGGTTAGGGGCTGATGGCGGAAGTTGAAGGAAGGGTTCATGGATGCCCGTTGAATGCTTCGAATTGTTCTGCTGAGCGTGGGCTCGTCGTCTTGATGATTTCCTTTGATGATCGGATCCGCTGACGAGGGACTGATATGAAGTGATGGAGGGGCAAGTGATGGAGTTAATGGAGGGTTGGGCCGAGATCGTGAACGCGACCATGTCTCAGAGCTTAACCTTGCAACTTGTAGCTTATCGGACGAGACGGCTTGACGCGCTGCATGACTAGGACTGCACACTACCACCGATCTTCACCAGACTTACGCATCCACCTACTCCCAGTGTTTCGTCCTCTGTTCGTCACCTCGACCAGACATCAGTACCGAGGAACTCAAGGCAGCCGTAAAAGTCCACACAGGGCATGCTCGATCGGGTTAATCGGGCAACTAACCTGGCGGCGTACTGGCGTTGCTGGCGTGCTTCTGGCGCATTTGACGTCGTCGCTTCTTTCCTGAACATGAATACCAACTCTATCGAATGCGTCTCGCGTTTCATCCTGCCAAGCAACGGCAGGCGAGTTGCTGTTCTGGGTGCATCTGCGCTGAGACACCCGCCGGGCACATGCACAAGAATGGAGACGTCATGCGACGTTGGGAGTACATAAGCGTCCTCTTGATTCTGGACTGGTCCAGGACTCCGCGGACTCCGGCACACTCGGCCCTTCGCAGGCCTCACCGGTCCACGCCGCCGACCCTACGGGCCCTGCTCCGATCTGACACTGACAGAGAGCCAGTCGAGTGTCACGACGGAACGCCTCCGGCTCGCTGGACGGCTCTACGTCACCCGGAGGCGTCGGAGGCGCCGGGTCTGGCGCACACGTTTCCTTGTCTCTTCAGCCGGGCCAGTCACGTCGCCCCTGCGTGCACCTCGTGCTGTCGACGACGAGAACGTTACGACACGCAACCTGACGAAGCCTGACGGGGAGCCTGACGAAGAGCCTGAAGCAGGCGCAGAAGAAGACGCTGATGACAAGAAAGCACTGGTCTGTGCGCCGGGGTCGTCGGAGACTCAGCACACAACTGAGACGGTGCTGACACATCATGGACTGAAACGAAACAGCACTACTGCGGGCTAGGACCTGTCAGCCCCTCTGCTTCACTTACTTGTGCACAGGACGTGCATCGAGCTCGTTGACTGGTCCAAGCTTGTGATGGAATGCATAACAAGCTATGCACGGGGACCAAAATGGTCGACTGTGAGGTCTTTCTAGGTACAGGATGGTCACGGTGCGCGGCCCAGGTACGCTCTACTGTACGCTAGGTACGGTGTGTGTTTAAACTTGGATTCAGTCCTGAGCGGTCCTTAAAGAGTCCTTAGTCTTGTCCTTACACACGGATCACTGTGGCTCGTGCGACGGGTCGCGCATCTTTGCGTTTGAACAATCATCATCCACTGTACGACGCTCGCTCGCTCGCTTGCTCGCTCGCCCGCCCACATACACCTGCCTCTTTAGTCGCACACCACAAAGGCTCGAGATCCTGACCATGCACTCACCCAGACACACACTCACTCACTCACTCACTCTCTTGCACAGCTCACCCCGTAACAACAAACAGGCACTCTCCACAGTCACTCCCTTCCCCTCTCTCCCCCCCCCTTGTCCCCCTCCTCAGCGCCTCACCCTTCCCCCTCTCCTCGCCTTCGCCCTCTCCCGAACATTTCTGCGACTTCTTTCGCCCTCTCACTCCGCAGCCGAGACACTCTCGACGCCTTTCAAACCACACGCCCGACACTCACGACCATCTTCCCTCCCCTGCTCATCAGGCGATCGATCACGTCCGTGTCGCCATAGCCGTCACCCGCGAGTTCGACCTCGAATCTCCGGTCGCGCCTGCGTCTCGCGACGTCTCGTCTTCCCTTTGTTTCTCCACCTTCCCTTCCTTCTGTCCTACCAACAGCCCGCAAGCCGCCAGCCCCCCAGAGACATTACCGCTTTCAACCACAATTCACCTTCCAACTCACGTCCACGTCCGACGTGATCGCAGCAATCTCTGATCAAGCTCCTACCCCTCTCACCCCGCGTACCTTCCCTCTCTCTCCACAGAGCTTGCTCTCCTGCACACCTGTCACACCCCGCTCAAGCTCACCGCCTTCCTCCTTCCACTATCTCTCTTCATCCTCACACTCTCACCCCAGTCCGACATTGACCTTCTTTCCTCACCATGCTCTCTCCGACGCTCGCCCCGACGAGCGAGAGCGAGACCTCGCCGACAGTAGAGACGACACGATACCCGCACACCCGTTCAACGCACAAGAGAGAGACCAGCTTCGGCGGTGGACACGTTACCCGCCACGGCTCGACGTCCGAGTCCGAGTGGTCGCTTCCCGACCAGCCTCGGGGACCGACCCGCAAGGAGTCCCAGTCGACGCTTACCCCGCCAGTCCGAGTTTTCCCCCGGCCACCTTCCGACGGAAACTTCACGCCCACGATCAGGCCAGGTTCTGTCAAGAGTGTTAGTTTGGAGAGGGGAGACGACGACACGGCCTCGAGGCGCTCGGTTCGCTCGTTCCGAGCGACAGTCACCAAGCACCGACCACCGATGCCGCACAAGGCTTCGCACGATTCCCTGCTGCCGACGATGGTGCAGGCGATCGAATCTTCTCTCGGTCCTAACGTGATCACAGGGAGCTCGAGTAACGGTGGCGGCAGTGGGAGTGGTGGTCAAGGAAGGCGTTCTGCGCCACCTTCCTCGACAACGACGCATGCCAGGACCAACCGTGATTTGCGCCCGGACAAGTCGAGCCAGAACCACAAAGCACGTACGGGCGAAACAGCCGATCGGGTCACTGCGCTTAACGGGCAGAGCAATGGCCACGATGGAGGAGTTGGAGTCATTGGAAGCTTTGACAAACGCCTCAATCGTAGCGTCATGAGTCTCGGCGTCAAGGCAAAGGCGGAGAAGGTTGTTAACGCAGACCCTCAGCCCCGCCTCGCATCGCTGTATCTGGTTACTGGCCTGTTCAAAGTGAGTTAATCCAATTGTCTTGGCGCATGGTGACTAACGCCTCCTCAAAGGATCCTTCCGAGTGGGCCCTGTCGGACAAGGATGCCGTCCTAGGTGTGCAGCCGATGGAGGACAGCTTGGGCGTCTTCTGGCGTCCGAACATGCTCGGGAACACATGGAGCGGAGAAAAGAGCGACGAGTTTGCCGGACGCTCGGGCAGCAAGTCGGGTCGCTCGGGCAGCACGGTGCGCCGAGACGCAAACGGGCAGGCCCTTCCGGGCACCAAGCCTGAGGGTGCCTCGCGCCTCGTCGCTCGAGCGATGAAGTATGCTCATCCGAAGGACATCGAGGTCGTCAACTCGACCTTAGCTCCCCCAACGACCTGTCACACGTTCACCTTCTCCGTGGCCCGCCAGGGAACCCTGTCCGCTATTGCTGCCCAAGCCACTCGGGCCTCCAAGATCGGCGCCCAGCAGTACGACAACTTCAACCCCGCCTCTGCGTCCACGCCCTACAACCCTGTGCCCGTCGGACAGGAGCACCTCCGTGGCACGACCAGCTCGTCCGACCTCATCTTCTATGGTGTCACGCTCACCGTGTGGTCGCACGCCGACAAGGATCGCGCCGACAAGCTCAACGAGTTCAGGCAGCGTGTCGGTGTTCGCCACCGCGAGGACTCGGGTCTGTCCGAGTCGACTGCGATCAAGGAGCGAGCAAGGCGCCGCAGCAAGTTACCGTGGCTCAAGTCTGACCCGTCTACGCCCACCGATGTCACACCGAGTGAAACTGGTGTCGACTCGGACATGGAAACCACCTTTACCAGCACAGACGCCAATGCCTCCTTGTCCAACCTCGTGCCCGCTTTCGGGGAGTCGACTGACGTTTTCTGGCTACCGTATGGCCTCACTCTAGGTGAGCTCCCATCGACCACTCGCGAGCTAACAGCAGTGTCTCGATATCCTATCTACGACATCATGCAGGACTACTTGCGCTTGAGCGTAAGCTTGCCCAGGGGAGTTCTTCAAGCTGACATCCAGTGGGCACGATACCAGAAGGACGCCCGGTCTCATATGCGGCAGATCTTCACGCTGCTCAACGCAGAGGCGCCTCGTCCAGGTGACCTGTTCAGGCTGCCGATTGGCAATTCGCGGAACGACGAGGTCGTCATCGAGGCTACGATGCCGGGCGCACTCGACTTTGACAAGGGCATCTTCAAGGTGGACTTCCAGATGTGGCCCATCTTCCAGTGCCTCGACCTTGACAACATCATCACGTGCGTGGAGGTGGCACTTTCGAACTCTGGCCGTGTCATCGTCACGTCGCGGCACCCGCCCATGCTCGGCACGGCGGTTCAGACGCTGAAGTATATTGTCGAGCTGCGTGGCTGGAACGGCATCGCGCTGCCGCACATTCACACGCGCGACTCGACGTTCATCATCGAGGACCCTGGGCCATACATCATCGGCTTGCCGACCGAGGCTCGGTACATGCTGACCCCGCCGCCCGAGGTCGTTATCGTCGACCTCGACACGAACACTGTCAGCTGCAAGGCGTTCCCCGCCGGAGTTGTCACGCCGCGCGAGAAGCGCATGAAGGCCCGTGCCAAGCTTCTTGCCTCCTTTGGCCCGTCGTACCCCTCAGAGAAGTCTGTGCCGTTCGAGTATCGCGTTTCGTTCCCTAAGGGGGCGTTCCGCAACATAAACCGTGTCAACCACGGCCCGATCCGGCCCCGCTACCTCGGCGAGCGCCTGCACCCGCCCGACTGGTGGAACCAGAATGCGGTTATCTCCGTGTTCGACAAGATCATGGCCGACAAGGTGAGTTTGGTGATCCGTTTGACTTAGAACTGACACAACAGCACAAGAAGCCCACGCTGTTCCAGAGGCTGACCAAGTCTGGTTTCCTCCGTGCGCAGGAGCAGCTGTCGGCCAACGACATGCTCGCCAAGGCGATGATGCGCAAGCGTGCTTGTGAGTTGCGTTTATCCAGCGGTCAAACTGACCCCAGTGCACTATGTCGAGCGCCGTGACGACTTTGACCTGAAGCTGTCGCGCATCACCCGCCGCCTGCAGAAGTTAGTGCAGGAAGGCGAACACTGGAAGCAGCGATTCGAGACTTTCGAGAAGTATGCGGAGCGTCTGGCGATCGAGGCGTCCGAACTCAAGCTCAGGATCGACAAGGAACAGCGCGAGGCCCGCCGTCTTTCTAACAGTGAGCTGTCGGTCCTTCGGATTCAAGCTGACAACAGTCAACACGGAGCAGACCAAGCAGAACGCTCATCTCCAAGAGCAACTGAACCAGACTGAGAGCGCTCGCGCCGAAGCGATGCGCCAGCTGTCGGACATGCACCAATCGTGAGTTAGCGTGTGTTTGACTTCAACTGACATGCAGTATCCAGGATCTTGAGCGAGAACGGAACGCCATCATGGACGCCATTGAGATGCAAATCACAAACGCCCTCGAGCACATGCCCATCACTGCGGACCTCCGCAGGCTTCTTCCTCCCACTCCCGAGCCGGCCGACGCGCCCACCACGCCAACAGACTCGCCACCCGGAACCCCGCTCAGCAACTACTCCGTCCCCCTGGCGCCGAAGAAGCCCCGGCGACCGGGAGCGCGCGACTCGACGCAGACGACGTTCTCCTGGGACAGCCAGACGTCGAACAACCCCGTCAGTGTCCTCGGTGCGCTCATTGATGGCTCTATCCGCCGCGAGCACCTCGGCTCTATTGTCGACACGGACGAAGTCAGTAACGCCGACCGCTTCCTCTCGACGAACAAGAACGACAGTATCTCGCAGCGTGTCGCCATCATCCAGGCCAAGGTAAGCTACTCCATCTGACGTGAAGCTGACATCAGCTTGAGCTTGCTCTCCTGCCTCAGTCCGAGGTGCAGAGCTCCCAGGCTGGCTCTCACGATGGCCACGGTTCATATGACGGGCACGGCTCTTCTGTTGACTCGCACTACTACGAGTCGGAGGACTCGCACGACTACCGTGGCAAGCCTTCGAGCCCGTCCTCCCCCGTGTCAGACTACACGACGCGCGCGGGTTCGGTGCGGTCGAGCAAGTCGTACCGCTCCTCGCGCTCTACGCCGCGACGCACGCGCAAGCTCGCGATCCGGTCTCCCTCGACGGCCGAGTCGGACCACGAGATCACGCCCGTCGAGGAAGAGCCCCTAGACCAGGAAGAGGTGTACAAGCTGCGCCCGACGATCGCGTACCGCCCGCTCGTGCTACGCCCGCCGCCGCGCAAGGTGACGCAGAAGAAGAGCTACGAGAGCATCGACAGTGCAAGCACGAGCTATGAGCAGAAACGACGTACCCGCGAGGTGCTCGTGACCCCGCCCGAGCCCGAGATGGTGGCGCTGCACGACCGCGACGGCGAGCGCAAGGTTGTCGTCGACGACGCGAGGCCCAGCAGCGTCATCTCCACCATGACTGTGACGTTTGGCTCTCCGGGGTCCAACGGGCACTAAAACACCTCCAACGTATAATACCCAAATCATGACCAAGACAAGACCAACACTCCACGACCTCAGTCGCCCCCGCTTTCTTCTGTTGTTAACTTTCTCCCCTTCATGATCCGTCCTACAATTCCATCCGTTGCTTGCCCGCGAGCTCTAGGTAGTTTCGCCAGGTACTTGAAATGCCATAATAGTTCGTTTGTTGGCTGCTGCAAATGTGAACAAAAATGATTATCTACATGCGTGGATTGCATATGTGCTGTGCTTGCTAGATGCAGTGGTGGGAATGGGGTTATGATACACTGTGGGATCTACGTCTACCGCCTATTCTAACCTATATCTACCCGTCTTGAATCAACGACGTCGACCTCAGTCGGGCTCAGTTGGCCGCACTCGGCCTAGCGGCCGCCTTCGACCGCCTTCGACCGCCTTAGCTAAACAGACTAGCCAATTCCTCCGCCTTCTGCTCCATGAGTTCCTTTCTCGTCATATTCTTCAACGAGAGTTTGGCGAGGTGTTCCTTCTTCTGCTGAATCTTCTGCAGCCTCTCCTCGACGGATCCATTGATCATGAGTTTCAGAGCCGTGACTGGCCGCTTCTGCCCGAGGCGGTGGATACGGTCAATGGCCTGTGCCTCGACCGATGGGTTCCAGTATGGATCGACGAGGAAAGCCCGCGATGCGCTGGTGAGATTGAGGCCCACGCCGCCCGCGCGCGTCGAGACGAGCATGACCTCGACGCCCTTTGTCTTGAGCGCCTCCATGGCCTCGGCACGCGCTTCGCGCGTCATGCTCCCGTCCAGCCGGCAGAAACGGATGTTGGACTCTTGCAGCATGTCCTCGATCCGGTCCAGCATCGTCGTCCACTGCGAGAACACGATGCTCTTCGTCGGGATGGGGTTGCCCTCGTCGTCCGTCTCGACGATGCCGTCGTCGTGCGTCCCGAACGGGTCGTAGTTGGCACTGTGCTTGTTCTGGCGGGACAGCTTCATGAGCTCGTCGTGCAGGAACTGCATTTTCGTGCTCATGATGAGGTGCTCGCCGGGCTGGCGGCGCCACTTCCTCCGTGTTGGGGCTGGACGCTTGGCCGTCTCGTCGTCCAGCTCGCTCGGCGGGATGACGTCCGCTACGTCCTTGTCCAGCCGCAGCTCGCGCGAGCACTTGGCACAGTGCCGCATGCACCCCTTCACGTTCTTCGGCCACTGCGGCCACGTGTTCCGCTTGAAGCAACCAGGACAGAAGATGTGCAGGCACTTGGTGAGCAAGGGGTGCGTGCTCTTCTTGCCCTTTTCGGGCTTGGCCTCGTCCTTGACGGCGTCGTCCTCGACGACACCCCCGAGACCGACAGAGGGGAAGTAGGGCGAAAAGTCGTGCCCGCACTCGGCACACACGCAGTTGTCATTGTCCTTTGCCGCGCAGATCACGGCGAGCGCGCGTCCCTGCGTCAGCCCGTGCCGCTCGATGCCCGCCACGGCGTCGTCGATGCCCATGATCTCGCCATCGTTGTAGTCGTCCTCCGTCACGCCGGAACCGGCGAGATCGACGTGGTCGCACGTCTGCCGCAGACGCAAAAGGTGCTGGAGCACGTGCGCATAGTTCTTCGTCAGCTCCTTCTTGGCCTGGAGCTCGTCGACCTCCTTCTTGATGTCGTGCAGGCGCTCGTCGTAGATGGCGCGTTCGTCTTCGCGCAGGTCGAGCCACACCTGCAACTCGCGGCGGGGCGGGAGGGAGAGAATCTTCTTGCCCTCTTCGGTTTCCGTGTCCTTGGTGCGGCGGAGGGAGCACGTGCGCATGATGAGCTGCAAGCGCGCGATGCCAATCTGCTCGCCCGTCTTGCACGGCGTCGTGATAAACTTGTTGAACACCTCCTTGTCGTCAATCGGCGACAGGCGCAGAAACTTGAACAAGGCCCACACGTCCTCGATCCGGTTCTGGATCGGCGTACCCGTCAGCGCGATGCGGCGGTCGGCTTCGAGGTAGCAGCACGCCTTGCACGCGACTGTCTGCGACGACTTGATGCTGTGCGCCTCGTCGAGCACGACGCGGAACCAGTCGACGCTCTGCAGCGGGCTCGGCTCGGGCGTGCCGCGCCGGCGTCCTCCCTTCTTCTTCGTCTGGTTCAGCGCCTTTTCTAACGCGAGAGGCTTTGGCGGTTCCGACTTGCCAGGCTTGGCGGGCGAGTTGCACGAGCTGTCCTTTGTGTCGTCGTCGCTGTTCGCCGTCGTGTGGGTGGCAGGAGTCGAGGTGTCGTCGTCGGCAGTCGCGCACTGCTTCGAGTACTCGTTTGCGAGCGTGGCATAGGACGTGATGACCACGTCAAACTCGGCGAGGAAGCGCGGGTCCGCGCGCCGGCTCGTGCCATGGTAGATGTACACGCGGAGGAGGTCGTCCTTGTCGACGGGCTTGTCGTCCTTCTTCTTTTTCTCCACCGACTGACCGCCAACGACCTCAACCTTACCGTCCCAGTGCTCGCGCAGCTGGTCCTCCCAGTTCGTAATCGTCGACATGGGGCACACGAGCAGCGTGGCCTTGGAGCGACGGACCAGCTGCGAGCGCCGGATCCGCGTCGCCTCGTCCGACTCCTTGTCCCGGCGCCGCTTCTTCGCCTTGGACCCCTCGACAACCTCGGCGCCCTCGGGCATGCCAAAGACTTTGGTGGTCATGACGCTGGCCGGCAGCTCTGGCTTCCCCTCGTCGTCACTAGCAACGGGCGAGATTGTCTCGAGCTTCTTGTCGTGCCACTGGTTGGCGGCCGAGCGCGTCGCGGCAATCAGCGAAACGACCGACAACGTCTTGCCGAGACCCATGTCGTCGGCGAGAATGGCACCCTTGGCGTCCTTTGGCCGCTTGCCGCGCACTGTCTCGCCCGTGACCTTGTTCTTGAACACCTTGATGCGGCCCTTCTCGTCCGGCTGGCCCTCCCAGAGACTGCGGAGGTTGTCCTCCTTGTCCTTGGCCTTGTCCTTGTCAGCCGCCTTGTCGCCGGGCGTCGAGTCTCGGCTAGCCTCGTCCTGCTCGGGCTTGTCCTTCTTGCCCGTGAGCTTGCGGTAGCTCTTGCGCGCGGCCTTGAGCGACGACCAGTCCTGCTCGCCCTGCAGGAGGAAGGTTAGCGCCTTGCGCTGGTGCGGGAACAGCTCGGTCTTGATCCACGGTCCCGGATCCGTCTGCTCGAGCTCCATGCCGTTGTCGATGCTCTTGAACACCTCGTCGACCTGGGCGCGCTGCACCTCGACCTGCTTCGCCTTGTCCTGCTGCGTGTACCCGTACGTCTGGCTCGAGCGCGACTGCAGGTACAGCTTGTACGCAATCTCGCCGGACCCGTGACCGTTGATGTACTCGGGATGGTCGGTGTGTCGCTGCGGGTCGTACGGCGGCATCGGGTCGAGGAGGAAGATCTTGTGCGACGTGAGCGTGTCGACAATGTAGTTGATGTTGCTCGGGAGCGTGAAGATCATGACGTTGATGCGAATCTCGTACGTTGGCTGGGGGTTAGCTGAGTTGGTCGGATCCTGAGCTCGACTTCACTCACAGCATTGGGCTGCAGACGCAGAGCAAAGCCCTCCAAGCGGCAAAGGCCGCGCTCCAGCATCGGAATGAGGTGGGACGCCATCGTCTCGTCAAGGTCGCCGATGTAGCATCGCATGTCGGCTGTTTGTCAGCTCCAGACCGTTCAAATAGCTACTCACGAGTGAGGACCTGGATCGTATCCCGGCTCACAGTCGTCCACGGCTCGTTAGGCCGTCCCTGTGTCCCAGCCCTGCGCAGCTGTTATCGTCAGCAAAGTTCACAACCGAAGGGTGTGTGGGTGCGTGCGGATCTGCGGAATGCGTCCCTGTCCTCCGTCCCCCGAGCTTCCTTTCCCTCGGAGCGACGTCCTTCCGCCGAGATCCGTCCGCCATCGACCTTGGATCCCTTTACGGGGCCAGGGAAGTCCGCACTGCCGAGCTACAGGACGTTCGCCTCTCAATGCAGTGCCTGTGTACTCACCTTGAGCTTGACGCGGATCATCTCTACGCCGCGAAAGTTGACCAAGTCCCATTTACTCCCCTGGGGCGGGCCGCAGCCCGCCATAGCGCAGCTCTGGGGGTACAGCATGATAGCCCTGCTCATGAAAGCGCCGATACAGACGGGCTTCTTCGGATTCGGGCGGCGCGACACGGGCGCAGGCGGCAGGCTGTCGACATCGATAGCGGCAGCAGCCGAGGCGCCGTCGTTAGCTCGAGAAGGGCCCGCCGAGCTCGAGGACGAGCTGGGACCGGGGCCAGCGCCGTTCGAATAGGAACCAGAGGGGTAGCGCGGAAGATGGGGGGGCTGGTGGTGCGCCGCCGCGCTCGCTGCGCCCAGCATTGCGCCGAAGTTCGGGGACGGCCCGCTCTGGCCCGTAACCATCACGTCGTCGTCGGCTGTGTTTGCCACTGGGTAAGCTGGCGGGAATCCCGGTGTGCTTCCAGTCGAGGAATGAGGTCGGTGTATCGTGTTGTTGCTTGTGGGTGAGTGCGAAGTGGAGGAGAGAGAAGGAAGTGAGTGCGAGGAAGAGGAAGATGCGTGGGCAGGCGTGTGGTTGACGTGGTTGTGGTTGTTGTGACTTGATGATGAAGCAGGTTGCTGACCAAGAGGCCTGTGCGTCGGCGACGACGAGGCAGAGGGATGGGCGGTGGTTCCAACCGCAGCGCCTGCAGCGCCCGAAGTCGAGGTGGCGAATCCCTCCGCAGTAGACGGAGCCGCGTGTGCGCCGAGTCCTCCTTCTGGCCCGGGGCGGCGCTTCGGGTCGTCCTCATCGCTTCCGCTTCCGGTGAGGTCGATCGCGTCCATCGTAGTCGCCCAAGTCCTCACTCCGATCGGTTCGCTAAAATCGGGCGAAGGAAACCAGAAGGCAGGACGCAGGACCGAGTATGACGCAGTGACGCAGTCGCAGGCAGTCGTGTATGGACGAGTGCGAGTGCGAGTATGCGTGTGGGGGGTATCTTGGATTGTTATCAGGTGATGTAAGATCGAAAGGGGAACAAGGAAAGCAAAACCAAAGATCCTGTAGCAGCATCGGCTGTGAATTCGACGCGTTACAACTGCGGCTTTCTCATGTTCTGCATACTCCGGCGGGCATCACCCTGAACTCGCCTGTGTGTTTTCGCACTTGCCCGCCCCCCTTCTCTACGCCTCGAATGCACAGCGTACAGCGTAAGCCAAGGCAAAGCCCAATGGGCCCAATGGGCACATGACCTTTGCTCACCCAAGCCTCTCTCCCAAGCCCATCAATTCGGCTGAGTAAGCAATCTCACCCTCAACTTTCTAATCCGTGGTCACGTGCAGTCCGCTCTCCTCCGTCGGCTGTCATGGTTGCACTCTGTTCTCCTAATTCGGCTCAGGGTCCAGCTAATGCATGAGGTATGAACGACATTACACTTTCACAACATACAGACGGACCTGTTCCTATGCAAGAGAGAGGGAGAGAGAGCGAAAGGAGGCTCGGTCCTCCGCTCGGTGTCACTGATGGCAGAGGCACTCTGGCACTTTCTCCAATACTCCAAATGCGACAGCCTGTACCACGGTGACAGCACTGGCTGCATCCACTGCGCCGGCACCGACGCTCAGTCAGCCTCCACCGTCAGGCAATGGCATGGCCCGCGGCGACGCCCGCCCGTCGGCCTCCCACAGTGAAATGACAAACGCGAGCAGCATTGCATACCGCGCTTCGTCAGCGCAGAGCCAATGCGGGATTACTCTGCCCCGCCGCTCCTGCGTCTCTTGGCCGTCGCCGTCGTCTTGCTCTTGGCCGCCGTCGTCTTCGCCGGCGCTTTGGCTGGTGCCTTCGCGGGCGCCTTCTTGGCCGGCGCGGCCTTGCGCGGCGCCTTGCCTGCCGTGCTGGCGCGGGTCGTCTTGCCTGCTGCCGCTGCCGTGCGGGGCTTCTTCTGCAGCGGCTCGTCCTCCTCGCTACTTTCCAAGATGTCGATGGGGTCCGTCGTCGTCCCCGTGCCCTTGACGCTGACGGGGGTTGCGTTCCTCGCCCGCTTTGGAGCGGCGGGGGCAGTCGGTTCCTCCTCCGCCGGCGCGGGCGCGTAGAGGATGGTCGCCATCTGGCGGGCGCTGATGGGCTCGCCCGCGCTGCCGTTGCCGAGGTTGCGTTCGGACGAGGCATAGTCCCAAGGTTCCGGGGACGTGGAGAGGACGGGCACCTCGTCCCTCGTCAGCTGGGGGCGGAAGAGGGCGATGGGGATCGAGGCCGTGTCCTTAAGCGGCTTCGAGGAGAGGAAGACGTCGACGTGCGACGGCGTCTCGAGCGGCGTCAGGTGCTCCATCATCTCCCAGGGCCGGTCGTCGAGAGCAATGCCCTCCGACTCGGCGACGTGGCTCCCGCTCAGCGCCATGGCGCGGAACGTTGGCGGTGGGCGAGGCAGAGCAGACGCGAAAGAAGGGTGCGCAGTCAGCAGGTCCTGCACTGCGCTCGTCGACATCTCGTACGACAGCGCCTGGTACACTGCTGCCTGGGACGAGGTTGGCGTAGAATCCACGAGGTAGATGAGCAGGTCGCGCATCGTGTCCAGGTCCGTGAACACCTCCTGCGACCTACCGCTGAGGGCCTGGATGTCAGTCATTCTTTCTCAGCAAGAAAACTCACCACCGCAAGGTGCAGGAATGCCGTGTCGAGCTGGGCATAGTCGGGCCGCGGGGCGGCAGTGACGATGGTGTCCTGGGAGGGAAGGGCGAGTGCGAAGCGAAGCAGCTTGAACACGACCTGGAGCACGCTGCCGGGCTCGGCGGGCTTGGCACCGGGAAGGAGCTGCACGTCGTCTTCGGACGTAACCTGTCGCTCGATGCTCTGGAAAGCGACAGTGAGGAGGTTGAAGAGCCGGTCTCGCGCCGCCGCAGTGGCGACCTCGAGTCTCTCCTGCCGTCCCGCGCTACGGATGACGCGGAGGACCTGGTCGACCGCCGCCGCCGTGTCCTCGACCTGGTGCTGATTCTCAGCGCTGAGGAGTTGGGACAGGAGCACGCTGAGGCGGTCCAGCCCAACTGAGAGAATCTCCTGCGCAACGACACTGTCTGCGCCGCGGAACGCCTCGACGAGCAAATCCATGTCGTCCGGACTCGCCTCGCGGTCCAGAGATGAACGGACGATACGCGCAATCTGCTGGCGCGCCTCGACGGGTTCGTCATTGTTCGTGATCCGCATCGTGAGCCGCTTGAACTCGACACGCATCTCGAGCACAACCCTCGTCCAGCGCCAGGCGCTGTAGCGCGCCCCGCGCTCGATCGCCAGGCTCGTAGACGATTTGTCCCGCGTCGTACTGTCCGACATCATGAGCTTCAGACCCTCCACCATGCCCGTTTCGAGCGACGAGTCGCTCGTGCGCTTGATCCAGTCGTTGGACAGGAACGAGTCCTTCAGTCCGTCGAGGTTGCGGAAGGCCGCCGTCTTGAACTGCGGCAGCGCCGCGAGGCCGCGGAAAATCTCCCCGATCTGCGTCCGGATCTTCTCGGGTACGACCTTGGAGCGCTCCAACACAACAAGGACGGGGAGGTGCGAGATCAGGCCCTCGACCTTACTCGCGTGGAAGACGGCGGCACGCGCAGTCTGAACAATGTACGCCTCGCGCAGGTTCTGGGGAGGCAGGGTCTTGTGCGCCGTGCACAGGAGCAGTTGCTGAGTCATCGTGACCGCCCAGTCGATGGCGTGCGTCCGCTTCGTCCCGAGGCGCGGGTGGGCGGCAGAGGCGAGGGTGGCTGCGTGCTTGAGCTCGGGGAAGACGAGGCGCTCCAGGAGCACGGCGGATCCGAGGCGTCGATTGACAACAAGCTGGAGAAGCAGACGTACGACAGGGGGTACGTTTCGGCGACCGAACACCTCGAGCCTCGTGGCGACGACGAGCGTGTCTAACCACGCAGCGACGACTGGCCGCAGCGAGCCGTCGCCTGCGACATCCTCCACCTCACAGATATGCGCGACAGCGGCCATGATAGCGTCCGCCTTGCTGTTGTCGGCAGATTGGACGGCCTCGATGATGGCAGCCCACCACTTCTCCGACCATGCGGAGAATTTGCCGTGGCGCGTGAACATCTTGGACGACAGGGCAGAAGCCTTTGCCGCGTCTCCAGACATGATGATTTGCTTCAGCCCCTGCAGGCTCTGATCCAGGTCTACGGGGAAGGCGGGCGTCGCGGGCGACTTGTGACGGTGCGCCTCGCTCGCCGCGCGGACCTCCTCCTCGGCGTTGGGCGGAACACGGTTGTGCTGCGCGAGCATCAACAGAACAGCAGCGAGCGGAGGGAAGAACCGCCCCTTGCGCTGCATGACGCGGAAACGCTCCATGAGTGCGGTGGTGATCTCATTCCAGCGGTCGATGCACGTCCAAACGTCGGCGTGGCGCTTGATCGCGTCCAGGATAATCAAGAGAATCTCCTCGTCTTCTGTCCCTACGATGCCCTTAACAAGGAACTGGGGTCAGCTTCAGTACTCAACTTGACAGCTCACGTCAGTAGTCGTGGAGTAGGCCCAGCACTGGTTGAACACGTTGATGATGCGCGCAAACGTGCTGGCGCTCATTGCCGGTTGCGGGCCTTGTCTGCAGCGTCAGCTCAGAGTCGAGAATGAACAGCTTACCTTTTGAAAGCGTTCACGGCCGCAGCAAACATCCAGAACCGCGTCTGCACAAACTCGTACCGGTTCAAACTCGCGGCCGAGGGGAGCTGATAGTCGATCTGTTCCTTGAACGTGGCACTGCGTCCATAACGCTTCAGCCCAAAGATCTCGGGAACATACTCCTTGAGCTCCTGCTTGAAGCTCTCGAGCGCCGCGTCTTCCTCGGCCTGTCCACGCTCTCGTTCTCGTGGATCCGAGTCGCCGCTGAGGATCAGGCGGCGTTGGACGCACAGCTCCTTCGACTCGACAAAGATAGGCATGGCGCGGAGCAGCTCGAGGTGGTGCGACGGCGGTCCCGTGTGGTTCCTTGGGCTGTGTCCGACCGCGATCAGTTTGCGGATATACCGGCCGTAGGAGAACATGCCCTGGCGCGTCATCTCGCCGAACGCGATGCCGATCGCGAGTACGTTGTCCGGCCGCTGCGCGGCGGCACTCGTGTCGAGCCATTTGTACAGGATGTCGAAGAAGTCGAACGGCTCCGAACGCTGCTCCTCGTGCCACTCTTGCCACTTCTTTAGCAACGTGTACACGGCGTACGGCCGGTGTATTCCGAGCTGATACAGGCCCATGGCCCAGTTGACGAGGATGAAGACCTTCTCCTCGAGCTTGGCGAGGTCGATCTTGGGAGACGTCGGAGCACAAGCCCCATTGAAGTAGGATTTGCACAGTGCCGCCATGTCCGTCTCGGCTGCGATCGAGTCGAGCTTGTTCACCTCCACCATTTGCTGTCGTCGTGGGCTGGCCCCGGCGTCGACAACGGGCGGTACAGCGACGAGTGCCTCATTTCGCCGCGTCAAATCCTGGAACGTCGGTGTCGTCGAATCGAGCAGCTCGGACAGCCGCGCAGAGTGCCGCGTCCAAGTTGCCGGACTCAGGATCACCTCGGGGTTGCTGTCATACAACACCTGGACAATGTTGATAAGTAACTGCTCGACCTTGGACATGGTCGCTCGGGCAGGAGATGCTCGAATCTCGTCGATCTTTGCGCATGCAGCGCGCACGCAATGCCGCCCGACAACGACGTACTCGGCGACATCGACGAGGTTGTCGTGGATCAGCTGCGAGACAAAGCCGAGCTGCGCGAGGTTGGCCGTTCCGAGGAAGTCACTGAGCCACTGCACGAGCAGCCGCGGCGAGATCAGCCGTTTCCGGTACAACTGGTGCAGGAGCTGGTTCGAGTACTGCCACTTGGCGAGCCAACGGGCTTTGCTCTTTTCGTCGCCCAGCACGCCGGCAGGAGCTTTCGGTGGTGGCGGCGCGCCCGCCTTGGCCGGGCGGGCGGGGAGGACGAGTTGTCCCAGCTGAATCCGGAGCCAGGCCGTGAACGCATTCGTGAACTCGCCGGTGTACCAGTCGTTGCTGTTGAGCGGGGCAGCGGAAGGTGGCGCCGTAGCAGTCGAGCTCGGCGTCGCGGCCACGGGTGACGGAGCCTGCACGCCGACGGTTGCGGGCTGCGCTCGTCCGCGATGCGTCGTGATCTCGTTTGCGCCGAGGACGCGGATGAACCAGAGTGCTCGATCGATGGGGATCGGGTCCGACGGAGGTTTCGGTCCCTGCGCCGCAGCGCCGGGCGTTGGCCGGACCGTCGGCTGCGGAGGGCAAAACATCGTCTCGAGCAGATCGACTCCTTTGAACCCGTGCGGAACGGGGGTGCGCATCAGTCGCGTCAGGGGGATGGCGGGGTTCGCTAACTCTGCAAGAAACTGGAGTCTCTTCGCGTCATTGTAGGTTACTCGCACCGGGATGCGGAATACTCGTTCTCTGCCAATGTCAGCTATTCCTCCAAGAGATGAGTAGCTGTTCCTCACGAGAAAGTAGGCATAGAGGCATTGCGCTGCTCGATGATCTGCTGGCCGAGCTCCATGAGCTTCTCGAGTCCTCCAGACTGGAGCTGCTGGAACACGGGGCCATGCATCGAGAAACTCTCGGCCTGCGGGGGTGTCAGCGCCATGAATGCCGATCGGCCGTGGAGTACGGCCGGTTCCGCCTGTCACGTACCGTCACATTGACGGCGGCCTTGGAGGAGAAGCCGCTCTTGACGAACGACTCTGGCAGCTCATCTTCTGGCTGCCCGTATCCGGGTCTGGATGGGTAGAAGTCGGGGTAACCTGTTGGAAGGCGGTTAGTGTCTGACGCTCGGTGGGTGGCTCGGGTAGCCGAGAAGAGGGGGGGCGAGGTCGTTTGGGAGGTGGTCCTGAGCTTACCAAGGTCTGCGCGCGAGTTCAGAACTGTCCGCCATGCCGGTGGGGGGAACTCTTCGATGGGGACGGGGTCAGCGAGGGGTCCAGGATCGGTGGTGTGGGCGCCGTTCGAGCGGCGCCTGGTGGTGGTCTTGGACGAGTGGGTGGGATGACTGGTGCGGACACCATGGCTGAGGTATTGTCGTGGGGGCATCCTCGAGTTGGGGGCAGTGACTAGAAGAAGGGGCACATGGATGGGGGTTGCACAGGGAAGGAAGGATGAGTGAAGGGTTGGGGGGACGAGAAGCTGCGACGATATCGAGTGTGTGTTCGGCGTCGTCGCGGCGGGGACGTTTGCGAGGGTGGACCTAAGAGTGCTGCTTGAATCCAGGCACGAGACCGGGACCCTGGGTGTCATCTGGCTCCCTGCCAATGTATCTGGCTCCGTCACCCGCCGCCTGCCGCGTACAGTGCTACGGTGACGCTCATCTCGGCCAGTCCAACCCCTATCCGCGGACGCGGGCCCTCCAACCGATCTCCCGAGTGACAGACATCCTCCATCTCATTCCTCCACAACCAACCCCCCAATCATCCCTCTCTCCTATCGCTTCCGCTGCGACTCGCGCACATAGCCGACCACAGCCTTCCCGCCATGCCTATCGAGTGGCCCTCCGCGAGCCCCCCCAGCGTAGACGGCAGCGACGACGACTCGCTCTCCTACCCCTCGAGCGAGGCCTCCTTCGACTCTGACGATCAGCACGCCCTCATCCAGGAGGAGTGGGAGGAGAGCATGCGCCAGCTCGAGATGGTGTTCAGCGTCATCCTCCTCCCCTTCCTCGGCAAGTGGTGGGGACGCAAGTTTGCCTTCTGGGGTGAGTCTGCTTTCCGTCGCCGCCGCCATCATCTTCCGTCAAGCTTCAGCCGAAGTGATGGGATGGCTAGCCGAAAACACCCCGGCCCGCGGGACGCTTCAGAGTTGCGACCGGTGGCGTGCTGTCTTCTCTTTGCTGTTTCATGCTGACACTTGCCCAGCCTTCGACCGGTACAAGACGCTCGGCTGGACGCGACAGTTCTTCGGCCTCGCCGCCAGCACATATTAGACGACATCGACAGCCGCAGCTGCAGTAAGCGCAGCGACGCCATCGATCAATACATTTAGGAGCCTCCACCTCACTCAGCGACCCCGGACACAGACCAGCAGCAGATTGTATCAAAGCATATATGCATAGATTGATTGGATATGATGTTTGTGCAATGCCGGTGCGAGTTGGGAATGATGTCTGTCTAGATGTCTAGTCTACGGTGTGCCTTGCTCGGCGCTTGATGGCGCGAGCCTGCCTGACGAGCTGCTGCAGCGCGCGCTTGTTCGTCTTGAACCCCCGCGAGTCCATGTCCTGGAGGATCTCGAGAGCCTCGGCATCTCGGCGGGTGCGGAGGAAGCCGCCGAGGACGATCGCGTACGTGTCGGCGTTGGGCACGATACCCTCGCTGAGCATCTGGCGGAACAGCTTGAGGGCAAGGGGGACCTGGGCGTTCTCGAGGTCCTGTGAAGTCGAGCGGCGGTAGTCATTGCGAGCACTGCGCTCGCCGTCCGAGACGACGCGCAGCAGTGCGTTGTACCCGATGATGTTGAAGCGGATGCCCTGCTTATTCATGCGCTCCATCGCGCTGAAGCCGTCGAGGACCCAGTTGCCTCGGAAGTAACCCGTAATGAGCGCCGTCCAGATGAACACCGTCATCTTGACACCTCGTCGGCGCATGTCCCGCAGCGTGTCCTCGGCAGCGCGCAATCCGTCACGCGTTCCGTCCGCCGCGAGGTCGGAGATCAGAGTCGCAGCCATGCGCTCGTTCGGCTCAATGCCGCTTGCCTTCATCGCGTCCAGCGTCTTGGACGCAAGGTCGTGCTCATTCGCCCGCAGAAGACCCTGCACAAGCGTTGTGTAGGTGACGATGTCCGGCTTGAGACCCAGCTTGCCGGCCGAAGCGATTACGGCGTTCATCTTCTGCACGTCCGCGACGTGAGCAGCGAAACGAAGCGCCGTGTTGATCGTGATGATGTCGGGTTTGGTGGTGAGATTGCCCTCTACAGCGGCCTCAAACAAGGCATCAGCTCGCGCTGTGGCGTCGCCTCCGATCATATAAGCGGCCGACAGGACCTGGTTCAGCGCGGCAACAGGCGGCCATGACTCTGGTGGTCAGCTCATGAGTACCGCCACGTTAGCAGCCACCCACCGGTGTCGACAGCCTTCCCCGGCTTGTTCCCTTCAGCGAGCTCCTTCTCGTGCAGCTTCTTGCAGCGCTCGTCGGCCACAAGCTCCTCCCACGTCTTGAACAGCGGCACGTCCGCGTGGTACTTGCCAAGCATGCCCAGGTACGTCATGTAGGTCTTGAGGTCAATCGGGACCTTCTCTGTCTTCGCTTCTCGCCAGGTCTTCATGGCTGCGGGCAAGACATTGCGCTTGTCCTTCGGCCGGTCATGTTCGTAGTCACCTGCGGTGCTGAGCAGAACTTGTAGCACAGGGAGTGGGGTTGGAGTGGGCACCCGAGCCATGATCTCCTTGCCCAGCTGCTTGAGAATCTCGCGGTCTTCCGGGGAGGTGACGGCCGTTGGTCGCCATCGAACAGCATGGAGGAACTTCGCGAGGACCTCCCCTCGAGAAAGGTCCTTTGGTGGGTTGTCACACCACATCTTCCACATGTCCGCGATCGATTGAATCTTATCGCGCTCCCTGAAGCCGAGAAGAACCGTCTGCAGGGTGTCGACCGAAGAAGGGAGGGTCGTCAAGGAGTTCAGCTCTGGGAACATCTGCATGACCATAGCCTCATTCTCCTCGGTCAGGACCTCCTTCTTCGAGAGGTAGCCCTTCACAGTGGACGAGTGCGGAGCCTGGACCGAAAGGGTCGGCTCGCCCGCCCTGCCCGCCGCAGAGCGCAGGGCTGCCCACGCCGCCGCAAGAGGGACAGTAAGCCGAGGAACCTCCAGAAGGGTGACTTGTGACTCGAAGCTGTCTAGAACAGCATTGATCCGCTCGACGTCTCCGCTACGGCTCTCGAAAAGAAGCCAGTCGGTGTATCGCTCGTTGATAGTGGCGACCTTGTCATTCGAGATCCCGCGCTGCTTGCTGATACCGTGAGGAGACAAACAGCATGCAGCTAGTGCAGCAGACAGGTTTGGAATCTCCTCCAGAGGTATCGGCGTCATCTTGTAGTGTTGCGACAGCTCTACAGCGATCAGGCGCAGGTACGGGTCGAGCACATTGCGTTTTGAGGGGTCGAGGAGAGGAACAGCAGCGGCAAGGACTTCACTGGCCTCAGGTCGTCGGTCGTGAGTACTCGTGCTGGGAGGATTGAGAGCCGCTACAAGACGTGCTTTCAGAAACGACAGGGAAGGCTCGTTCGGAAACGCCTCGGCCTGAAGGTCAGTTGAGAGTAAGCTCAGATTAACTCACGCCGAGCCGCCTGGTCTTCGCGACAGTATCCCGTGCCACCGAGTAGGAGCGAACGCGTATCGGTCGTCGTCCTGCCGCGACAGCGGTATGGACCGAGCTGCTAAGTCGTCGCAGCATCGGTCTCGGAAGAGTCTTGGTAGAGTGGTGACAATCGAAAACACGGTCTAGGTAGGTCATTTCCGTCTTTGATCTCGCCAGGAACGGGCCGAGCGGCATCTAAATTTCAGAACCAGGTGCAGCCTTCCACTGACGTCGAGGGAAGATTTGTTTTCGATAACCACTTCATCAACGTTGAGCATCAAGCATGCCCGGAAATCGCAAGATCACGCTCAAGAACATCAAGGGACGAGACGGTGTCCACCCCGGATCCAGAAAAGGTGGGTTGCAGCAGCTCGCGAAAGTGGAGCTTTAGCTAATGAGCAGCTGGCCAGATCACACGCGCTCATTTGCGAGCAGCCAAGCTGCAGAAGCAGGCGAAGACTCGCAAGGATCTCAAGATTGCCAAGCGTGAGTATGGAGACTAACAGTTTCGAGATATGCAGTCAGTAGCTCACAGCAGTCTTCCGTCCTACATTCTTCCACCATGCTCTGTCCGGCCCGCAGCCGCTGAGCCTGCCTTCCCTTCGCGCTCTTGTTTCAGACGTCTACCTCACGCGCAACGACAAGCGTATCGAGGAGCTCGAGGCTGAGCGCCGCCCTGGACGGCCGAAGACTAAGGAGCACATGGAGCTCGAGGAGAACCGAAGAATTGAGCACGCAGAGTGGGAGACTGGTTTCGGTAAGCTGATCGATTAATGGGTCGAGCTAACGGATGCAGAGGTCATCAACCTGACGGATGCGCCGACGACGCGACTGATGTGGTCGTGGCTGGAGAACGGAACCGACATGCAGCACTCCCATGTTGACCTCCTGCCTTTCATCCGCATTGCCAAGGACACGCCGGATGTCGTTGTTGTCTCGAAGCCAGGCAAGGTTGGAAACATGGGTCTCGGCAACGGAGTCGAGGGAGAGGGAGAGGACTGGACGTCGATCTCGAAGGAGGATCAGGAGGACGAGAAGATGGTGGCCTAGATTCCTGTTGTACTACTATCCTGACACTTATGCATACCTTCCTTGAGAAGCCAGGCTTCACTATCTACGCCATGCCATCCTTTCCCTTCTCTACGGCCGGCACTGGCGCTGCATGCATATCCTACGCCTTACAGACCGGTAACCAGTTCGGGTGGAGACATGACGATCGCCACCGATAATTTGCTTCCGCTGGCGCGTGATCCAGTGGCAACAAAGTCAATCATGGCCTCTCGTTTCCGCCCTCCACCGTTCAACCGCTCAGCAATCCACCATGGCGCCAGCTCCTGTGCGACGGGGACCCGCCCCCCAGCAGAAGCTGCCAAAGCAGCGATACTTCAAGGGCAAGCCTGGTGCGGAGGTCCGTTCGGACTCAGACGATGATGAGGAGGAGGACGTGATCCTGCCGACGCGGTCCACAGCGCCGAAGCTCGACCCCAACTTCGTCGCTGGTGGTGCAGGCAAGATCATGAAGATGGAGAGCTCGATCAAGATGGACCTCAGCAAAGCCAAGATTGGCGACGGCGGCGTCAAGCACGGTGAGTCAGGCCATCTGTTGCCATAACTGACTTTAGCGATCGGCGAGGAGAGCGAGGATGAGAGCGAGGAAGAGGAGGAGGTCAAGCCCTCTTTCGTCCCGAAGCCGCCAGACGACTCGAGCGAGTACGAGACGGATTCAGAGGAAGAGAGTGAGGAGGAGGAGCCGCCGAAGCCTGCTTTCCGGCCGATGTTTGTGAACAAGTGAGCTGATAAGATCCGATCGTGACTGACTTCAGAAATGCTCGCAAGACCGTGACGGCAGATCAAGCCGCCCAGGAAGCCGAGGAGGCAGCAAAACGCGCCGAAGAGGAGCGCGAGCAGCGCAAGCTGGACTCAAAGGAGCTTGCTGGCGAAACGATCAAGCGCGAGCTTGCGGAAAAGGAGGTGTCGAATGACCTGATCCCCGACGTGGACGACACAGACGGTCTCGACCCGGAGGGCGAGTTCGATGCGTGGCGTGCGCGTGAGCTGAAGCGTCTTCTCCGTGACAAGGAGAAGCAAGCGGAGCTCGACCGCGAGCGTGAAGAGATCGAGCGTCGCCGTGCGATGCCCGAGGACCAGCGTTTGGCGGAGGACATGGCGTTCGCGGAAGAGACACGCGCGAGGGAGAAGGGCGAGATGGGCTTCCTGCAGAAGTACTACCACAAGGGAGCCTTCCACCAGGACGGCGACGACGAGCTCTTCAACCGAGACTACACCGCCGCGACCGAGAAGGATGTCGACATGGCCGCGCTGCCGAAGGTTCTCCAGGTCCGCGACTTCGGCAAGGCGTCTCGTACCAAGTACACGCATCTCACGGACCAGGACACGAGCCAGGGCGGATGGGGAACGGCACACCAGCGCTTCGGTCTGCCCTCAGACTACCAGCAGCAACAGCAGGGATGCTGGAACTGCGGTGGTAACCACAACCGCGCAGACTGCCCCATGAACAGCGTTGAGGAGGGCGCACCGAATCTCGTGGCTGGCTTTGACATGAACCAGCTCGACCCTAAGAATCGTAACAAGGGCAAGTCCTTTGGCCGCGATCGGCCAGGCGGCAGCGGCAGTGGCAGATCGTTCGGTACGTCTGCGAACAGCAGCGCACTGGGTGGATCTTCGCGCTGGGGAGGCGGCGGTGACCGCGACCGTGAGCGCGACCGTGACGATCGGGGTCGTGGTGACCGCGACCGGGACGACGAGAGGCGGCGGAGAGACGACGACTACAGGCGGAGCAGCAGGTACGACGATGAGCGCGAGTCCAAGCGTTCGCGCTACGACGATCGTGACCGTGACCGTGACTCGGACAGGAGACGACGACACAGCCGCAGTCCTCGCGGCGACCGGAGAGACCGGGATCGTGACTATGACCGAGACAGGAGGAGGGATCGCAGCCGCAGCCGTGAGCGCAGACGATGAGCACCCCTTGATGCATACAGGAGTAGTAGACCGAGCAGCAGACATATGCATATCCATATTGTGCCATGTACCGAAGAACACCGATTCACGATGCACGACTCATCTTCGACTCTGTCCTTCGGCGTGTCGGCCGTGCAATTCCCATCCTCCAGAGAGACCTCCACCCTCGGTACAGCTCGGCGATTCGCGGCCCGCTCGTCCGGCCCCATGTCCCCACTCGCACCCCGCACGTCACCTCCACCTCGTGTGCTGCATATAACCTCTTTCCAATCACAACATCGGCAAACCCCACAGCCAAGCAACATGTCGAACTTTCTGAGGAACGGACGCAAGATCGTCGCCATCGGACGTAACTACGTCGACCACGCCAAGGAGCTCGGCAACGCCGTGCCGAAGGGTGAGTCCGAGCTCATGTTGCCTGAGCGGAAGTGGGCAAGACAGCCTTGCAGCCAGTCCTTCCTTCAGCTATTTGATGCAGACCATCCAAGCTAACCTACAGAGCCCTTCTTCTTCCTGAAGCCGACCTCTTCCTACCTTTCCCCCGGAGGAAACATTGAGATCCCCAAGGGTGTTGTGGCCCACCACGAGGTTGAGCTTGGTGTTGTCATCGGCAAGGATGGCCGGGACATCCCTGCCTCTAAGGCTTCGGAGTACATCGCTGGCTACACCCTCGCCATCGACATGACGGGACGCAACATGCAGGACGCGGCGAAGAAGAAGGGACTGCCCTGGGCCGCTGCCAAGGGACTGGACACCTTCTGCCCCGTTGGGTGAGTGTAAAGAGATTTCCCTTCCTTGGAGATCCAACTTCTCCTGCATGCAGCAAACTGACAGCGCAGCAAGTTCGTCCCTGCCTCTGAGATCCCCGACAACTCGAACGTCGGTCTCCAGCTCACGATCAACGGTCAGGTGAAGCAGAAGGGCACGACGAAGGACATGATCTTCGACGTCTCGCACCTTGTCGAGTTCGTCTCTGGTATCATGGCCCTGCAGGAGGGTGACGTGCTGCTCACCGGTACCCCTGCTGGTGTCGGTCCTGTCAATGCCGGCGACAAGGTTGAGGTCAAAATGACCTACCCGGGACTGGACGGCAAGGTGCTCGACGAGTTCAGCGTTGGCGCTGTTGACCGCAAGGGCAACTACGAGTTCAAGGCTGCCCTCTAAGATAGAAGATGTATCAGTGAGAAGTCTAAGAGCGTCGCCGCTGCCACCGCCATCAGAGCACATCACCAGCACTATGCATTCCAGCTGGAGCCCCATCATCAATCTGCGCTGGGTTAGGCTGGTCTTGACGACGATCTCTGGATGGAATTAAGTGGGGGTATCATTTATATTGCCACTAGGTTGAATCAATCAATCAGGCTCCCGCTTCAACGTGTGTCCGGGTTTCTCTGTTCGACCATTCGTCTTCCTCCTCCGCAGCGGTCATCAGCATCAGCAAGCACCCGTACTGCAACTTACTCACTACCAGAGGCATAGACAACGGCTGCCTGAGTTCGGCACATCCACTCGTTAGGGTGCCTACCGTTTTAGCGTTCCCTCGTCTTGCGTTTCATCGTCGTTCATTTTCAGCTTGAGCCCATTGAGTTATCGCCTGTGAGGTCAAGCATCGAGTTCTTAACGCGTCTTTAATCGTCAGGATGGGACGCAGCGGCCGTGGATACGGTCGAGGAGGAGGCCGCTCTCATGGTCAGTTTGAGGATCGCCATGGTGGCCACGGCGGTCACGGCGGTCATGGTCACGGTCACGGACATGGCCACGGTGGTCGAGGTGGGCACCATCACGGACGTCACGGCCATGGAGGTCCGCCCCACCGGGAATCCGACCATGGATGGGATAACTTTGAGAGGGGTCGTGGTGGACGACAGGGGCGAGGTGGCGGTGGATTCCGTGGAGGAAGGGACCGCGATGACTATGACAACAATGGTAAGCACAAATCGCGGCATGTGGCGGAAGGCATGTTGCGGAAGCGAGCGAAGGGAGCAGTGAGACCTGCCATGAGTTCGAGAAGGAACGCATTGTCTTGACTCCTGGCATTGAGCCACATCTGAGCTACACTTGAGTCATCGTCTGCTTCTTGAGATTCTCGTGCAGGCTCGTCGCCTATGTGCACTCTTGTCTTTCTGCACCGACACCTTGAGCTGGCGTTCTCTTACACCCAGGGCCCGGCCCCCACCGCCGTAACTTTAGACTGCCGCCCCAGCAGAGAGAAGCGCCGTCTGAGCAGGTCCGTCTCGAACGCCTTGCACGAGAGCGTGTCTCCCGAACTCTGTTCATTCGAAATGTTGCAGTGAGTTGCGGTTTGATCTTCCCATGGCCTCCGGGCTAGGCGTGCAACCAGCTGCAAGAGCTATCATTAACTGTCAGTACGAGACCAACTCTGACGACTTCCGGAAACAATTCGAGCAGTACGGCGAGGTGAAGGAATGGTTCGACGCTATACCTCGTCGAGGCATGGTGTTTGTTACCTTCGTAAGTCTCCTGCCGTCGACTTCCACTTGTCTGTTCAACTGACCACCAGTTTGATGTTCGTGCCGCCGAGGCTGCGCGACAGGGTGTAATGGGCACGAAGCTGTTCGGTCGCCCCATTGACGTGCACTTCTCGCTGCCGAAAGACCATGACCAAGACGGCCCCTGTGACGAGTCTAAGAACAACGGGTCCTTGCTAGTGACTTTGACCCCACCCCGTCCCATCGATGAGCGCGAGCTAGGCATGGCCGCCGAGCGCTACGGGGCGATTAAGGCCATCAAGCCGCGGGGTTACCCAGAGCAGCGCGTCGTTGAGTACTACGACTCGCGCGCTGCGCGTGACTTCCATGATCAGATGAGCGGGCAGCCGTTCCAGGGCGGCACGCTGCGTGCCGAGTACGTTTGGGATGAGGGCGAGGTCGTGAACCCCGATCCCGTTACTGCAGATGTCGAGGCGCAGCGCTTCCGTGGCCGTGACGCCCGTCCGGCGCCCCACGAGCGTGGCCGGTACGCTCACGGCGCGAAGCCGTATGATCGTCCAGAGCGCATGGGTGGTGGCAACCGTCTCGAGGAGGCGCGCAAGGTGCAGGACCTGCTGACGAGTCTCGGCGGAGCGCCCGGTATCTCAAACGCTCCCGGTACTTCGAACACTCCTCCGTCAGCACCTCCCGGCCCGCCGCCGCCATCGGATTACTGGGGACGCAAGCCTGAGGGCGACTACGGTCCTCCGCCAGGCTACGGCGGCTACCCTCCTGGTCCGCCACCTCCCGGTCCCATTCCTCCCCCTCCCCCTGCCCACGGTCCGCCACCTCCTCATCATGGTCCTCCTCCGCCGCCTCCGCCGCACGCGCGTCCCCCTGGCTACCACGGCTGGCCGCCCGGCCCTCCTGGGCAACGTCCGCCGATGCCGGCCGGCTATCCTCCGCCCAGTCAGTCATACTCTTCCTCGAGCTACCCGCCCCCGAGTCCGGGCAAGCCCGCACTTCCAGCGCAAGTGCTTGAGATGCTGCAAGGTGGCGCGCCCAGCTCGAGCTACACCCCGCCCAGCGGCTATCCGTCATATGACCCGCCGCCGTCGTATCAGCCGCCTGCTCCGCCTGCACCTGCGCCGCCACGTCCGCCGCAGCAGCACTATGACCCCAAGACGGGCGACGTGGGCAGTTTGCTTGCGATGCTGAATCGGGGCTAGTCCGATTGCCCCGTACGTGGGGCCGTGTGGCCCCGTATGGCGCGCCGATCGTGCGAGATGAAGACGAGATCGAGATCGATGTCGCGTGTTTCAATCGCTCTGAGCGTGGGGCTGATCGGTACGCATGCCGCGCAGGAATGTCGTCAGTAGTAGCGTGATACACACATGACACAATACAGTGATGCAATGACACTCTTATCCGCCCTCCGAGTCCGCTTAGCTCGCTAACAGACATCATAATGCGTCCAGGGTGTGCTGGGACGGATACAATGCGTGTGCTGCGCATGAGCGGATTGCGGGAACTCGTAGGGCCGCAAGGGCTACCCAAGACTTCTGACTTGATGGCGAACTGGAAGGACACCTGGGGGCAGATGGGAACAGGTCCTGGGCCGCCTTACGAGAGACTTACGGCGTGGCGCCCTCTGTTCATTTTACACATGGAGCTTGCCCTGGTTCTTGTTTCGAGTTCGAGCGAGGGCCCCTTTCTTGGAGCGGCATGCTGGCTGTCACCACCCAAGTCCTGCAAGTCCTGCAGGTTCTGTCGGTCGGTGTCTGATGCGGGCCAGCGGATGTCGGGCAGTGCACCGCTTTGTCTCTCCCTCCTCTCGGGCAAGCAGCACAGAGGCGAGGAGAGCGAGCGGCAACTGCTCCGCGCCCGCTGTGTCCTCGCCTGTCCTCGGCCCCCGTCGGTTGTCCGAGCGAGCGCAATCCATAATCGGTGATGCAAGGCGTGAGACGGTTCACATCGCTCGAAAAGCGTCTACGGGTTCTATGAAACAACAGGAAACGGATCCAGCTATGATACAGATTTACTTGTGCTTGTGCTTTGGTGCTTGCAGATGGCGCACATTATGCAGTCCAGCCCATACTGACGAGGATCTCGTGCAGCTTGCCGCTCTTGCGGAGCTCGTCCATACGCTCTGGCGAGGCGTCGAACACCTCCCCTCCGACGACGAGGATGGGGTTGCGGCTGAGGTCGTGTCCGAGACGCTTCAAAACGGCGTTGACCGTGTCGCCGTCGCGGCGCTGGCGCGTGTTGATCATGGACGCGCGGCGGCCTTGTCCGTGACGCGCCGTGACGCCCTCGAGAGCGTAGTGCGGCGGGCGCTCAGCGTTGTACCACAGCACGACCTTTGCGCTATTCTCATCCGAAAGCGACTGCAGCCACGCACGCTCCTGCGCACTGTCCGTGCCACCTAAACGGCGCGCACCAGGGGAGCCGAGGAGCATGACAGCGTCCAGAGGCTTAGATCCATCGACAGCAGGAGCGAGAGTGGCATGCGACGACTCGAGGATGAACGACTGAAGCGCAAGCAACTCGTGAGACGGAGGGAGAGGGTGCGGGTCGGGCCTGTTCGCGCGGGGGTGGGCTGTGATGTCAGCGAAAGTTCACGGTTCAGCGAAACAAGCATGAAGTCTGTCGGCAGCAAAGCCCGCGAGTCCCTCGACTCCCTCGACACCCTCGGCATGGCCTCGGCACAACCTCGGCGTCCTGCCAGCATTCTGTCGTGATCCTGACAGAAGTCCTGGCAGCTCCTGCCAGCGGTGGGATCGAAAATATCCGGAAACGGCCAAAAGAACCACATCCCCCGTTCCCAAAACCCAGGCGATTGCGGCAGCACTCAGGCCCCGGGCTGCACGGAAAGTAATGACCAATTCAATCAGAAACCCGGATCCTTGGTCTCCTGTTCATTCCTTCCGAGGCCCGCGTGGTTTCGCGTGGTCCCAGCACATGTTTTGCTTTGTGGTGCAAGCATCTGTGATACCCGCTTGCTGCGCAGAACACGATGGGGCTTGCATCATTGTGAAAGTGAAAGAAGCAATGACTCACCAGGAGCGCGCACGGCCTGCGGAGGCACGGAGTTCCTCTCGGCAGCGCGGTGGGCAGAGGCAGCAGCGAGCGACGTCGTGTACTTGCTGACGGTGGCGAAGAAGAGGAACGCGGCCAGCACAGCGAGCAAGCGCTGTACGGGTCGGGGGACGTAGTGAGCAACCTTGGCCTTGAGCATGGGCGAGAACAGCGGAGACAGCATGACTGGCGAACGCTTCTCGGGGTACTCGCCCGAGGCATTCGCGGCCTCGATGTCGATCGGCTTCATGCCGGCGAGCACGGAGTGGCCGCGTCCGGTCATGCGTGCGTTATTGCGGGAGCGCTGGGACTCGACGTTGACGAGGGACGAGGAGAAGACGGACGAGGCGTCAAGCGGCTTGACGTGTGATGGGAGAGAGTAATCGGCAGGCGACAGCGGTGGAGAGAAGAGCCATTTGTGGAGGGGGGACGCCATGTTATCTATTCGGCTGGGCCGTGGTTTGCGTTCGGGTGGTCGGGCACGTCGGGGCCAAAGGAGCGGATCAGCTGGCGGAATGAAGCGCAGGAGATGAGTGACTATCGACTGCGGCGATCGTGCGGATCGTGGGTAGGGCAGAAGGGGCTAAACAGGACTGGGCGATGATGTTGTTCGCTCGAAAGCTGGCTAATGGCTAGAGCTGGCGCAAATCCCTAGGCGGCGTCAGCTGTGTAAGGCGATGGCGCTTTTTGGCGTTCCAGCGGCGTATCGGGTACGCCTGGCGTGTTGAACAGGCGGTGCGGGGGCTCGAAAGCAGTCACAGAAGGGCGTGGACGTGCGATGGACGTGCCGCGATGTGATCTGTGTGGGCGAAGGGCGTGCGTTTGCCGGACGTGCGATGGGATGAGATCGATTGATGTGCTGGTGCGGCTGCGGCTGTCAGGTGGGGATGCATGTGCCCTCATGCTGTTCTCTTATACAAGGGCACTCTGTTGTCGACACAAACCCACGGACAAGAGGGTCCGCAGGATCTTTTGGGACGCTAGCGCTATGATATCCGCGCGATGTTCGGTCATCTTGTGCTGCGCCTGCAAGCGACCGCTGGCGTCTGGCGTGCTGGGCGCTGCATGCGGTCTGCGTTGGGGTCGGGCTGTCATGAAATTACTCGATATGCTCCAGAGGGTTTTCGAGGGCCAGCAACTCAGGAGCCGCGTTCCTGGCCTTATGCGTACTGGCCGTACCCTGAATCGAACCTAGCGTGCGGACAGAACGAAGAACTTGATGCGCACCGGTGGTGTGGGTTCCTGTGAACGATTCATTGTCGTCTGTTCCAGAATGAGGGGCAACAAGAGGTACAGCGGCCGTGGGCAGGGGCCGGCGAGTGAGGACGGTCCCTATGAATACGGCCTCGTCGCCGCCGCCTCGGCGTAACCCCCGACTGCCACCCTCACCAATTGGCAGAAGCCAGGCTGCCTCATTCACCACGTTTGCTGCCCCCTGACCCGGCTGCCCTCGAAGACATGAATGGGGGTGAATGCCTGCCGTCAAACGTTTTCAGGAACCCAAGCCAACTCGCTCCAAACGCTCCAATCATCCTCCCATGCGTGTTTTCGGCCTTGACAGTGTGCTTGCTCGCTGAACGCTTGGCTTAATCAATTGCCCCCAACCCAGACCTGAGCCGGAGACGACAATGCGATGGAGCGCACTCCAGTACTTCCGCCCATAAATCGCCGCGCTACTCGATTAAGCTTCACCAAGGAATTTTCCGGCCTATTTGATCGCAGGTAACGCGCCGCCATGGAGCCGGCCTGCAGGGGCTCGAGTGAGGCTAGTGTGATCTCCTTTTGCCTCTGAGTGGTGCGAGGCATGTTTGCGTAGTCGAGGCCTCGAGCTCCCCATTCATCGAACGTTTCTTCGCCGTGAAGAGGCTGCAGAGGCTTCAGTAAACTCTGAAGACACCGCAAAGGGGCGCTCGGCGTAGTCGGCGCGCGGTGAGACTGACTATCCGCGGAGAGGGCCAGCTAGCTGGAGGATCTGGCCGGCTGTACGACCATCGATAAGGGAAACGCCATCGTGCCTCGGCACAGTCAGCAGTTTCAGTGCGAGCAACAGCGGCACTGAATACAACAAGCGAAAGAAGGGCAGCCGCGAGCAAGCACGGCTGTGCGGCAGAATGGTAGGCGCTTGGCCCGAAGAGGCGGCCGACAACAACTCCGTCACAGCCGTTTGAGGTGGAGGGATCTGGTCGGAGTGCGACTACGCCGTCATGATGCCCCCCTCATCATCAGTCTGCATTGCCGTCCTCGTGTCGTAACGATAGCGGGAAAGCAGTGCAGCCAAGGCAGAGCGGCCGGATGGAAGGTTTCGATAGCTCAGGTATGCTGTCTCTTCAGGGGTCAGATTCCAGGTCTCCCTAATCGATGACCATATTATCCTTGATAACCATTTTGCGGATGACAATCCAACGCGCAGATGCTGAACTTTGCTTGCCCTTGCCCTTGCAATGAATACACGGACTGCGCAGACATGTCGAGTGAACAAAGGATGTTGGAAGCGACCGGCCGCCAGTTCGACAGAGTCATGGGGGTCCGTCGGCTCTACGTGCCGAGCGACGAGCAAGGAGTGGCCTGAGTTCTTCATGCGTGCTTGCGATGGGGAGGAGAGCCCCCGATTCCGGTGCGGGCCGCACGGCTACTGACATGAAACGCAACCACAGTCTTCTCAGCTACCAGAGGCACCGAAGTTGTACAGTCGCACCAAAGGTGTACTACGGCACCCGTCTGCGCTCCGCTCCCTTCAGATAGGTTGTGCTCACTCCCGCTTCGCTCCTTCCCGCCAAACGAGACCAGCGGGAGAAAGGACGCCGTCGAGGGTGAAGTCGCTTGGCGTGACCGGAACGGGATCGCCCGTGATCTGCGGCTCGAGCGCAAGCGCGACTGCTGTCAGATATGGCCACACCTCTCCTAACGTACTCAGAAGCGGTCGAGTACGGTGCGTATACCTGGCGAGGAAGGTATCGTAAAACGCCTTCCCTCGTCCAAGCTGACGTCAGCTTGCACCGATTGACCAAAAGCTCACTCGGTTGCAATCCTTGTCGAAAGCAACGCCGGGAACCAGAATGACGTCCAGCGGAGCGGCATCGCTATCCATAACTGAGGTTAGCAACTAAGCACGCCAAGACGCGTGACTGGGGAGCGACTCACCGTCTTGCCTCTTCTCGCCTTCGTGACCGGGATCGCGCCGCGTCTCTCCCGGGTCGAGAATTCCCCACTTGTCCAGCGGGCATGCCTCCAGGTCAGCCGTGTTGTAAAGCCTCAACATGTGCATGACAGGTGATTCGTCTGTGCGAGGAGGAAGGTACGGGGTGTACAGCGCCCGTTCCTCTGCGGGCGTTAGCTCGCCGCTTCAAAGACAACACTTCCTGTTCGCCAAAAGATCAGCCACGATCTCGTTTGTCCTCAGCTCTCCCTTCGCCATGCTGAGATAGCAGCAGACGCTCTTGGCATTGTTGTAAAACGGCTGCTCGCGCAAGATCCGGGCAACGGCAGCGGCTGATTTGGTCAGCTAGGAATTCACGCAGGTCAGCTCACATTGGGATGCTAACTCAGTCTCCGAAATACCGCGGAGTGTCTTGAGCATGCTCTTGCGCAGAGCGCTCTTCTGGGCGAAGACGGCGGCCATGTCGTCGCCGCCGTTGCTCATCGGTGCGGATAAGAGTGAGGAGGGAAGACAAGTGGCCGACTTTGTTCCGGCCCGTATCGGAATGCGGGGTCCCCACTATGGCGTAACTCGACTGCGTTTCCGTTCGAACTTTTGGAGACCGGACTTATCGTCGGAGCGTCACTTACCCGGCTCCCTCACAATCTTCACTCGTCCTCTGCTGCTCCTTGAACTGGGGCTGAACAGAGGCAAACGCCAGTCACGATGGTGCCCCCGCTTCCGAGGACGGTCATCGTCGACTACTATGATTCTTGTGAGCTTCACACGTCGAGTGGTGCACATGATTAACAGCAGACACCAACAACCTCCTCATCCTCTTCACCCAGCTCTACTCTGACGCAGAGGTGCTCCGAAAGGTTGTTGTTATTAAGGCTGATAAATATGACTGGTAAGTTCCTTCACCTGTGGCCATAGCTGAGATCAGGGCGACTTTCCAGCGCGAGGTGATCCCCAACACCGACTGTGTCATCCTTTCTCCCGGCCCAGGACGGCCAGACCACCCAGCGGTAAGCTTGCTTGTGAATCCTGAGAACTGACGACAGGATATTGGGTTCGGACTGGAGCTGGTCAAGGCGCACCCCGTGCCCATCCTCGGCGTGTGTCTCGGCCACCAGGCTATCGGCGTTGCGTTCGGTGGCAAAGTGAGCTGAACTGCATGTGTGGAGCTGACGGGCAGATCATGAAGACGCCGAAGATCACGCATGGCCACGTCGTTCGCGTCGTGCCCGTCACCCCTCCTAAGGGGTTGTTCGCGTCGCCGGTCATGGGCTCCAAACCCTTCGAGGCTGTTGTGTACAACTCGCTGTGCATCGACCCGTCCACCGTTCCCGATGAGCTGGAGGTCACTGCGTGGTCTGACCCTCAGAACGGCAGCGAGCCGACAATCCAGGGGCTGATGCACAAGGAGCTTCCTATCTGGGGCGTCCAGTATCACCCAGAGGTGCGTAAGCTTAAAGTCCCCAACGACCCAGCTCACTCCAGTCTATCTCGTCGACCCACGGCACGGAGCTGCTGCACGCCTTCCTGGACAAGGTGCACGAGTACCATGGTCAGCCGCCCGTATTCCCCCGTCTTGAGCGTCAACTAGTGGCCGCGTGCACCTACCGTGTGGCTTCGAGTGCGGCGCCGACCCGCGCAGCCTCCCCGGCCCCCTCTCCTACCTCCCCTACGAAGGCTGAGGCGCCGCAGTACGCCCTCGAGGAAGAGAGCTTTGGATCTCTGGGTCAGGATAGGGATACGGCTGAGGTGTATGAGCGCATGGTACGGAGCGACAAGAACCGCATCGGCGAGATCTGGCTGGACGGCAAGAGTGTAAGCTGGCCAGTGGGTGATTGGAAGCTGACATCAGCCTTCGCGGCCGACGACGACATCACTCGCTGTGCCAAAGTTTGTGCTGACGTACTCGCTCGCTACCCGGACAGTGCGTGTGTACGGCTCTGTCGAGGGCGAGATGCGCATTCCGCCAGGCGAGACCTTCTTCTCTCTACTTGATGGAGCGCAGACTGCCCTGGCGCCTGTCTCTGGCGGAGCCGGCGGCTTCCGCGGCGGCTGGACCGGCTGGTTCACTTACGAGATGAAGGCGGAGAGTCTGGCTGGTTACAACCTCCCGATCGGAAAGCGAGGACCAGAGCGCCTCGACGCAGTATGGGCTTGGGTCGACCTGTTAACCGAGCGCGCAGAGGACGGGCAGTGGACGGCACGCGGTGTTGTCGCCGAGGGCGGACGTCCGAGCTCGCTCCTTCTCGACTGGCTGACGGGACTCGGTGTGACGTTCGGTGTGAAGCAAGCGGACTTTGACACCTACGCCGGTCAGCTGCGCGATGTACTCTCCTCCCCGCCGCGACCGACTTCTGAGCCGGCAGCAGGCTTCCCGCGCTTCAGGCCCCGCGTTAGTGGCGAGGAGCACATGACGCGGATCGACAAATGCCGTGATGCTATCTCGGAGGGTGAGAGCTATGAGCTCAACCAGACAACATCCTTCCTCGCATCGCTCAAGGATGACCCGTACCCGACATACTTGCGGTTGCGGACGTTCAACCCCGCGTACTACTCTGCGTTCATTCACTTCCCGACCCTGCCAACGCCGAAGGGCAAGGGCCTCGCTGTCATTTCATCCTCCCCCGAGCGCTTCCTTCAGATCACTGGCGGCGAGATCGAAATGCGGCCGATCAAGGGTACAGCGCCGCGTGTCCGACCGGGACAGTGTGTGTGCGCCGACGGACGGGGTTGCGACGGCAAGGAGCCGGGAAGTGCGGCGTGTACCACCGAAGGTCGGAGAGTGGACGAGCAGCGCGGAAAGGAGTTGTCTGAGGACCTGAAGGAACGCGCGGAGAACCTGATGGTGAGCTAAGAACTTCCGTACCAAGCTGACTTCAGATTGTGGACCTCATCCGCTCCGACCTGCTCTCATGCTGTGTCCCGTCGACCGTGACCGTGCCGCAGCTGATCGCGCTCGAGTCGTACGGCGTGCACAACCTCGTGACAACAGTACGCGGCCGCCTGGCGCCGCACATCGGCCCCGTCGAGGCGACGAAGCGCTGCTTCCCGCCCGGTTCGATGACGGGTGCGCCGAAGCTGCGCACCGTGCAGCTGCTCGACGGGTTTGAGGCCGGCTACCCGCGTGGCATCTACAGCGGCGCGCTGGGCTACTTCTCGCTCTGTGGTAGCAGCGACCTCAGCGTCGTTATCCGCACCATGGTGCTGGAGGGAGAGGGTGAGTGACAGCTGTTTTCAGGTACTTGAATGAGCTGACGAGAGCAGACCTCTCCATCGGTGCCGGTGGCGCGATCACCTGGCTCTCAGACCGAGCTGAGGAGTGGAAGGAGGTGCTCACAAAGGTGCAGTCGGTCGTCGGACCTCTGGACCTGTAGTTCTTTTGTCGGTAGATATCTAGGCTCCCATCTGGTTAATATGTTTGCATGTTCTTCTTGACGTTGCAGTGTCCGTCGGCGGTGCCCGCAATCTTATCAGCCCCACCAGTGTGTCCAAGACACCAGGCACCGCTCGCGCTGCCCAGCCCAATGTTGCAAGAAAACTGCATCGCATCCAGCGCGGCCATTCCTCCAATATCGAGGGTACATAACCAGATCTGTGCTTAGCAATACCTTCCAGATGCTTAACTAAGGCTTGCCCGCTGTCCGCAGGGCCGAGCGGTGTCTGCGTTCGAACACGTTCGAACATTCGGAAGACCCGTCGTTGCGGCGAATCGAGTGCGTAGCGGCCGGAGCCTTGGCTGGCGTGGCTAGAGTTCAGGGACGCACGGTGATTGCCGATCCGATGTGGCCTCAGCCAGTCGAGCCGGTGCGACGTCACCGACCACCGACCTCTGAGCTGGGCTGCCCGTGCTGGACTCTGGGACTCTCATAAATACCACGACCTTCTCTGCCTCGTTGTCGTCTTGCTACTACCTTGCTGTCAAGAACCGTCCACGGATACAGACGACAGAATGAGCGCCTCAGCACCCCCCGCCGCTCCTACTGATCCCAAGCGCTACATTGACGGGTGGGAGAAGAAGTGGGTCGACAACAACATCCACTGGGACCAGGGCAAGAGCCATGGTGCCCTGGTCAAGTTTCTGAACGACGACACCGAGACGGCCAAGGCGGGCATTCCGAAGGGCGGATGGGCGTTCGTGCCCGGATGTGGACAGGTGAGTCCTCTGCACTACAGCGCTTTGTCCTCCTCTTCTCCATGGAGCCGTTGGTGGGCACCGCGCTTCCTGCAGAGAAGAGAAAGGCTAGGCTGCGGGGTCCTCCGAGCACAGCTAACAACCAGGGCTACGACGTCGACCTCTTCGCGCGCCACGGGCTCGACACGATCGGTCTCGACGTCGCGCCCACCGGCGTCGTGGCCGCGAACAAGTGGCTCGAGTCGCAGCCGCCGCGCAACGCGCGCGCGCTCGTGCAGCAGGGCGATTTCTTTGCGTACAAGCCCGACGAGCTCTTCGACCTCATCTACGACTACACCTTCCTCTGCGCGCTGCCCCCCGCCATGCGCAAGGACTGGGCGCGCCGCATGGCCCAGCTGTCCAAGGACGCCCCCTCCACCCGCCTCGTCACCCTCATGTACCCGCTTAACGGCGACCCGAACATTGGCCCGCCCTTCCGCCTCACCGAGGAGGAGTACCATGAGCTCCTGGATGATGAGTGGGAGATTACGTGGGAGCGCGCGATTCCCGAGGACGAGAAGCGCAAGGGCCCGCCGGGCGATGAGAAGCTTGCCGTCTGGAAGCGGAAGTAAGGTCGCAGGAGAGTACAGATGCATGAAGTTCTAATCTAAGGCCGCGTCCATGGGGGAGCCGGCGTTCTCATCGTTGACAAGGGCTTCTGCCCTCACTGACGACAGCTCCGACCGCGTGGTGCTCAGCCGGTGCTCGAGGAAGGTGGTACCAGAGCCCATACCGATCTCAGCTTCCGCATCGGACTCGACGTCCAGCTCCATGTCGCCAAGCAGCTCCCGCAGGTCGGCCAGAACTCCGGTTCCGTCACTGGCGCCAAGGTCCCAGCGCAGAAAGCGCTTGGCGAGGTCCTCGGCGTCCTCGAGCTCTTGCAGGTCGCGCTCCGAAAGCCCGTCGTCAATGAGCTTCGTGATCTGAAACTTGGACAAGCATTCGCTGGTTGTCAGCTATGTCGTGAGGGGCGAAGAGCTTACCTGACTTGTCGAGCTCTGGCGACTACGTGCTCCGGCACGCCCTGTGCCAGCGCGCACTCGGCCGCGTTCGAAGTCAGGCAGCGACGCGGCCGCAGTCTGAAAGTTAGAAGCAGCGCGCTGAGAGCCAAGCTTACTTGTAGAGGTACGTCAGCTGCTTGGCGCCCTCAACCAGCACGCTCTTCATGTGGCAGTAGATGGTCGGAAGCGACTCGTCGAGAAACTGCTGCGTGAAGAGCTCGCTGGAGTCAGTTAGGGCCTACGCGCTAGGAAACTCACTGATAGTGAGTCAGGACGACTGTTCTTGGGCGAGTCTCCTTTAGCAGATGCGTCAGGACGCCAGCTAGCAGACCTGCGCCATCACTCGAGTTGGTGCCTGTCTTCAGCTACACATGCCTGTACCCGGAGCTTACCTTTCCCGAACTCGTCGAGTACGATGAGAGAACGGTTCGTGGCGCCACGCAGAGCTTGCGATACCTGGCTCAGGTCGATCATGAACGCCGAGGCAGCCTGTGGTCAGGTTGTACACAGATTACCACACCAACTTTGGACGCTGATTCTCTAGTCTGGACACGGGTGAAGACTGGTGTTAGCTTCACCGAGAACGTAGCAGCTTACTCTTGTCACACAAACCGATTTCAGCACTCTGAGCGGGGACGAAACACCCAATATGCGCCATGTACGTGATGAGAGCGACCTGCTTGCCGTATGCAGACTTGCCCGAGCCGTTCGCGCCCGTCACAATCATCTGTTGTCAGTTAGTCCCATGGAAGATCCATTAACCATGCTGCTGAGATCGCTGTCGGTACCGCCATGCAGCACCGTGTCGTTGTCGATGTACCCTGTGTGGCAGTTGACAGCGTAAAGTGGATGGATGCCCTTGCGGATCCTGAGGACTGGTTCTTCCCTCATGACAGGGCGGCAGAGGTCCAGTCGCTCAGAGGCATCTGCAAAGGCAAGCAAGCTGAGAGTTTCAGAGTGCGTAGCTGGCCTATCAACTCACCAGTCGAGCTCAGCTAGTGTATCCCCGATGCCGAGTATGTTCTCCTCGACCTGGTCGATGCGCTCGGCGAGTTTCTGCACCCATTCGATCTCTCGGTCTGGACTCAGATAAGGCACCTGGCGTCTTGTCATCTTACCAATGATGATGTTCTGGAGATCGCCGAAGTGCTCGTCGAGACGATGCATCTCCGGCGTCTTGTAATAGATGACCTCGTCGGTGCTGAACTGCTGTTCCCAGTCGGGAGACACAGCGTCGAGGTCCTTCACGTCGTGGGCAGTCACCATGCACCCCAGCTGGGGAAGGTAGATGACGTTGATCGTTGTGCAGAAGTCGGGCGAGACTCGTGGCACGAGTCCTGCAGACACACGGTTCTGGCATTAGCGACACCTCCTGAGGTTATCTCACAAGAAGCGGCTCGAGACCAGATTATCAGCTTCGCAGGTCATAAGACAGCTCACCGGCATAATCTTCGCGCCACTGGTCTAGCTCCTCATCGATCTGGCTGCGGATGCACACCCTTCCCTCGTCTCGCGAGGAGTCCCAGTCGATCTGTCATTAGCTCCAGACATCGTCGCCCCAGCTTACCAGTCGTACGGTATCGAGATGAAACAGCTTCACAGCCTCAGTGAGCCCACCAGCCAGCTGCTTGATGACGTTAAGATCCGTCTGCAGACCGACAACGACGAGTGCCTCGCTGATGGCCTCGGCGGCGTTCAGAGTCTGTGCAGTGTCAGCTTCGCTCTAGCCGTAGTTATAGCTCACATCCACGAGATCCTTCCAGTGGCGATAAGAGGCCCTGCCACTCTTGATCATGTGCAGGAACTTGACCGGATTCTTGACGCCCTTCAGCTCCTTCTTGACGAGTTTGCGGAGCTGGGCATGCTCTGTCGCGCTGAAGGCTTCGACGGCGTCGTGGCGCTCCTTTATTCGGGGGATGCTGATGAGCGGGCGCAGAAGCCAGGTGTGCAGCAGTTTGCGGCCCAGGGGTGTCACGGTCGTGTTCAGGAGGGCTGGAGTGAGCTTCAGCACGTGCAAAACCAGAGCTCACAGTACAGAGACAAGCCGGCCATGTGCTGCTTTGAGTGCATGTAGGCATGTGCTTCGATGTCAAAGATGGCGAGGGAGCTGGGCGTTAGAGTGTATTCGCAACCTAACGCACGTCAAAGCGTCCTCGTTGATGTACATGTACTGATCACTGAAGTGAGCTCAACTCCATCGCCATACAGCTTACATGTCCATGCTGACGACTGAGGTGAGGCTGAAAGCGAGCGCGTCTTCCCCAAGCTCGTCCGCCTCATTCGTGACGAGGTAGCTAAGCAGTGCGCCAGCGGCACACACCTGACGTCAGCTGACCCTGGCAACGAAGCCTACAGCAAACGGAGCATGGACATTGACTCTGCATCCCATCTTGAGCAGGCTGAGGCGCATCTTGCCCATGCCGTGGTCGAGTTCCTCGTGCGCAAAGTCCACACTCTCCTCGTCCAGGAGGGCCGGATCGCCCTGGCTGACGGACCAGTCGCTGACTGCGCGCTGTTCCCGCGGCAACCGGATGGCTGAGACGTAGTACAGTGCTGCGGCGTGTTGGAACTTCTTCGCGGGGAGGAGCACGAGCTTCGTGGCGGGGTAGGCTGTGCCTGCTGGTCAGCTGGACTCTGAAGAACTTTCAACTCACAGAACTCTTCAACAGCGTTGGTAAGCTTGTCGGGCGCACCGGTACTGAGCACGACTTCTTGCGGACGGAACTGCTCCAGGACTGTTTGTCAGTTACACTCCGTGCCCGCTGGGGAACTCACGGAGAACGGCAAGGTCCCAGGCCCAGGTATCCTTCGTGTCCTCAAGAACCTTCAGCGTGCGCGTCTCAGCTTCATAGAACGCAGCACCCAGGGAACCGTTGCCGGATCCGTGCAGCGAGAGAGCCTGAGGTAAGGTTAATATCCGCTGCCTAGCAACCTCACCGTGTACGAATCGTCGGCGGGGCGCTCGTCCTCGTCATCATCGGGTTGTTCGGGAACGGGCCGGAGGGGTTCGGTAGCGTCATCGCGTGAGGAACGAGTGGGAGGTTGTACTCGCTGGGAGCCCGTCGGGGAAGACGATTCGCGAAGTGCACCTTGGAAACGAGACGGACCAGCGACCATCGACTCGGGGGTGGCGGGAGGCTCGACTCGGCGGCGAGCGAGAGTCGATGGGCCTGGCGAGCCGACGCCGTCAAGCTCACGAGCAGGTCGCTTGCCTTTGCGGTCCATGCTGTATGAAGAAGTGTAGATCTGTAGAGAGTGCAAAACAAGTCGGAGGAAGACAGACGATGAGTGTTTGTGTAGAGTCCAGTCAGCTCGTGAGTGATCGGCGCTCTGGAACGGAGGAAGACCCATCTAACTGCTGCGGGTGGCGAGGAAGACACGAACACTCGTCGGATGTCATCAACTGCTAATGAAGGTACTAATGCATGAAGCGGCCCTGGGCCCTTGTGGAAACTACTGCTATACAGCGCTTTGCTCTTTGATATGTGCTTTTGTGGTTGTTGTTGGAGGTGTCTCTGCTTGTTGGGCGTCCCGAAATGTGCTGGGTCCAGTGTCTTGTCTTAGGCGCCGTTCAGGACGACCTTGCCGTCCGCGTTATGTGACGGGTCGCTTGCAACGCCGTTCGCTGCTGAGGCGTAAGCGGCCTTGGCCGCGTCGCTCGGCGCGGGCACGCCCTCGAGTCCCGGAGGAGGCTTGACGTCCGCCACGGCAGAAGCGTCGTTGGGTGCAGGGTCCGCGCCAGTCGCACTCGGCACCGGCACGGCGCCGTTCGGGTCGGGCTCGGCCTTGGACCGCTTGCTCGGGCCCTGCTCGTCGGTGATCTCGCCGGCGGATTCACCAGCCTGTTGTGAGCCTGTCTGTCCTCCCTCGGCCTCTGTGGCCAGAGCGGCGTCACCCACCTTCTCCTGCTGTGCTCGCTTGCCCTTCTTCTTCTTCGGGGGCTGCCCGTCGGGAAAACAGAAAGCGGGCAGCTCAGACCTGCACATTAGCTTTTGTGATGACAGCGCCTCAGCTCACCTCTTGCAGGGACGCAGGATTACGCTCATGTCCTGTTCGTTGTACTTGTCCCACGACTGGCACGCAAAGCAGAAGCGCTTGCTAGCATAGTACAGGTTCAGTTGCCGGGGCTGCTGGCCATCCTCTGTCACTGTCAGTTAAGCCAACCATCTGAAAACTCACTCGGCTTCTTCTCAATGTCGAGGCCGATAAAGAAGTTCTTCGTGTACACCTTGGTGTGCTCCTTGTCGGCATAGTCCTCCTCCTTCCGCATCATAGCCTCCGGCGGCAGCTCGCCCTGCGACGCCTGCGCCTGCTCCTCCTCGGTCAGACAGATGTACGTCTTCGAAATGCCGTTGACCTGGGGATGGGCGAGAAGCACGTTGTCGGTCATCTCCAGATCCTGGACGAGCGTCCTCAACCTAGACTCAACGGTGCCGCTCCTGACTAGTCAGCTTCCTCTTCACGCGACCAGCAGCTCACCAGTCCTTCAGGTCCTGCGCACTAGAGGCAGAGGCAACGACCTGCACGTAGGTCCGGTAAAGCGAGAAGAAGTCCACTGGCGTGAAGAGCTCAACCCACGACGAGCCCGGGTTGTTCACGATCTTGTCTGTAATCTGCATCGCTGATGGTCAGTTCTATGGACGGAATGCAGCAACTCACCCCGCAGCATCTCATTCTTGATGATGGTCATCGTTGACTGAGTGATGTTGTGCGTCGAGCACATGGACGGGTACGCCGGCGTGATGACTGGCATCCTGTGGCCCATATCATGTCGGTTTGTCTGAAGTTAGCAATGTCGGATTACGCGATACACACCCGCGGGTTCCAGACAGAGTGCGTCATGTTCGGCGGACCAGCGTCGATACGCTTAAGGAGCACAGGCTGGGGCCAGCCCCTGGTCGTCAGTTCTGCATCGAAGACCAGCGAGCTTACCATTGGTAGTAGATCGGGAAGAACTTGGAGACAATAGTCGAAGGAGCGGCGTTCGGGTACAGCTGGCAGATGCGCGCGGTGAGCAGGGCCCAAGCGACACCACCCGGGAAACCTAACACGTTCGCGTAGATCCCTCGCTCTGTCTTGTCAGCGATCGGCAGTGTGGGTTCACGCACTCTTAGCCCATAACCTGATGGTGCGGAGGGCTGTACGGAAGGTAGCAACGTCGGGAACGAGGTTCAGGATCATATCCGTCACTCGGGGACCTGGTTGTCAGTTAGTTGGACAATGGACAACGTACCGTTCAAACTACGCTGCGAGGCGTCATCCACTCCGCGCAGGATCTCGTCCTTCTCTATGTCGAGCTTGTCGCCAGCCTCAGGCAGGTTGACGCGAGCGAACAACAGATCCACCTCCACGCCAGAAATGACGGTCTTCATGACGGGGACGAAGGCAGACTCGACAGCCTGGATGTCAGCTACAAGCGACTGAAAGAGAGCTCACCGATATCTCCGTGCATGCCGGCCAGTCGCGGAGCATCTGCTGGAACTCGCCGAAGAAGTGCTCGCGGTACACATGCTTGGGACAGACGCAGATGGTGTCGATATCGGATCCGGGGCCGTGGACACCGAGTCTGAAAGCTGTCAGCGATGGAGTGCATATCCAGCTTACCTGTATGAACCGGAAGTGTAGATGCGGCCGCCGGCTTCCGTTGCGACCTTCTCGCTGAGTCCGTTCTTGATGGATACGTCATGGACGAACTTGGTCACGAGCTGGGCAATGTTGGACAGCAGCTTCTCACTGACGGTCAGCTATGCAGTGAGGTCACCAGCTCACCGGACTTTGCGCTCCTGCTCCGACTCGAACTGGTTCAACGCGACGAGGTCGGCCATCAAGGCTGCGGTTAGTGTGACCTCATCAGCTGTGACTCACCCTCGCTCGCCTTGACATCTGCTTCCTTGGGGGGATCCAAGCTGATCGGTGGTGTCACACCGAGCATGCGAACTTCCCCATTTCTGCTCGTCAGCTTCAATATCCTAAAAACTCAGCTGCAACGTACCCAGACATGGTTGCGTGGGTGCGGCCGATGGGGGCGAGCGCGATCGGTGGGGCTGGTCAAGCGGTGCGAATTTGTAACAGCGGTTCTTTGCGTCTCGACTTTCCGGCGGCAGCGCTGTAGCACAGTGTTGGTTTCGCAAGTCTCGCTGGTTCACTGAATGGAATGGCCCAGTCGTTCGAAGGAGAGAACAAGAGAGTCAGTGTCTGCTGGCGATCCGCAGACCCGTCATTGTTAGGTGAGCACTCGCCGCAGACTGCCTCCACTCGCGCGCCCGGAAGCAAAACAACACCAACCGTGGTAATGTGACCTGCGGTGTGGCGGCAGTGCGAGCCGGATGTCATGAGCGTGAGACTCTGGCCGGCGTTTCACAATGCTCTGCGGCTGACGAGTACAGTCTGGGAGATGCATGGGGTTGTATTCCGAGACCTACTTCGGCACTGGCAGTGTTAGTTACAGACCCAGTGATTCACACAACGAAAGGCAGTAGCCGCAGCCACACTCCGTCAGCAAGATTCTCTATTGTGTTGCATATGCGTTTTTATGTTTCTAAAAGTAGACCGAGTCTGGTCCCGCTCTAAGCGTAGACCTTCTGGCCGTCCGTGTCGTGCTCGCGGGCAGTGCCGTCCCACTCAGGGACGACGTAGGACCAGTCACCACGCTCGACCTTGCCGCGCTGGATACCAGTCATGGCGTCGCGGATGAGCTTGATGAGGGGGTTGGAGGGGATCTCGTAGTCCTTGTCCTGGTAGCGGATGAGGGAGATCATGGTGACGACGACGCCGGTGCCGCATCCGAACATGCCGACGAGGGAGCCGTCCTGCGATCCCTCGACGATCTCGGCCATCGGGATGTCGCGCTCCACGACGCGGATGTTCTTCGGCATGCCGGGGAGGGGGAACTCGGCCTTGCCGTCGGCGTGGTCCTGGAGGAGCTCGATGATCGACGCACGCGTGACACCGGGGAGGACGATGCCGTTGTCGAGACCCATGGTCGTGAACTCGAGGAAGCCGTCGGCCGCCTTCTTGATGATCCAGACGTTCATGGCACAAGCCTCAGAGATGTAGTGCTGCTTGCCGTCGGAGTGGAGCCAGAGCGACATCTGGAAGCCAGGCTTCTTGGCAACAGACACGGTACCGTAGTTGGCACCGAGCTTGTAGGAGCCGTGGCCTCCGGGCCAGGCACGGATGAACTTGTCGCAAGCATCGAGCTTGAGACCGGGGCCCTCAGCAGAGGAGTAGAGACCCTTGCCGAGGTTGGCAGAGGTGACGATGTAGAGGAGCGCGCTGCTGGCGTAGGCATCCTCCTTGATGCCGAACGACTCGGAGGTCTCGATGATGGTGGGACGGATGTAGAGGTTGTCACCGTCGCCCTTAGGAACGATAGGGTTCTCTGCGCACGGTCAGTTCTGAGGCACTATCGAGTCTAATCGCAACTCACCGAGAGCAACGAGCTTGGAGAGCAGCTCGAGGAGCTCCTCGTTGTCCCAGTCGTACTGTGACATGTTAGCAGCCAGAAAGTGGCTCTCGAACGCACGGGAAGACCAAGACGAGCAGCAGAGCGCTTGAGACGGTCAAAGTTCTTCATGGGGCGGAAGAGACGGAGCTTGTCTAACAACGTCAGCCGCAGTTGCAAGTTGTGGTCTTACCCTCCTCGTCCTTGTAGCACTTCATGCCCTCGAAGCAGGTGACGGCACTGCGGGTCAGCTTAGCTCCGGGGGCAACCACAGCTGTATACGCACTACTGGAGGACACCGGCGAGAGGGTCAAGGGAGAGCTCGGCGCGGGGAACAATCTTGGGTTGGCCCCATCCGGAGGTCTGGCTAGTTAGTACGGGGAACTCTTGTGGTCTGCAAAAGACATACGCGGTTCCACTCAACAGTCTGGCAAGTTAGCAAAGCCATCTCAGTGATCAATGACGACATACGAGCATGTACCTGCCGTAGGCCTCCTTTCCAGGAGCCGGCTGGTGGCTGGGGGACACCGGGGAGAAGTAGAGGGGCGACGCCTTGAAGGGAGCCTGCTGGGTCGACATTTTGGTGAAGAGTCAGGTGGAGAGACAAGAGTCAGGAGTCCGAAGGGCCAAGACTGCTGTTTAGGCGTTGACGTCGCGGCTCAGTGGAATGGGTTGGCTTGCTGCTCGGCAGGATCTTGTCGACTCGGAAATTCACGAGTCGGATCAATCACAGACTCGGACCCAGTTCGAAAAATAATGGAGCCCCAGTTGGACACGTGGGTTGGCGTCCTCCTCCGCCACCGTTGACGTCGGCCCGGTCACATGACTAGATCGCTCGGAGTGCTCCTCGATATGGACGCAATTGAAGCAGCGTTTGGCTTCCAACTTTGAGCTTCCAGAGTTGGCCAGAGCCTGGAGGTCGCTGGATTGGGTGTCGGTGTGAGAGCTGTGGCTGGACAATAGGGTTGAGGGATCGGCATACGCGGGTGTTGTGTACCGTCCCGGGGCGGTTGCTTAAGTGAAGGACTGAAACGCAAAGCGATGCTCATCGGTGGCCGTGCCGTGTCGCAATCCAGTAGGTCTGGAAGTGGAAGTGACGTCGCACATCACTGCTGCTTCCGGAACGCTGTGGCCGCCTGCCAGCTTGGAGGCTTCGTTTTGCGTCCCGTCTTCCGTCTGAAACACGATGCTTCCTCTGATCAACCTGCAGCTCCCCGGGATGAGTGGCTGCGACATGGTGACCAACGTGTCCGCTGGCACCGGGCGTTAAGCCTCGAGGCTCCCGAGATCCCGAGTCCCATTGCAGCGAGTGTGTACAGCTCTGACACATGACACGGATTGCCGCCTCGCCCGGATTCCTGTTCCAGTTTCCCGTACCAGTCGTGCCGGTGGCATCGGCGTGCAACTGTCCCGATATGCCGCTCTGGATGAGAGGCACTCTTTGCCTGTTAAAGTTCACGGGTCCTGAAGCATGACCACGCATACGCCTCGGAGGTTGCCAGTGTCCACCTCATGGCTTTCGCAACTCAGGCTGCACCGGGAAGATCAGTCCGCCACCGCCGCTGCGGCGCCAGCGGGTGCCAAGTGAGGGCTGTCCAGTCAGGACGGCATAGGCTTCTGCACTGCAAGTTAATGAGCGGACTACTTTTGCACGGCAACGGTGGTGGACCGGAGCGCAAAGAGCGCCGATGTCGGGGCACATGTTCAAGTCGAGGAAGGCACAGGATGCACACGAGGGGTGATTGAACTGTGTGCCGGGTGAGGCGGGAGCGAGAGCGGACGTGGACGCGTCGACAGGAAAACATTGCAACGCGCGCGTCTCAATGTGAACTGTGGAACAGCGGGGCCCTAGATTCATCATGTCTTGTGAGTGCGATCGCCCGCGAAAAAGCATAAAGAAACGCTCGAAACGCCACGCACGACGCGACGCGCGATGCGCCGCTATTCCCGGGTGCGCCGGTGTGCCGGGTCAAGGTACTGACCATTGCGGCCACCTGGCCAGGGAATGCACGCCCACACGGCCATGTCGTGCCAGCCATGGACGGCGAGCGGTCTGGTGATTCGACGTCCGTTTGGGAAGAGCTGGCGTGCTGGCCGGGGCTGAGCTGAGCAAGCGGTCGAAATGGAGGAATCTTATTGGCTCCCCCTCGTTTCCGTCGCAGGCAGGTGTTTGTGCCTCTGGCGGCGTGGGCGTGGTACGGCTGGGTGCGCCCCTGGGATGGAAAAAGGTGAAATTGTGGAAGGAAGACTGCTCGGTGGCCACGATCCAGGTCCCTTGGCCCACGCGCCCTGCGGCTAAGGACTGGCACCCAATACCGAACACGCAAAGCGGCCGACTGAGAGCATGCCTCTCTGGCAGCATGGCAGAGCTGGCACCCAGCCCGGCAGGAGCTAGTGCCAGAGCCAGGACCCAGGAGCACAGGAGTCGGCGAGCAAGGCAGCAGAGACCCAAGGCGGCACAGCGCAGGAACCCAGAGTGTCAGGGGCGAGCCAGACTGCGCCCTGAGCGTGCCCTGGACGTCCTTGCCTCATGAGGCTCCGGTCACAGTTGCCTGTTGGTCGGGGGCCCTGAGTATGGCAAGGCTCAGGCGGGATGCCTGTGCGCCCGTCGCGATCCGTCAAAGCGCATGGCATGGCTTTGGATCACTCGAGGTCAGTCAGGTCAAGGTATACCCCTGGCTCTCCCTGCCCCTCATCCA